GGGCCCTGGACGACCCAGCCATCTTGCAAGTTGTGCCATCAAGGGACCAGGCTTGAGGAAAGGAAGGTGGGAGTGACCTGTAGCCAGCCCATGAGGGGCCAGGGCCCGCCCGGGACTTCTGGTGGGGGCGGCTTCTGGGGTCCACGCTGACCTCTGGCGGGCAGCACAGCCTCCTGGTGCCCGAGGTCGGGTTAATTGAGAAAAAGCCCACGCACCTGCTCCCGGAGGTGTGCCTTCTTCCACATCACATGCTGGTACGTCAACAGTTTTAATAAAAGCGCTCACGATCTCCTCTCTCTGTGTAACTCTTTCAAATAAATAAATAAATAAATCTTAAAAAGGGGGACCGTGGCACTGCGGCCTAGCATGTAAAGCTGCCACCTGCAGGGCCGGCATCCCATACAGGTGCTGGCTCGAGTCCCAGCTGCTCCACTTCTGATCCAGCTCTCTGATATGGCCTGGGAAAGCAGTAGAAGATGGCCCAAGTCTTTGGGCCCCTGCACCCACGTGGGAGACCCAGAGGAAGCTCCTGGCTCCTGGCTTTGGATCAGCTCAGCTCCGGCCATTGCGGCATTTGGGGAGTGAGCCAGCAAATGAAAGACCTCTTTCTCTCTCTCTAACTCTGTCTTTCAAATAAATAAATAAATCATTTTTAAAGCCAAGTATATACAGCGATAATAAATTTTTAAATTGTTTTATTATAAGGTTTTCATTGTAGTAATTTCTTTAACCAGAAAAAGATACTTTTTATGCAAGCAACTGCAAATGGGAAACCAGAGGGGGACAGGCTGGGACGTGAAATGACTGCCCCTCCCCGAAAGAACGGGGGATCGGGACAGGGACACCTGTCATCATGGACACGGCCGCCCCCGCCCCACTCTGCCAGCGGCTCCTCGAGTGGAGAGGAACGAGGCAGACCGAAGCACTGAACAAAACACAGCTGTGCAAAGGTCGCGTGTGAGCACAGGGAAGCCGGAACCACAACCGTGGAGACCAGAACCGTGGAGGGGGCGGGCAGGGCCCGTGTGCCGAGGGGGAAGCAGCCAGGGCTTGGGGGTGCAGCCCCAGCCCCCTTAGGTGGCCGCCAGGGGGAGCCCGGCCGCACCCAGACAACCGGTGACCCTGCCGCCTGCGTGTCTGTCCTCGCTACACACACTCAGCTCCCAGCGTAAGGGCCAAGGGGTTCAAACGCCGGCCGTTTTTTCTTGTACCCCGAAGAGGACTGGTACAGGCAGGATGAGGCGAGGGGTGGAAGGAAGGTGGGTGTGCCGGGGGCCACGCACCGCCCTCCACTGGGGAATGGGCTGGGGCCTGGCCTCTGAAGACCAGGGGAGCCTCCTCGCCCCAGGCCCCTCTACGGGAAGCCAGAGAGGAGCCGTGGAGCAGAGAGATGGCCCTCACACCCAGAGCCTCAGGGGCAAGGGGAGAGGGGACACAGCAGGTGCAGGGCGCCGCTGGGAGCGGAGGCCCGAGGCGGCTGCTGCCCACTGCGCAGACGCAGGGCGCCTCCGCCCCCTCCCAGGAGCCGCAGGGCGCGCCCCCACCCCAAGGTGCGACGGGCCGTGGGGCGCGCGCAGGTGGGCGCCCGGGAGCTGGGGACGGCTGTGCAGCCCCAGACGAAGATGGTGGAGCAGGTGCACGGCGGCCGCCCCCACCCTAGGACCCCACTCCGCTGGACTCTCTGCGGTGCGTGCGCCCTGCGGTGCGCGCTGCGGGCTGCGCTGAGCCCCGGCCTGGAGCCTCCACTCTGAGTCCCCATCGGGGGATCTAATAATTTTTTTAATTGCAAATTTTATCATCTTAAATTACAATATGAATTTTAGATTTTAATAAATGTTGAAAGTATAACAAATTTTAATTGATATTATTAAGTTAGAATAATTGTTAGATTTAAGTTCGTAGATTAATTTACGGGGGCCGGCACTGTGGCATAGCCGGTAGGGCCGCCTTCTGCAGTGCCGGCATCCCATATGGGTGCTGGTTCGAGTCCTAGCTACTCCACTTCTGATCCAGCTCTCTGCTATGTCATGGGAAAGCAGTAGAAGATGGCCCATGTGCTTGGGCCCCTACACCCGCGTAGGAGACCCAGAAGAAGCTCCTGGCTCCTGGCTTTGGATTAGCTCAGCTCCAGCCGTTGCAGCCATTTGGGGAGTGAACCAGCAGATGGAAGACGTCTCTCTCTCTCTCTCTGTCTCTGCAACTCTGCCTTTCAAATAAATAAATCTTTTAAAAAAAAAAACTCAATGACTAATTAAAGCATATAGAATTTTAATAGATTCTGATTGAGATAGAAATAAAAATGCAATCTTAATATGGTGATTTGGAGGAGACCTACTTTTAACTGCTTAAGTATTTAATGATCAGAGGAAAAATGAGCCATGAACTTGCTCCCCAACTGGTCCTCTGCAGGTGGCCTCCTGTGTGTAAGGGGCACACAAGGACAAAATGGTGACCCCTGGGTCCCTGTGGCACCTCCTGCCCTGAAGAAAAGGCAAACAGCCGCGCATCCCCAAGGGTGTCCACGCCCAGCCGAGGGGGCAGGCAGGCCGGCCGCCGTGGCCTTGCTGGCCCTCTGTTGGGTTCAGAGTGCCCTGCTGGGTCGGCTTTCCCCGCTTCGGCTAAGGCACCTGTGGCTGGTGGAGGCGTGTGGAGACAGGAGGCTGCTCGGGCTGGGGGTTTTGGAGCCCAGGGGTTCAGGCTGTGCGGGAGGTGTGGGAGGGGGAGACAGGCAGCCAGCGCGCAGGAGGTCCCTCCCTTGGGAATGCTGGGGTCCCCCGGGAACCAGCTCAGCACCCCAGCGACCCAGCCTCCTCCCCCTCGGCTTCTCCTGCCCGTGAAGGGGTGCGCGTGGAGGGGACGAAGCACAGGGACTTCCGGACAAATCGCGTCCAAGCCGCGGCAGCCCCCGCGTGTCCCGAGACCCCCAGACTCTGAGCCCCGCACTCCCTGATGTGAGATTCCCGCTCCGGGGCCGGCGTGACCGGGTGGGGGAGGGAGACGCACGCCACACCTGCAGGCCGCCTCCAGCGCCCCTGTCTCTGGGCACGCGCGCCCTCGTCGGTGCCTTATCTGCGGCTGCAGAAGCGTAATTGGGGCCGGGAGCGTCTGACCCGCCACCGCTGACGTCACTCCTCTCCGGGCCTTTCCCGTAAGCGAGTGCTGAGCTCGGGTCTGCATTCCAAACCCCAAGATCGCACTCCGCCCCGGGGGGCGGGGGGTGCAGGCTGCGGACGCCACAGCACAGGCTGGTGGCTCCCAGAGGCCCCTGGACCTCAGACCCAGCCTGGAGACGCCAGCCTGCAGCCCAGAGTCCCGGCGCGACCCCAGCCACAGGCTGAGACAGGCGGGGAGGCAGTGGGAGAGCCAGCCACAGAGACACAGAGGAGACGGAGAGGGGTGTGTGTGTCTGTGCAGGAGTGTGTGTGTGTGTGTCTGTGTGTGCAGGAGTGTGTCTGTGCATGTGTGTGTTCTATCTGAAAGAACTAGATCCAGACACACACTATCTGGAAATGTCAGAAACCCAGACGGAGGCATACAATGGCCAAGAGCCAGACACCTTTCACTCACACGGTCATCCATGCAGCACTGACCAAGCGCCTACCCTGTGCTCGGCGTGGGTCCAGGGGCTTTGAATAAACCCGCGAATAAGCTGCGTGGTGGCTCAGTGGGCTTAGACTGCAGCCTGCGACGCCACCATCGCCCATGAGTGCAGGTTCGAGTCCCGGCTGCTCCACTTCCGATCCGGCTGCCTGCACCCACATGGGAGACCTGGATGGGAGATCCAGGCTCCTGGCTTCAGCTTGGCACAGCCCCAGCTGTTGCGGCCATTTGGGGAAGTGCATTGGCAGATGGAAGATCTCTCCCCTCCCCCTTCTCTCTGTAACTGCTTTCCAAGAAGTAAATAGATAAATTTTAAACATAAAATACAAATAAGAGCACTGGCAAAGATTCTCACCCTTTCTGGAACGGAAAGGTATGAGTGACAGCACATCAGTCTGATGAAAATAAATCACATGAGACCTCCATCTATGCTGTTGGTAAACCATCATGGATGGATAGAAATAATATATAATAAGCTAAACAGTAAGGGGGCTCGGGGTGGGGGAGGGTGAGGGCCGAAGTCAACCAGGACACCGGCTACGGCGCAATCCTACCCAGCATCGGAACGGGATGGAGACACCGCACTCACACCGCACTGCCATGGCCAGTGGCCGCCAGGGGCTGGGGGACGGCCCGCGGAATGTGGGGGTGACAGTGGTAACCTGGCCGCACGTGGAGAAGATTTCAAAAAATGTGTGCAGGAGCGGAATCAAAAGACGAGTGTAGTTTGGTGCCAGGAAGTTCTGGGATCCACGCACGGTTTCTTCACGACACACATTCTTCACGAACTTCTTGGAGACCCCTTGTGTTTGTCAAAATCCGCAGAGCAGGTGAACTTTACTTTATGGGAATTGCACTTTTATTTTTAAAGGAAAGAATGAGAAGGCGAAGGGAGACTTGCTGAGAAAGGGACTTGGGTGCAGAGATTTGAAAAGAAAGGTGCGCATCCGGGGGCACGGTACCAGGCACAGGGGCTGGTGCAAAAGCCCTGAGACAGGTGCAGAACAAGGGGGCAGCCAGCGTGGGGGACCTGCCGGGGGGTCTGCGGGGGCTCAGAAGCCATTCTGATTCACAAGCCAAGAGGCACAGAGAGTCTCCAAGGTGCAGAGAAAGCCAGGGAGAGGGGAGGCTCAGAGGAAGAGGGTCAGAGAGAAGCAGGCAACAGGAGACGGAGCCTGGGCGACAGGAGTTCCGGGAAGGGTAGAGAGACAGCCGCGGGCCGAGGGCCGGGCGCCCCAGGAATGCACCACGGGTCTCCCTGCGGGTCTCCTCTGATCAGGCCAGGGCAGCCTGGGGGAGTGTGGCCAGAATGATTGCGCGGAATGTGCACCGGCCCCGGGCTAGGCGGGCTGAGCCCGGGACGTTCATAAGCTCCCAAGGAGGCAGCGGCAGGAGGAGACCAGCCCAGCGCAGCGCGGGACCCAGGGTCCCAGAGACACCCACGCCGACGACTGCCTCCCCCCGCCCGGGCACCCAGACCGCGCACCCTGCTGATCCCTCTCTTCGGTCTCAGCCCCTCTCGCGTCTCTCTTTCACGCACAGGTGTGTGGTGAGGTTTTTCAGACCAGGGTGGGTCTTGGGGCCCAGGCTGTGTGACCCTGGCAAGTTGCTTAACCTCTCTGTGTGTCTGGGAAGCTGCTTGCTGAGTGCCTCTTTGCGGGGAGACGGGGGTTGGTCCCAGGCAGGCAGCGGGCAGAGCCCGGAGCAGGGCGTGTGTGCAACCCGGGGCCGCTCCTATCACCGCGCCGAGGCCAAGCGCTGCCCCAGCTCGTGGTTTTGGGGTCTCTGAGCTCGGATGGGGAGGGTCGGTTGGGGCGGCGGAGATGGCTGAGGTCGGGGAGTCACCGGCACCCCCTCCCTCCCCGCAGGTGCAGCCGTAACTATGCCAGCAGCAGCAGCAGCAGCAGCCATCTGGGCCTGGCTCCTGGGCTGCGCCGTCCACGTGGTCTCAGGTACCGAGTTTGTGTCCTGTGCGTTTCTGAGCGAGCTGGGGCCGAGCCTGGAGGCTGCAGTCCGAGCTGCAGGTGCAGCCGGGCTCGGTTCTCTCTTCCCCTCTCTCAGAGGGCCTGGGAGAGGCCCCAGCGCAGCCCCCAGCACACATGTGTGCGTGCGCCCGTGTGACATGTGTGTGGCGTGTGATGCATGCGCCATGTGCGTGCAGTGCGTGTCCTGTTGTGTGTGGTGCGTGCTAGGTGTGGCACTGGGGGGCATGGACCTTACTGGGGCGCTGTGGGGTCTCAGGGAAGCGGTGAACCTGCCCCGGTGAGCAGCACCGCGCGGTACGCCTGCAGGGACGGCGCGGGGCGCGGGATGACCGGAGCGGGCGGTCCAGCACAGCGTCGGGGGTGGCTGCGGGGCAAGAGGGGTCAGGCGAGGGGTCTGCGGCTTGGAGCCGGCCCGTTCCGGCCTTGCCCCGGCCGCTGCTCCCGCCGCCTGACCGCTCTCCCGGTCCTGGCCCTGCCCCAGGAGCTGCCATTCCTCCCAGAGAAGCCGGCGCGCCAGCCTCCAGTGCTTTCTCCCAAGCCAAAGAAATCCTCATTTCCGGCGGCCAGGAGTGCAGGCCGCACTCGCAGCCCTGGCAGGCGGCGCTGTTCGACGGGAGCTTTTTGTTCTGCGGGGGCATCCTGGTGCACCCGCAGTGGGTGCTGTCGGCGGCCCACTGCTTCCAGGAGTGAGCGAGGGGCGGGGCCTGCGGGGGCGGGGCTCGAGGGAGAGTGGGGAGGCTGGAGCAGAGGGCGGGGCCTTGGCCGGGGCGTGGCTCGTGGGAGAGGGGGCGGGGCCTGGGCGGGACACTCCTGTTAGTAGGGGCTGAAGCGGTTTGGGGTGCAGAAGAGCCGGCGGTCGCCATGGTTACCGTCTGCCCGCCGTCCTCAGATCCTACACCATCGGGCTGGGCCTGCACAACCTCTCAGCCCAAGAACCGGGCAGCCAGATGATCGAAGCCAACCTCTCTGTGCTTCATCCGGACTACGACGACCCCCAACTGGCCAACGACCTTATGCTCATCAAGCTGAACAAGGCGGCCGTGGAATCCGACACCGTCCGCACCATCCGCGTCGCCTCGCAGTGCCCGGTCCCCGGGACCAACTGCTTGGTGTCCGGCTGGGGTCAGCTATCGGACGGTGAGTCCCGGGGACGAGGGGGCCACCTCCGACCGCGGCTGTCCCGGCCCAGCTGGCGTTTCTGACCCAGTGTCCTTGTCACAGGGAATTTACCCCAGGTCCTGCAGTGTGCGACCATCACCGTGGTGTCCGAACTGTTCTGCCACAACTCCTTCCCCGGCCTGTACCACCCTAGCATGTTCTGTGCGGGCGGCCAGGACATCAGGGACTCTTGCCGGGTAAGAGACGGGGCCAGGGAGGAGAACCAGAATGGACCTTGAGGGGTAGGGGACACACGGGCGACACGAGAAAGGGGGCAGCGGCCGAGACTCGGAAACACGGGGAGACGCAGAGAGAAGTGGGGGGCACAGAGCCAGCCACGGGATCAGACGCAGAGCCAGCCCTGGGGAGCCACCGCGGAAAAGCCAAATGTCAATGGGTGCAGTTCTCAAGATCACCGCTTGGGGGCGCAGTCTGGGGCTGCATCCCTGCCCCAGCCAGATGCCCAAGCTCGGGGGCCCTGCCCACCCGCAGCTGTGCGTGCGTGTGCGTACACGTGCGTGTGCGTACACGTGCGCGTGTGTCTCCAGTTTTGCCCACCAGTCTCTGGGTTTTTCCCTGCTCTGGGGCCTCACTGCAGGGGTCAGCGCTGTCTCTGCGGGGCCCGTGGTCTCCACGTGTCCACTCCCGCCCTGGGTTTCTGCCGCGTTCTCCCGCGGCCTCTGCTGCTGCGTTCGTGTCCGTCTCCAGCTCTCTCTCTTTTCCTCCACAGGGAGACTCTGGGGGCCCCCTGGTCTGCAATGGGACCCTGCAGGGCCTCGTGTCCTGGGGACCGAACCCGTGTGGCCAACTCAACCTACCAGGCGTCTACACCAACCTCTGTCTCTTCACTAAGTGGATCCAGCAGACCATCCAGAACAATTAACCACAGACTTGAAGTCCCGGCTGCTCCACGTCCCACCCTAGCTCCCTGCTCGTGAGCCGGGGGAGGACAGCAGAAGGTGATCCAAGTGCTTAGACCCCTGCGCCCTCGTGGGAGGCCTGGAGGAGCTCCTGGATCCCGGCTCCAGCTGTTGCAGCCCCTGGGGAGTGTGCGTGTCTGTCTCTGTGTGTCTCTCTGTCAATCTGCCTTTCAAATAAATGAAATCCTGAAAAGGACGCCCAGCTAGCACGCAGTCTCTGTCGGGAGAGCTTTATTTCCCGTAGGGATGGCACAAAGTCTTGCTCGCAGGAGGCCTGTTCGGTGCCCCCTCCCAAGGCCGGGGCGCCTTGAGCTCCGGGAGTCCTCCTGCTCCGCCCCGATCGGCCCCAGACTCGGGGTCCACGCGAGCCCCGTGCCTCCGCCGCCCACCCCGCAGCTGAGCCCGGCCAGGGTCCCGGAAGGGGAAGGCACCAGCGAGCACCCCGATGCGGAGAACCAGGGGACCGTAAGGGAAAGCAAAGTTGGACCCCTCTAGGACAGGGTCCGCCAGGAGGCCCAGCACCTGCCCCTCAGGGCCTGGGGGCCAAGTGGAAACCCTCAAGGTTTCTCTCCTGCACCAGGCTGCGCGCAGCCCACGTCACGCAGGCCACACCCGCCAAGGCAGCGCCAGGGAGGCTCCTGATTGGCGCGGAGCGAGGGCAGGGGCGGGGCCAGTCGCATCAATATGATGTCAGGGCGATGGATGCTGGGTGGTGGAGAGAGCACCGTGGCCCCAGGCACTGCGCACGCGCAGACTGTGCTCGCCCGGGCTGCGTGGAGCTGTGTGGGCGGGCGGCAAGTCTGCAAGGGCACAGACACATGGGCAGGAGCGTGGGCAGCCCGAGGTTTGCCGAGCCCTTTGGCAATCTGGGGACACCATCACCATGCCAGCCCCTTGGCGGGAGATTTGAGTAGCTAAACACGTGACAAGTGCTCCCACAGAGAGACAGAGTCAGCAGCCTTGGCTGGGAGGGAGGTGCGCATGCCTCAGCTCCCAGCACCCTGTCACCGTTCTAGGCCTCTGGGAGAGGAAAGAGACCCCAGGGGTACCCCCCCACCCCGTGCCCATGTCTTCCTCCGTGACATTCACGCGTGGTTTGCCCACCGTCTGTCTGGAAATCCCTGGTATTTTTACTCTCTCTTCCCTTTAGGTTTTACATGGGCGGGGGTGTGCCTCAGCAGCGAAGGCACGCAAGGTCATGCGTGTGTAAGTCATGCAGGTGCACACACACACACACACATGCACACACTGGGACACAGGAGTTCTCACCCGAGTTCATACTCTCCAGTGTAGGTCTGGATATACAAGGCCACAGATGGACATAGTTGCACACAGGGCCTGGGCAGACGAGGTGGGGGCCTAATAAGGGCACACGGGGCGAGGCACGCAGACAGGGGTCCATCGTGGGGCGACGGTATCCAGAGCCTGCCCACCCGGGCTCAGACGCACACACATTGACTAAGCAAATTATTTCTCAGTGCACTTCCCTTGCTTTGTGGGTAAACTGGAGACTTCTGTAGAGGCTAAATGAAGGGGGGACTGACACCCGGACACCGCTAACAAATATCAAGTGTTGTAAGTAATTTATATAAGGAGTTCACAGACACTTAGGTGTGGACATTCAGGTTTGGGATACAACTCCGGCCAGAGTGATTCAGACAGCCCGTGGGTGGTACTCGGGGTCAGAACTGTGACCCGTCCACGGGCCTCAAGCTCACAGTGCTGGCAGACAGTTCCCCGCGGGTCTCTTGCCTTCTGACTATGACTTCTGAGAAAGGCCTTAAGCCATTTTGCTCAAGGTGTCTACCGCAGAGATCTGTCCGGAGAGCAGTCTGGCGAGATAACTATCTCCACAGGCAGGGTTGGGTTACCGTCCAAGATAATAAGGGTAGCATGTCCCCGGAACTCACTTGTTTAATGTCCAGGACAACAAATAGAAATAAAACCCCTTCCTGCAGGGCAGCTCTGTTTGCGGCCTGGGACAATAAAGACAGCATCGCCTCGGGGACGAAGGCTCGGCAAGGTTGCTGGCAACCCTTTTGTGAGACTGAGGATTCCCGACCTCAGAAAATCCTCCACAGTGTGCAGACTCCCGCTGGCCTGCTCTGGTCACCCCCAAGTGACTGGAGGGGCAGGTGAGCCGATGTGAGCGTGCACCCTGAAGGACCTGGGGGCCAGGGGAACAGCCGTGGACATGAAGTCCACGCGGCCTGCCCTGCCGGGAGTAGAGGCCCTTGTCTGCCCCTGGGCATTCACGTGTCCAGGCAGCCTTCAGGAAACTGTGCCAGGCTGACTGATGTGGCCAAACATCAGTAGACCCTTCAGAGTCCCTGACAGATGCTCAAGCACTGAGGCTGCCCCTGGCCACCTGGAGTTGGAGGTAGGAGGGGGACCCAGCTGGCCAGAGCCAGGTGATGGAAGAGGGACTGTAACTTAGCGGCACTTTGGGGACAAAGCTGAACCCTGCCGGCTCCAAGTGTTCCCCTCCAGAGACAAAGTCACGCCGCCTGCTGCTTAAGAAGCCTCCTATCACCACCCTGTCCCTCGCCATCCCCCACATGCCACTGGTCTTGGGTTCCACATCCCCACATGCCAGGACAGACCCCGGGACCCCACAGCCTGTCCCACCCCAGCCATAGCCCACTTGCCCTAGGGAGGGCTCCGCCATCCCTAGCTAGTTTCTGTCCCAGGGGGGGATCTACTGCACCCCAGAAAGTCCTCAGCCTAATGGGTCTCACTTCCTGCCAGCCTGCAACCTTACTGGATGAGGACATCGACAATCACACCCTCCCGCGGGCACCAGAATTCACTGCACGCCCCTGTTGCTGCTAACCTTGGCCCCCAGTCGCTGCCTGCACACACTGGTTCTGAGTGCGACCCGTTGTCAGCCCGCACAGGGGACAGCCCCCGTCTCGTGACCAGCAACACGCCCGTGTGTCCCGCCGTCCCCCCAAAGCGAGCAGAGGAGTCCCCGCCTCCCTGGTGGCATGAAGAGAAGGCAGCACATACTCGCGGAGCCCAGCACCTGCCCTCCAAACTGCTCCTACTTCTGGATGCCCGTGGCGGGACGGCTCTGTGTGCCCCTCAAGACAGAGCCAGAGCCCAGGCGCCCACCCAACACCCAGTGGTGAACTCAGGAGCCTGCAGGGCTCATTCCAAACAAAGGACGCGCCCCTGGCAGAGCCGTCCAGGGGTTGGCATCGGATCCCAGAGACTGTGTGGTCTCCCCGGGCCCTTGGGCCACGCCTGACCACTGGTCAACACCTGCTCTGGGGGACCCCCGGCCGAGCTGCAGAGCCGGAGCCCGCCCCCAGCTCCGGAAGCACCCCACACCCCGCAGGCCGACTCCCCACAGACTCTCCGGACACTTGGGCCGGGCTGGGCTGAAAGGCTCCGGAAGACTCGCCCGGCAGACAGCACCTGCCGCTGGTCCATTTCCTCCCCCACTCAACCTGCACACATGTTGCCTTTGCTCGTTTTAACCTGTGGCCCGTCACCGACCACAAACTACGGCAACCCAGAGTGGGACACCTCCTCCGGGTTCTGCGGGTTCCACCCGGAATCTGCTGCCTTAGGGCGCTTTGGGCAACCCCAATGCTTCCCCCACAGAGGCGGGGCTGCCCAGGGCTCTGGGCCCCCGCCACGTCGAAGGCCCCTCTGCTCTCTGCTCAGGTCGTAGGCTCCGTCTGGCACGCGTGCCCCACAGAGGGCACCCAGTGCACCTGCCACCCGCCCTCCCAGGCTGGGCCCCGCCCCTCCCCCATGCGTGTCCCTGTACACCGCCCAGGTTCCGGAGTGCGTGGGGAGGAGGCTGAAGCCACACCCACGTGCACCCCACCAGTCGACCCTGTCCCTGCACTACGTGAGGCGGGCTGGGAGGGCCGGGGGCGCCAGGTGGGGCGCCGAGCCCTGCGCTTCGGCTGCCCAGGGTCTACAGAGGCTGCACGATACAGAGCGCGGCGTGGACTCGACTTTACTCGCTGCGGGGCGGGGCGGGGCGGGGCACTCAGGGGTTGGCTGCCATGGTGTCCTCGATCCACTTCCGGTACCGCACCAGCTTGGTGTAGAGAGCCGGCTGCCTGGCCCGGGCGCACGGAATCCCGCCCCACGAGGTGAGGCCTTGCAGCACGCCGTCACAGACCAGGGGGCCCCCGGAGTCCCCCTGGAGCCAAGGGGACAAGGGAGCCAAGAGAAGGGTCAGCCCCCTCCCCGTTCTGTCCGGGAAACCCGCCCGTCAGGCCTGGGCTGCCGACTGCTGATGTCATCTTCCCCGTCAGAGGGAGGAGGCCACTCCCAGGGGAGGCGGGGGAGGTGCCCACACAGGGAGGAGGCTGGAGTCCAGGACCCTCCCCCCACCCAGGGCTCAGCCAGAGGCCCCTCTCCAGGTCGCTCTGACGCCCCCTCCCCAGGGCACTGGGGAGCCACGGAGGACTGCGAGCAGGGGGCAAGGCAAGGTCAGCTCTGAGACCAGGACACACTGGGGCCGGCTGGGACGGGGGGAGGGGACTGAGGCAGGGAGCCTGCGAGGAGCGCTGGGGGTCTGTCCAGGTGGGGGCAAGGCCTGGAGCCCCCTCCTCACTCCCTGACCCCTGAACTCTGACGGCAGCCCCCAGGGCCCTCGCTGCTCCTCCCAGCCCCGGGGCCTGGCGCCTGCTGCTCCCTCTGCTCCCAGGGGCCACCTGCGCCGGGTGTCGGCTTAGTGTCCCCTTCTCCTCCCGACTCCTCCCCCATCACGTCCCCCTCAGCGGAACAGGGCTCCCTGGGGAAGGGGCTCTTCTCCCTCAGTCTCTGGCTGTCTTCTCAGCGTCTGGGCGGTGCCAGGCACATCACAGACGCCCGTGAGGGACAGATGAGCCACGCCGGGGAGCGGCCTCAGGCAGGGGGTGCCTGGAGGTGTGTGGGAAGGGGTGGGGACCCCGCTGGAGGCCCCGCCCACGACCAGGATCCTCTCCCCCTCTCCTTTAAGACCCTGGGGTGGGGGTGGTGCTGTGGCACAGCGAGCTAAGCCGCCACCTGCACCTGCACCTGTACCTGCACCACCGGCATCCCACATGGGCACCCGCTCCTGTCCCAGCTGCTCCACTTCCGATCCAGCTCCCTGGGCCAAGCCCTTGGGCCCCTGCCTCCCATGCGGGAGACTCCCGGCTCCCAACTTCAGCCTGGGCCAGCCTGGCCATTGCCGCCATTTGGGGAATGAACCAGCAGGTGGAAAATCTCTCTCTCTCTCTCTCTCTCTCTCTCTCTCTCTCTCTCTCTCTCTAACTCTGCCTTTCAAATAAAGAAATACAACCTTAAAAAAAAAAAAAAAGACTGGGGGGAGGGGCTGGCGCACCTTGCAGGTGTCTTTGCCGCCTTCCAAGTGGCCGGCACAAAGCATAAACTCTGTTACTTTCTCAGAGTAGACGTTTCTGCACTCGTCACTGGACAGGAGACGGAGGTCCACGCACTGGAGGCTCCTGGGGCGCAAGACTAGAGGCCGGGAGGGAAACGGGCTGCGGCCGGGCCCCTGCGCGCCCCAAGCCTCCCACCCCGGCCCTGGGCGTACACTTCTCTGGTTTGATGCTGCCCCAGCCCGAGGCGATGCAGGTGCTGCCCTCTTGGGGGTCCCGGGTGGGCAGGCCCAGCACCTGCACCGCGCCCGAGAGCCGCGCGGGCTCCGCCAGCCGCAGCAGCATGAGGTCGTGGCTGTTGTCTTCCCCGGCCGTGAGGTTCGCGCTCCCCAGGAGGCTCAGGTTGTAGAGGGGGTGCGGGAAGCTGCGGGCTACCTGCGCCAGCGTGGCCTCGGCTCCGTCCTCCAGCAGGCGGTCCAGCCCCAGCCAGACCTGCGTGTTGCTGGGGGGTGAGGGGACAGGAGGGCATGAGGAGGGAGGAAGGGGGCACGGGGAGAGGCTCCCCAAAGTGGCAAAGGGACACGGAGAATGAGAAAATCCCGGGGAGGGAGGCAGAGGAGGGAAGATGCAGGGTGAGCAGGACAGAGAGAGAGAGAGAAGCCAGATGGTGAGGCAGGGGCCGTGGGGAGGCCAAGGGCAGAGAAAGGAGGGGAGAGGGAGGGAGAGAGACGGGGGGGGGTCTCAGAGCTGCTCGGGGGCCATGGGGTCCCAGCAGGGGTGCTGGCCTGCAGCCCAAGGTCAGGAACCCCCCTCCCCTCTATTGCCCCCCCCCAGCTGCAGCTCAGCCCTTCCTGTGCGCCCACCCCACCTACAGAGCAGGTGGGACACAGGTCCCTTGCCTTGGGGCCATCCTGGGACTCACCCCGGGTGTGCTTAGTGTGGCGGGGGAGGGGCGTGACACAGATGCAGGAGAGACAGACAAGGACAGAGATGGGTGCAGAGACACCCAGACATGGACAGAGACGGGGGACATACGGAGACACAGAGGCAAAGAGGGGACAGGGAGACACAGTCCCAGGGCGAGACCCCCCACCCTGCACAGACAGAGCCAGGCACCCACCGAGGGATACAGGAAAGCAGACAGAAACAGAGAGGCAGTGATGGGGAGAGACGGGAGCCCCAGGCAGCAGGGAGAGAGTGGCCCCAGGTCACCCCAGGGGGAGGGCCTGACCCCCCCTACTCACTTGCTGAAGCAGTGGGCGGCTGTGAGCACCCACTGGGGGTGCACCAGGACGCCCCCGCACGCTGTGAGACCACCGCGATTCACAGCCACGTGCCAGGGCTGGGAGTGCTTGTCACACGCCCAGCCGCCTATGATCCGGGACTGGACGAGGGGCACGGCGCCTGCAGAGGGGTGCGGGGCAGGGCCAGGGCTGACGGGTCTCAGCCAGCACAGGGAGCTTCCGGCAGAGCACCCAGTGTGGGAACCAGGACGGTTTGGAACCTGGCAGCGTGGAGGGGCTGGGGTGGGGCTGGGGGCCTCGTTCTCTCATCTGGGGTGGACTGAGGGCTGGCGGGACAGGCTGGGTGCTGGGTGGGAAGGGGGGACTAGAGGGAGAGGAAGCAGTTGAGCCTGGGCCTGCTTTCCCTCCCACTGCCCCCGAGCCCCCCACCCCCGCTCACCAGTGCCCCCCAGGGGCAGGGAGAGGCACAGAACCAGAAGCCACATGGCGAGAGAGGCGTCCGGGGGCGGGTGGTGAGCTTAGGGCGGTGGAGCCTTCCGGGGGAGCCTTATACAGGCCTCCCTCGGCCCTGCCCCTGCTGCCTGGGAGGGGGCTGCGTGTCTCCTCCCACACTCAGAGCCGGGAGGGGGAGGGGAGTCAGTACTCGTTCTGACGACACCAGCTCACCCTGGACGCGTTCCCAGGCCGGCCCTGCGGATCCTGCACGTTTGTTCTAAGGGAGTCCCGGGCTGACCGGGAGCAGGGGCTGGGATAATCACCGACCCTCAATACCAAGCCCGAATACGTCTTTGCGCCCCAAGACCCCAAGTGTCCCGAAACACCAGCACCACGGGGCTGCACCAGGACGCTCACGCCTCTGGTTCTCACACTCTCCCACCCAGAACCTACTTCCCCAAGTCCCCCGCACTTCTCAGAGCACAGCAGAGCGTCGTGGCACCACCCAGCCCAGCACCCTCCGATCCGGACACCTGCGCCCCCCACGCCAACTTCCCCAGCCTGTGTACACCCTAGGCGAGATCAGAGAAGTGCCGAGTGTATGCACGGAGAGAGTGCCGCTGGGGTCGCCCCCAGCGAAGACCCTAAGGACGGGGGCGGAGGGGTTTGCTCACACCGTGACCCCTCCGCCCCTTCCCCGGACTCAGCCGGCGGAAGGCAGTTTGAGGGAGAGCCTGTCGGGTCCAGAAGCCCCAGGCACCTCCTAGTCCCCGCCCAAACATCAACCAAAACCGACCCAATCCAGTTTACCACCACCCCAACCCCTGCGCTGTCCCCCATTTATAATCCAACCACATTGGTGTCCAGCCGGCGCCCACCTCCGGGCCTTCCGTCTCAAACCCCAGGCCTAACTGCGTCCCGACTACCGCAGCCGTGTTCCCCAGCCAACACCACACCAAGCCTCTCCCACCCCGACCACCGCCACGCGGTCCATCCCAGCCCCAAGCCCTGTCCCCGCCTCTAACCCACCCCCACCTGGCCCTCCGCGCTCATCCCCCTCCGCCCTCAGCCCTACACCCAGCACTTCAGCCAAAGGGAGCCAGGCACGGCCGCACCCCAACTCTCCAACGCGCCCACAAAGCCCCAACTCCAGGCCCTTGTCCCTGCATAAGGGAAGCCCTTGTGCTTTTATGGACGGTGACGGTCCCACGCGGGTCCCTGTGGCCACAGCATCCCGTTCGGACACCAGCCCCTGGCCCGACACCGCGAGGGCCTCGAACACCTTGGAGCCGGCCTGTGGCAGCCCGGTAGTCACCACGTGGCCGGGCTGGGCGCAGGAATGCTACGTCACTATCAGGTGCCAGGAAGGCACTGACCACTGACCACCCGGACGCTGCGCATGCGCAGATCGGGGTGCACCTGGGTTTCCCCGCTTTGCATTCCTGTAGGCGTGGGTCGTCGCTCACACGTGACATGAGGAGAAGGCGGGAAAGGGCCTCTAAGCTTTTGGGAGCCTGGCTTTCTCACAGCATGACTCCCATGCGGCCAGCCCCTGCCCCTCGGGCACTCCGGCGTCTCGCATAGGCCTGGATGGCGCCGTCTCGGGTTCCAGCCCGGGAAGCTGAAGCCACAGGCGCCTGGCGGTGGGGCCTCGCCGGCCGCTCCCCTCAGCCCTGGGGGGCCCTGGGACTGGGAACCCACGACCTCCGGCGCAGGGCCTCCGCCTCTCGCGCCTGCAGAACCCAGGGCTCTGGAATACTCGGGCGCCGCCATTCGGAGCTCTTGGCCTCCAGCACGCGAGGCCGCCCTTGCGGGAGCCTTGGAAGCCAGGCCCAGCCCCGCGGCCGGGCGGGGAGGCGGGACGCGGGGGACGCGGGGCTGGGGGACCTTCCGCGGCCCGGGCGCCGCCGACGCCTCTTCCCTGGGCCGTCTCCAAGGGCGGTGGGAGCGGGGCAGCCTGGCAGGTCGGGTTCCCCGAGAGCGGGTTTGCTTGCTGTCCTAGATCGCCGCGATAACGCTCCCGCGGCGGGTTGGGAACAGCAAATACGTTCTGTTCGGCCAGAGCAGGGCTGCCCCCGGGCCAGGCCAATAAAGAGACGGCGCCCTTCGAGGCCGGAGGCCGGGCAGCTCCGCCAGGGCGCAGGCCGCGGGTGCGCAGCGTCCCCCGGGGCTGCCCCGAGCGCGGCGGGAGTGGGGGCCCGGGAGGGGCGGCGCCGGAGCCTCGGCTGTCCCCTGTGCCCGAGTCCCACAGGCCTTGGTCTCCGACCCAGGAAGCTCGCGTGCCCCTGTTCTGCCTGAGTCAGGCCAGACTCGTTTTCCTGGGAGACACCTCGTGGCCACCCTCCCTGAGCCACGACCCCTCTCTCGGCCACGCGCCCGGAGCCGCACAGCACCGCGCGGTGGTGGCCACGCGTTCCGTGGGGACAGCCCTGGCTTGGGCCCATGCCCTGCGCGGAGACCGCGCGGTCTCCCTCCGTGGCCGGGGGAAATCCCGGCTCGCGGCGGCTCTGCTGGGACTTCTCGCCGGGGCTCTCCTGGGCTTTCCCCGTGCGCCTCTCCCCTCGCTGGTCTTCGTCCGCGCCCTGTAATAAACCATGGGCATCACGGCTCCTGGCCAACGGCTGAACCTGCCAGCGGTTTTAGTGCGTCACAGGGGGTGTCAGCGGGGAGGGTCTTCTTGGGACACCCCCCCCCCAGTGCTGCTGTCCCCGCCCTAAAGCGGGAGAACGGGAGTCAGGGGCCCATTGCGACATCAGCAGAGCTGGGCTTATCATCATCAGTCCAGACCGAAGTCCAGGAGGCCCGGTGGGGATGCACACACACGCAGGGCCTGGTACAGTACTGGATAGGGTTGAGTTCGTGGCTGTGGCCCCACTGAGCAGGAATGTTCTAGAGCTGCCACTGCCCCCGGGGGCGTCAGAAAGGCTGCAGGGGTCAGTTTGGTCATTTGCTTAAAACAGAGATGGACAGGGGGAGGCCGCAGAGAGGGGAGGCGAGTGGATGGCACTGGCAGAGGCGCTGGCCGGTCCAGAGGGAAGCGGAGGCGGATGCAGGCGGGGGTGGCGCCTCGGAGCTGGCATCAGCCCCCGCGAGGGCGGGCCTCGCCTTTCTCAGTGGCCGGAGACCCCTTCCGCTGCTCCGCTGCATTTCTGGGCGGACAGCCTCTTCAGTCTCGTTTTTAGAGCAGAGAGAAACAATTCCATCATTGACATGATCTCCTTCACAGCCGGCGCCGCGGCTCACGTGGTTAATCCTCCACCTTGCGGCACCAGCACACCAGGTTCTAGTCCCGGTCGGGGCGCCAGATTCTGTCCCGGTTGCCCCTCTTCCAGGCCAGCTCTCTGCTGTGGCCCGGGAGGGCAGTGGAGGATGGCCCGAGTGCTTGGGCCCTGCACCCCATGGGAGACCAGGAGGAAGCACCTGGCTCCTGCCTTCGGATCAGCGCAGCAGCCATTTGGGGGGTGAACCAACGGAAGGAAGACCTTTCTCTTTGTCTCTCTTTCTCACTGTCTAACTCTGCCTGTCAAAAAAATAAATAAAATGATCTTCACAATCTGTGTCTCATCTTCGCCCTTTGGGAAACAGATGTTTGCACTTCAGTGGTCTCCGCTGGGCGTCTCGTCTCAAGTCTGAGGACTGCTGCTGCGTTTGGGGACAACTCCAACCAAGTCTTCCAGACACGTCCAGAGGCTTCCGATCCTTCCCTGCTCCCGGCTGCATCGCTTGTGACCGGTGACACCGAGTGCTCGTTTCCTTTCCTTGGTGCAGGGCACGAATCGTGAGTCTGTACTGCACTCATCCGTGTCACTACGGGTGACAAATAGCACAGATGTCAGTTTAACAAGAAATCAGCGGATACGTGTGCACGTGGGGCCAGACACGGAGGCAGCACGTGGAGGTCACAGAGCCCAGAAAGTGACAGAGGTTATCTGGGACGAAAAGCCTTCTCAGCATGGCTTCGAAAGCACTGGTGACCTCGTTATGTGAAAATTAAAAATTCTCGCTGACAAGTCACTAGAGCTGACAAGCTTGTTGAAGAATGAAGAGTCTTTATTTATAAAAGAAAACTATACGGTGTTCAAAACCAAGGACGGACTAGTGAGCATCTTTGAGGCTAGTGCCCACACGGCCTGCAGTCGCTGGCATCCCACAGGGACGCCGGCTTGAGTCCTGGCTGCTCCACTTCCGATCCCGCTCTCTGCCGGAGCTCCCAGCTCTGGGTCGCAGTTCCAACACGGAGACCTCACACGCTCCAGCGCCAGTGTCCAGTCCCACTCTGGGTCTTTAAGTCGATCTCCCCACACCGCCTCGGTCCTCTGGCCACCTGCCCCTCAGAGTTCATTCCTGGGCAGATACCACTTGAGCACCTTTAAAAAAAAAAGGTTTATTTATTTGAAAGTCAGAGTTACACAGAGAGGAGAGGTAGAGAGAGAGAGAGAGAGAGAGAGAGAGAGAGAGAGGTCTTCCATCCACTGGTGCACTCCCCAGTTGGCCACAATGGCCAGAGCTGCGCTGATCTGAAGCCAGGAGCTTCCTCCAGGTCTCCCACGTGGGTGCAGGGGCCCAAGCACTTGGGCCATCTTCCACTGCTTTCCCAGGCCACAGCAGAGAGCTGGATCGGAAGTGGAGCAGCCAGGACTCGAACCAGTGCCCATATGGGGTGCCGGCCCTGCAGGTGGCAGCTTTACCCACTATGCCACAGCACCGCAACTGAGCATCTTTGAGGATGAAAATTGAATGACCCCTTATCCAGGTTGGGGGGGGGTCCACGGACCACAGCACGGGGGGTGGGGGGCGGCAAAAGCTACAGAGGGGCAGTGATTTCTTTAAAACAACAAAACTCAGAGACTTCTACCGAAACCGCAGACAACCGTGAGGTGGAGGGGAGAGGGGAGGAGTGGGGGGGAGGAAAGGGCCCGGGGCCCCAGAGACATTTCATCTCCTCTCACAGAGGCCCTGTAGGGCACAGGGTCCAGGAAGGGGAGGGAGTGGGCGCCCTGCCCCCAACCAAGGCAAGAGGCCCCTGTCCAGCGAGGACGTTTTAACCACGTCTCCCCACACTGGCACTGGCTGCCACCTGCCGCCTGCCGCCTGCCGCCAAACCCCATCCGAGGGCAGGGGCCCGAAGCTGCAGGCCTGGAGCAAGGCAGACGTCGGGTCTGGGGTCAGGAAGAGGCGAGAGGTGCGGGCTGATGTTCCGCTGCGAGCAGAGCCTTGGGGCTGAGAGGCCCAGATGCTGGCCCAGGAATGCCGCAGCCTGCGGGGTGTGCACGGCCTGGGACACCTTGGAAGGCATGAGCTGCAGCCACCGGCGACAGGGTCTGGGGTGAGGGTCTGTGGACCCCAGGCTGCCCGCTCTCTGGTCTGCCCCTCACGCAGCTCGCGGGTAACCACCCCACTGCCCGGGCGCCCGGAACCTGCCACCTCCTCTCAGGGCGGCCATGTGGATGCGTGACAGGCCCTGCCCGGGGGCCCTTTCCAGTATGGAGTCTCCCCTGGCGCTGCCCACTGGTGTGTGCTGTCCAGCCGGGGCCAGAGAAGGGACCCAGGACCCCAGGGAGCCTTGTGTCCCATGGTGCGTGAGAGGGGCTGGGTGTCGTCCTCCATGGGCGCTAGACTCCTGGGCTCCTCCTGCGCTCCGGAATGCGAGGACGTGCCCAGCCCACCGTCCTCACTGTCCTCACCGTCCTCACTGTCCTCACTGCCCGATGCCTGGAAGCCGGGTGCAAGTCTGGTCTAGGAAGACCTGGAGGCAGGGTTTGATGGCAGCGGGGGTGAGAATTCTCCTAGCTGTGGTCTGAGTTTGAACGGGGAAGGTGTGGGGGCTGAGATTTCCTCCAGAGAGGACAGAGGGCCCCTCCCTGCCAGGCCTGTCCTGCCGGCCGAGGGCATCTGCCTCTGATGCTACGGGAGCCAGCAGGTGCCCAGGGGGCAGGACAGGGCCTCACCCGGTGCTCACGGGCTCCCTCTGGTGGCTGTGGGGGAACCAGCTTGCTCCAGGTGGGGAGACGGGTCAGGAGCGGCCTTGCCCCCCGCCTCGAGGTCCCCGGGGCCCTGCTCACAGGCTCCCGACCCCAGTGCGTCCTGGTCTCAGAGCTGACCCTGCCCTGCCCCTGCTCACAGCCTTCCATAGCTCCCCAGTGCCCTGGGGAGGGGGCATCAGAGCGGCCTGGAGAGGGGCCTCTGGCTGAGCCCTGAGTGGGGGAAGGGTCCTGGACCCTGAAGTCCCTGCCCCTCGGCCTGGACTCGAGCCGCTGTCGCCGTGTTGGTACCTCCCTGCCTCCCCTGGGAGTGGACTCAGCGCTGCCAACCTCCCCCCACACACACACCGCCCCGTCTCCCTGTGCTCCCAGGGTGACGTGAGTGGGAGTGCTGCTCTGTGACGCATGTCTCAAGGCAGCCCTGGGCAGGACACCAGGCGGCACCCGCCAAGGCACCTGGATGCCCACACGGCAGCACCAGGACGCAAACCCAGCCCCCCTCCCGGGTTCAGGACATCCCAACCTGCTTCTTAGCCAAACACCCGCCCCAGCAAGTGAGGAACGTCCGGTGGGGCCTCTGTGTGCTGGGTCCCCGGAGACACGGGCAGGCTGAGCGCGGTTCTCCCGCGCAGAAAAGCCCCAGGAAGGTGCCAGTCTCTAGGCTGAGCAGCGGCTGAACTGGAGGCAGCGGGAGGAGTGTGGGAGACCTGGGGACCGGTTACGGGAACGCCCGCAGTCGGGGCTCGACGCCTGCAGCTGTCTTTCTCTTGTCCCAGTTTTCTAGGGACTCCCAACCCCCAGCTCCACTTCCAATTCCCGCTCCCTGCTGACTCAGACCCCAAAGAGCAGCAGTGATGGCCCAAGGGCTTGCGCCCCCCGGCCCCCATGTGGGAGACCCAGAAGAAGCTCCTGGCTTCCGCCAACCCAGTCCCAGCTGTTGCAGCCGTTTGGGGAGTGAGCCAGGGGAGGGAAGACCTCTCTCTCTCTCTCTCTCTCTCTCTCTCTCTCTCTCTCTCTCTCTCTCTCTCTCTCCCCCTCACTCCCTCTCTCTGCCTTTCAAATAACTAAACCAGTGTCTATTTAAAAAATCATTAAGACCCTCCCCTTGCCCTAGCTCGGTGGAGAGCCATGTGGTCTCCACAGCAGGTGCACTCCCACCGCGAGGCCCTGCCGCCCTAGGTGAGCCCGGGAATCGTCGCAGCACCTCTGCCTCCCGGTGGGTGACAGGCTGACTCCGCAGAGGTGGGACTCAAACCCACGCCGCCTGGCTCCAGCGCCCACGTCTGAATCGCGGGCTGTGTAACTCAGCCTGATTCTCGGACAGACATGCCTGCTCCAGGGATGCAGTCCCACTCCAGCCTGAGACGGCCAGAGGGGCTGGCTTCTCACCCCAGGGGAGACAGGACCCCTGGGACCCTGCGCAACGACCCTGCCCTCTCCCCGTCCTGTGTCAGCAGCCATCAGTGGCCATAGTCTGGGCCCTTTGCTCGGACTAACCCGATGCTTCCTGCAGATTCTCCAATTCGATTGTTTGGTGTTTTTAAGGACAAGAGACTGAGACACAGAGACTTCGGGGGAGGCTGAGCCCCTCGTGCGGGTGTGTCCCCAGGGTGGGCAGCACGCAGGGGCCGTCTCGCTGGAGAAGGGGCAAGGGGGTACCTGCCCCAACAGAGAAATCCCAACCGCCGGGAACCTCAGACTGAGCGCCGGGACCTGGTCGGGGGAGGGGAGGGCGGGTGAGCTCTAATCGCAGAGACCCGGGGGGTGGGGGCACGTGGTGCCCCAGAGACGGGAGGGGGCAGGCGGGGACGGCGCTGGGGTCGTTCCTCAGACCCAGGACGAGGGACAGACAAGGGGGTTTGGGGAAAGAGGCCAAGAAGAGGAGAGGGGCCTAGGGGCGCGGGGGGCGCCCAGGAGCAGAGATTCGGCGTCAGAGGGGGAGACCCGCGTGTCTGGGAGCTGAACCCAACAAACCAGGGAAAGGAAGACCCCCGGGGGCGGGAGAGGGGAGGGGAAGGGGGGAGGGACTCCTCAAGGACGCCCCCACCCCGCCCCAGAGCACGTGGGTCGCGCCAGGGAGGTGGGCGCAACGTCAGCGCGTCCGGCGGAGCAGGCTGGGCGTGCGCTCACGGCCTCCGCTGGGGGTTGGGGGGGGCGCCGCGGGTGTCCTGGGTGCGCCTGCATGGGACGGAAGGAGGCACACGTGCGTGTGCCCTGGAAAGCGCGTGGCACAGGCCTAGCCCCTGGCCCAGGACCCCAGCGCCTTGTCGCTGCGCAGACACAGGGGGATTCCGGGGCTCCTGGAGTGCGAGCCCCGGGTTCCCGCCCTGCGAGGCCTTGTGCGTGGCGGTCGCCTGCGCCGGCACCTCTCCGGGCCTCAGTTTCCCCATGTCGAGGAGGCCCTGCAGCTCCGCCTGTCCGGAGAGGGCGAATGAGCCCCGGGCACGCGCAGCCCCTGTAGCCGCTCCACCGGACGGATCTGGGAGACAGAGGAGCTTCCAGCCTGGGACCCCACGAGGGCAGCATTGAGTTTGTAGGATTTCTGCAGTGCTGAGCGTCTAGGGATCCAGCAGGCGGGAACCGCGGGGTGTCTGAGGACTGCGGCTGCAGAATCTCAAAGTCTGGTACCGCGCGCACGGAGGGGGCACGCTTCTCACCGCCCCACCCCTCGCGGGCGGCTGCGGCCAGTCCCTCCCTCTCTGGGACCTTACGGAGGCAGGATCGGACTCCAGACAGTTGCTCAGAGCCATCTGGAGTTCTGAGCCTTGAGAAGCCAGCTCAGCCGCAAATCCGGAAGCCTTGGGGCACCAGAACCCTGAATTAAGCCTGCAGGGGCCAGAATGGCGAGCCCAGGTTCCAGGCTGGAACGTCCCACTTTGCCAGCCAAGATCCTAACAATCTCCGAATCCCGGAAGTCAGGCCCTTGCCTCCCGGGCCAGCCTTAAAGGAGTGTGCAGGGGCCGCGCTGTGGCACAGTAGGTTAATCCTCCGCCTACGGCGCCCGCATCCCATATGGGTGCCGGTTCTAGTCCCAGCTGCTCCATTTCCGATCCAGCTCTCAGCTGTGGCCTGGGAAAGCAGTGGAAGATGGCCCAAGTCCTTGGGCCCCTGCGCCCACGTAGGAGACCCGGAAGAAGCTCCTGGCTCCTGGCTTCAGATCGGTGCAGCTCTGGCTGTTGCGGCCATCTGGGGAGTGAACCAATGGATGGAAGACATCTCTCTCTCTCTCTCTCTCTCTCTCTCTCTATCCTTCTCTCTCTGCAACTCTACCTCTCAAATGAATAAAGAAAATCTTAAAAAAAAAAAAAAAAAAAAAAGAGCATGGGCCGGCGCCGTGGCTCACTTGGTTAATCCTTCACCTGCTGCACTGGCATCCCATATGGGCACCGGGTTCTAGTCCCAATTGCTCCTCTTCCAGTCCAGCTCTCTTGCTGTGGCCCAGGAAGGCAGTGGAGGATGGCCCAGGTCCTTGGGTCCTGCACCCGCATGGGAGACCAGGAGGAAGCACCTGGCTCCTGGCTTCGGATCAGCGCAGCACCGGCCATGGCGGCCATTTGGGGAGTGAACCAGCAGATGGAAGACCTTTCTCTCTGTCTCTCTCTCTCTCTCACTGTCTGTAACTCTACCTGTCTAATAAATTAATTTAAAAAAAAAAAAAAAGAGCATGCAAGCAAATTTGAAGCTCCAAAGTCTACCCAGGAAACCCCAGCGTCTGGACTGAGAGTTGAGAATGTATTGCATAAATTCAAAGCCCCAAATCTGCCTTAGGCTCCACACAGCAGGTCCCCGGTCATCGCAAACACCACACTCAGACAGCTGCAGTCTGGACTCCTGGGTGCCGAGGCCCAGGATCCAGAATCCAAGCCCGAGACCCTGTCACCCAAAGACCCCACACCAGGCTCCGGAAGTCAGACTTCAGGTCACAAGCCCCAAACTCCAGACTCCCAGCCGGCATCTCGGCTCTAGAGCCCCACCCCCGCCCAGCCTAGGCACAAGGAGCCCGCTTTTCTGCCCTTGCTCTCCCGCCCCCTCCGCGCGGACGCCCTGGCCCTAGGGGAGAATGCCACCTCGGAGACTCAGACGGCAGCTTCAGTCCCATAAATGCTCATTAGGACCGGTCCGCCACCCAGGCGTCCCGCCTGTAAACCTGCCCCCTCCGCCACCTCCCACCGCACCCGGCACCACCCCAGCCCCAGACCCAGGTGGGGCTGCGAGCTATAAATACCGACAGCCCGGCGCCTGCTCCCCTTCTCCGGGCCTCCAACCTGCCCTGGGTGCGGCGGAAGGATCTGCGGGTGGTGAGACCCACGTGGCAGAGCAGGGAGGGGGAGGTGCCGGATGCTGCGGTCTCGGGGTGGGGGGGGGGGTGGCAGAGACACCGATCACCCCCAGTGGAACCTGAATGGGGAATGGGGAAGCTATCTCGGAGCCCCAGGAGGAGATGGGGTGGGGGGAGGAGATGGTGTGAGTCAGGGGCGTCCCTGGAAGAGCCCAGAACAGGGTCAGCTCAGCTGAGGTCTGGCGTGGGCAGGCCCCAGGCTGGGGGCAGTGTCGGGGACACAGGGCGCACCCAGCCTGTGCCCCACTTCACTGCGGGCCTCTGGCTGTCAAGAGATGCCTGTTGGGGTGGGAACCTCTCAGAAGCGCTGGGGCTGAGCCTGGGCGGACCAGCACGAATCTGGAAGCTTCCGGAGGCTGGAGTCCAGAGTGGAGGCAGGGCAGGGCTGCCCAAAGGAAGTTCCCAGTCTGACGGAGGAGGCCACGGAGAAGCAGGAAGTGGGCCTAGAAGGGAGCGCAGCCCCGGGAGGAGGCAGGGACGGGCTGAGCAAAGGCACAGAGGGCATGAATCTTGCCGGGGGTGGGGGGTGGGGGTGGCCTTGGCCGAGGATCTGCGGCTTTATCCAGGGAGCACTGTGACCAGGGGAGGGGCACAGACCCTCGACGCCTGGGGGGTGGGGGCTGGGCGGGAGGGGACCCAAGAAGCTGGAGTTGTCCTCAGCGTCCTGAGTGGTAGGGTCTGAGCCAGGGGAGCATCCGGGACCTGTCCTGGGAGGGGTGGGGGCGCCCTGGTCTCGGGGGCAGGTAGCCATGGGAAGGTCCAGCCCCCACCCCCTCCTCTCCCTCCCCTCCCAGGCTGCAGCTGGGCGCCGGTCCCTGCTGCACCATGTGGAGTCTCCTTGCCCTGTCCTTCCTGCTGACGGCTGCAGGTAACACGGGCCCTGCACCTGGGGGAGGGCGGGCCCCCTACCTCAGCCAAAGCCGTGCCGCCCTCATTCCTGCCCCCCTGCCAAGGTCCCTGAGTTCTCACCCCCCCCCCCGGGTCGCTGTGCCACCTGGGACGATGGACACAGAAGCCTGGGGCTGTCCGCTTCTTTGCTGCGCGACCTTGAGGTGATCACTCACCGCCCCCTGGGCCCCGGGCCCTGATCGCCCTCTCTCTCTAGAACGACACCTATCTGGGATCGCCGAGGCCCCATGCTGTGCTGTGGGGCATGCACGTGATCGGAGGCCAGGCTGGCATCTGCCAGGGGCTCCGCACCTCTGTGGCCTGGGCTCACGCTGGACACAGCCACGGCCGACCTGTGGGACAGGACCTGCCCCCGCTGGGCCCTGTGGGGCGGGCAGGCTTGGCCGAGGGTTTAGAATGTGCCAGCGCGGCACTTGGTGTGCACGCCCGTCCTCCGTGGAAGGAGGGCACTGCTGCCCACTTCTGACAAGGGGAGGGGCCGTGGCCCAGAGAGGGGCAGCCACTAGGTCAAGGTCAGTCTGGGTGGTGGATGACCTCCAGCCACCACCCATGGAGGAATGAGTTGTAACCTGATGCTCTACCCTGGAGAAATCGGGGTGTAGACTTGCATTAACCCCCCTTCCTGCCCCATGTGACTGGCTCCTGGGCCCACACTGCCAGCCTCCCCTGGGGCTCTCGCTGTGCCCTCTTGGTCCTGCCTTCGGCCTGCTGCACCCGGTCAGGGCCTCTGCCCTCCTCCTGCTTGGACCGGCCAGGTGCAGCTCTGGGCTTGCAGGGGACAACCTCACCCTTCCCCTGTTAAGCCCCTCTCGTCCACCACATCCGCATTCCCCAGGCCTTTGGGCCGGTTCCTGCCTCTGCTGGGCAGAGGGTAGGTGTCTGGGCCATGCAGAGCCTGTGCTGCCCCCCCCCACTCTGTGTGTGTGTGTGTGTGTGCATGGATGTGGCTCTGAGGGAACACATCCCTGTGCCCAGAGTGACTGTGTGTGTGACCTTGAAGCATCCTTGTGCATGGTGCCCTTGTCTGTGTGGAGGGTGGTGTGCAGAGCCCTGGGGTCCCCGTCCTGTCCCCACATCTGAAACCCAGTGACCTGGCTCAGCCACCTGCATCTCTGGCTGTGTGTCTTTGACCTTGAGTGCCCAGGCCTGTGGCTGGGTATCGCCCTGAGAGTCTGACACACTCAGAGCCCGCCCCGAGTCAGCGTCTGGGACTCTGACCCTACGAGAGAGGGCTGGCCAGTGAATCACGGTCCCGCCGGGTCTCCGCAGGTGTCTGGCTTGTTCTGGCCATGTCAGTGTCCACCACGTGGACAAGCAAGAGCATGTTGCTATAAATAAATCCGTGTGTACTTTGTGGCAATAATTAATAATTGTTAAGCAGTTGCATTATACCACACACACACGCAGGTGCATCTCCTGTTACAGGTGAGAGGTTAAATAATGTGATCAGAGTTGCACGGCCAGTGTGTTTGAATCCAGGGTTAAGGGCCCACTGTCATTGTTAAGCTGTGAGACTGGGACTGGGAACCCATGTCTCCTCTGTGTCCAGCTGTGTGCATGTGCCTGCGCGTCCCTGTGCGTGCGTGCGTGCGCGCGCCTGCGTCCCTGTGCGACCGCCTGTGCCGTCATTCCCCGAGCTGCAGCCCGTGTACTTGCAGGTGACTTCGGGCTCCAGCGGCTGCCCCCGTCTGTCTGCACCCTGTCGGCGCGGCTGCCCGCGTCTGCGCGCGCGTCCCTGACCTTGTGCGGCCGCGGCGGCCGCGTCTCCCCGGTACACTGACACCGGCTGAGAGGGGTGTCGCCCAGATTTGAGTGTCCTCATCCACTTGATATCTGTGACAACTTGGTGACCTTGAGGGACTGCTTCCAAGTGTCCCCTCTCTCCCGCAACCCCGCCCTCTGGCCGGTGCCCCAGCCTCTGCCTCCCAGAGCCCTCAGAGCAAATGGAGAGGGGGCTGGCGTTCTGGGGGAGGGGGCGGCAGGTGTAAGACCCAGCGGGGACAGCGCGGGGTGGGGGAAGGCGTGGGCGGGAAAGACGCGGGGGAGGGGCTCGGGGGTCTTCCACGCGCTCTCCCCGCAGCCCAGGGCGGTGGCAAGCAGAAGGAAGACGAGGAGTGCGTGCCCTTCTCGCAGCCGTGGCAGGTGGCTCTCTACGAGCGTGGACGCTTTAACTGCGGGGCTTCTCTCATCTCCCCGCGCTGGGTGCTGTCGGCCGCCCACTGCCAGACCCGGTACGCAGGCTGGGTGCCCAGGGCCGCGGCTGAGGGTGGGACCTCTGCCTCCCCCCCCCCCCCCGCGCCTCCACCCCCAGGCCTGGACCGCTGGGTCGGGGAAGGACCCCCGCCTCCTGGGTCTGGAGGAAGCAGCTTCGGGGGAAGCGGGCTGTGGGTTCCCAGCCCAGAGGCCCCCCGGGACGAGAAAGGAGACTGATAACGTTTGGGCTTTGGGGGGCCTGGATCTGAGACTCTTAGGTTCTGCCCCAGCAGGGGCTGGGGACAGGGTTCCAGGCGCGCGCCTGAGGATAAGAGACAGCAGCTGGAACCATTGGCGTCGGGGTCATGGGAAAGGCTAATGGGATCCGGGGTTTCCCACTCATTGAGCCTCCTCTCTGCGCATGCGCTTAGCTTCATGCGGGCGCGCCTGGGCGAGCACAACCTACGCAGGTACGACGGCCCGGAGCAGCTGCGGGCGGTGTCCCGCATCATCCCGCACCCGGGCTACGAGGCGCGCAGCCACCTCCACGACATCATGTTGGTGCAACTGGCCCGTGCAGTACACCTGACACCTCAGGTGCGACCCGTGGCGCTGCCCACGCGCTGCCCCCACCAGGGCGAGGCGTGCATGGTGTCCGGTTGGGGCCTGGTGTCGAACAGTGAGCCTGGGACCCCCGGGAGCCCCAAGTCGCAAGGTGCGTGAGAGGACGGTGCTGCCGGTCGGGCCTCCAGGGGCTCTGTCCTCCGGGGCTCGCGGGAGGAGGGAGGGGACAAGAGCCCCGCGCCCACTGTGCACCCCCCGCCCCACCCAGTGAATCCGCCAGACACCCTGCACTGCTCCAACATCAGCATCATGGCGGACGCATCCTGTAACAAGGACTACCCCGGGCGCGTGATGGCCACCATGGTGTGTGCAGGAACAGAGGGCGGAGGCACAGACTCCTGTGAGGTCAGAACCCACAGCCCCCTCCCCCCCCCCAGGGGGAGGAAGAGGGCAGGGGGAGGCAGGTCTGGGAGCTGGGGTGCGGTTGTATTCTGCTTGCCTCGGGCCAGGGATGGAGTAGGCAGAGCAGCCCAAAATGGGGATGGGTGGGGTTGGAGCTGGTGTTAAGAGACGGAGGCCAGGTTGGGTCGGGTGGGGGATGGCACGCGCTGAAGCTGAGGACGGGTTTGCTTTGATTTGGGGGGTTGAAGTGGAATGGGGTGGGTTTTGGTTGGGGTGTGGAAGACGCGGAGATTGGGACGGAGGGGTGATGACGGAGGGAGGGCATGGGTGTGGGCTGCTGTCGAGGGGAGACGACTGAGGGGTGGGCTGGTTCGGATTTAGGTCCGCTCAGTTGGGTTGGGGGGTGGGCGTGGTTGAGTTGAGGTTGCCAGGGATGGACTGGGCTCTGGTTGACACTGAGGCTGGTGATCAGGATGGGGATACGCTACATCCTACATCCGGAGGTGTCGCCTCCACCTGAAACTCCCCTCTTCCCTCCCCCACAGGGCGACTCTGGGGGACCCCTGATCTGCGGGGGTGCCCTGCAGGGCATTGTCTCCTGGGGTGACGTCCCCTGTGACACCACCACCAAGCCTGGCGTCTACACCAAAGTCTGCCACTACCTGGAGTGGATCAGGGAGACCATGAAGAGGAACTGACTGGTGGGCTTTGCCACCTGTGCCCCTGACCGAGCAGATGCCCCCAAAGCCTGCAGGGAGCCCTCCCAAGACTCTGTCCACGGCCCAGGTGTTAGCCAATGACTTGTCCCACCAGAAGCCAAAGCTGGCACTCAAAGACCACCTGCTTAACGCCCAGATAACACAGAATGCTGACCCCAGTCCCTCTGTCCGCGTCTCTGTGGCTTTCTTCTGGGAGTGATGGTTGCGGGAACCCAGAGACACTGCCCCCCGACCCCTAGTGAACAGACACAGCTTGGGCAGGGCTCTGTGCACTGGACACGCAGGACTGGCTGTGTGATCCTGAACAAGAGGCCCTGCCTCACTCGGCCTTGCTGGTCCCATCTGCAGAATGGGACCCGTTTTGTTGCTCACCTCACGGGGTTGCCGCTGCTGTGTGGGTTCAACGAGGCGATTCTCGTGAGCTCGCTAGAATGCTGTCTGGCACTGGGTAGCCCCTCCGCCTACCGACCCCGGCATAAGGACCCGCACACGCTAGATTTTCAGGAAGGACCTGGCTTTTCTTCAGGATTTCACACTAGGCTCCCTGGCAGCCAAGGCAAAAAGGCAAATTCTCTGCTTTCTTTAGCCAAATTCCTGGGACTGTTGACACTGGCGGAAGCTGGTGCCTGATTCCCTTCAGAGACCCCAAAACGTGGTTTTCAAGGTCACCGAGGGTTAACGTACGTGACCCTGGCCCTGCGTGGCAGGGTGGGGGGTGGTTTGTGTGGAGGGCTGTGGTGATGACCAGACCTGGGAGGGCCGTCAGTCCAGGACTCTGGGAATTGGAGGTCATGACCTTGAGCGCCCACATGGGAGAGGCAGGGTCCCGGGGCGGGGCGGGGGATGGCGGCACTGTCTGGGGAAGACACCACACTTTGGAATGCCGGAGCTGTCGCCCTGGCACACCCCTGACGCCTCATATTCCTGGACCTGGGGGTGCTAGGATTGGTGGTGATTTTCCTAAGAGGAGCAACAGGTGGGAGCACCCCGACCCGGGGCGTTCTGAAGGCCAAGGCTTGCACTGCAGGGGAGCGGGCAGCTGACAAGCCAACATTGTGGCTCTAAGCAGGGAAGGGAATGGGGTTTCAGAGGGTGCCGGGCCTTGGGGTACAAGGCCTTACGGGGACTTGGGCATATGAGGCTTTGTACTGGGGGCCTGTGATTCCTCCGACCGCCTGTCTCTGCTCCCCCAGACCCCCGCCCTCCCTCCTGGCCTCCTGGCTCTGTCCCCAGGGCCAAGGCCCCAGGAGCTGCCAGCGCTGCCCCACATGCCCTTGCTGAGCACTTGGGCATGCGTCCAGCGAGCTCGAGGGCCTGCAGGACGACAGGTGCAGGCTCTCCCTCCCGCACCACGGCTCTGGGGTGGGAGGGGTGTGCACCCCCACACAGCAGGGGCAGGGCCTTGGCTGGCATCTGGGTGCCAGCAGGGCAGGGGCGGGGCTCTGGGGACAGGGTGAAGGCTTTTAAAGGGCTCCCCACGGAGTGGCCCCAGCTGCAAGTTCCCTGCCTGCCAGCCCCTTGGACACCTCGGTCGCCATGTGGCTCCCGGTTCTGTGCCTCGCCCTGTCTCTGGGGGGGACTGGTGAGACGGGGCAGGGGGCTGTGGGAGGGGGCGTGGGTCCTCTCCCACCTGGCACCCAGCCTCGCGCCTCCAGCCCACAGCCCGCCCCAGAGCAGGGTGCGGGCTGTCCCCCGCTTCTCACAGCCCCCTTGGCTTCTCACAGCCAAGCCCGGCACAGTCCTCCGTCCCACACTGGGTCACTGCCACCTCTCAGGGATCCCCGTGTTTTCTGCTCCCCCTGGTCAGCCCCTGTGGCCGGCCCCTTCACCCAAGGGCAGAGCTGGGGCCATCTGTCTGCCTTAGGCTCTGATCCTCTCCCACCCCTATGGCTCCCTGTGGCCCCCATGGCCTGGCTCCTGAGCCCACGGACTCTCGCCATCCAGCTCCCAGCTGTGTCCCCCAGACCTGAATGCTGTCCCCCAGATCCCGCCACCCAGATGGGGTCTGCCTCAGAATAAACACACAGAACCCAACTGTGGCCACCTTCAGTTCTAAACCCCACATCGAGGGGGTCCTCACACTGTCCCCTATCTGGGCTGGCCTCATCTGGGTCCCTTCTCTGTGCCTGCCCTGGCACTGGCCTCAAAAGAACCCGAAATTCCTCCGGTACCCTGGGACCCCATCCCGTTCCGTCCAGAGTGACCATCACTCACCACCACCTCCTGACCCCAAGCTGCTCTCAGAGCCCCCACTGACTCAGATGCCATTCCCCGTTCACGGGAGGACCCCAAGCCCTCACAGGAGCCCACGGCCCGCCTCAGCCCCGACCCTTTCACCTGGAACCTCAATTCTCCCGGCCCCTACCCAGGGGCCCCCAAGTCACTGCCAGCCACTCAGCCCAGAAGCTCCGCTGTCCTCTCAGCTGTGGCTCCGTAAAACCATGTCCTGTTTGAGCCCTGAGAGCCCAGCCCAGGCCCTAGCCATGTCCCTCCAAATCCCACCCAACCCAGCGCCCGACGTTCCCCCGGGTTTGGGGAATGTCGCTCGGCCCTCTGATCAGCCCAGCGGCCTGACGGGCACAGCCAGTGCCCGCTCCCGAGCCCGTCTGTGCCTCCCACCCTGAGCCCCGGCTCTGCGAGCAGAGCACGGAGTCTCCGCACCCAGACCCCTTGCCCTTGCCCCATGTCCCTTCACACCCCCAGAGCAGCCCCCTCTCCTAGCCTCAGTCCCTCCTGTCAACCCCACCTCCCACCCCTCTGCAGGCGCCGCGCCCCCGCTCCAGTCCCGGATCATAGGCGGCTGGGTATGCGGGAAGAACTCCCAGCCCTGGCAGGCGGCTCTGTACCACTACAGCAACTTCCAGTGTGGGGGCGTCCTGGTGCACCCCCAGTGGGTGCTCACAGCCGCCCACTGCTTCAGCGAGTGAGTAGGGGGTCAGGCCCTCCCCCTGGGGTGACCTGGGGCCACCCTCTCCCCGCTGCCTGGGGCTCCCGTCTCTCCCCATCACTGCCTCTCTGTTTCTGTCTGCTTTCCTGTGTCCCTCGGTCTGTGCAGGGTGGGGGGTCTCGCCCTGGGACTGTGTCTCCCTGTCCCCTCTCTGCCTCTGTGTCTCCGTATGTCCCCCGTCTCTGTCCATGTCTGGGTGTCTCTGCACCCATCTCTGTCCTTGTCTGTCTCTCCTGCATCTGTGTCACGCCCCTCCCCCGCCACACTAAGCACACCCGGGGTGAGCCCCAGGATGGCCCCAAGGCAAGGGACCTGAGTCCCACCTGCTCTGTAGGTGGGGTGGGCGCACAGGAAGGGCTGGGCTGCAGCTGAGCAGCTGGGGGGGAGCAATGGAGGGGAGGACTGGTGAGACGGGGAGGACTGGGGGGGGACTGGGAGGGGTCTTTGGGAGGGGGCGTGGGTCCTCTCACCTGGCACCCAGCCTCGCACCTCCAGCCCAGAGCCCGCCCCAGAGCAGGGTGCGGGCTGTCCCCCGCTTCTCACAGCCCCTCCATGCCGCCAAGCCCGGCACAGTCTGGAGGAGGGGTGCTGACCTTGGGCTGCAGGCCAGCACCCCTGCTGGGAACCCGCAGCCCAGCCCCAGCTGCTCCTCGGTGGCTCTCAGACCCCGCCCCCTCGCTGTCTCTCCCTCTCCCCCTCCTTCCTCTCCTCACTTTCCCAGCCCCTGGCCCTCCGCGGGATCTCTCTCTCTGCTTCTCACCACTCTCCCCTCCTGTCTGTGTCTCTTCTCCCGTTTCGGGTCCCTCCCCCAGACTCCCCTGCAACCCCTCCGCCCTGCTCTCCCCTCACCTCCTCCGTCCCTGTCTTTGCCCAGCAACTACCAGCTCTGGCTGGGTCGCCACAACCTGTTTGAGGACGAGGCGGAAGCCCAGTTCATCCAAGTCTCCGGCAGCTTCCCGCACCCCCGCTTCAACCTGAGCCTCCTGGAGAACCAAACCCGTGGTCCGGGCGAGGACTACAGCCACGACCTCATGCTGCTGAAGCTGGCGCGTCCCGTGCAGCTCACCAACGCCGTGAGGGTGCTGGAGCTGCCCACGCAGGAACCCCAAGTGGGGACGTCCTGCCTCGCCTCGGGCTGGGGCAGCATCACACCGATAAAGTGTACGCCTGGGCCAGGCTCCCTGGGCTGCGGGGGAGGGGCTGAGGGTCCAGGCTGCGCAGGGCCGCGGCCCTCATTCTCCCCCCGCCCCACCCCCAGTCACTTACCCAGATGAGCTCCAGTGTGTGGACCTCAGCATCCTGGCTAACAGCGAGTGTGACAAAGCCCACGCCCAGATGGTGACAGAGTGCATGCTCTGTGCTGGCCACTTGGAAGGCGGCAGAGACACCTGCGTGGTGAGCCAAGCCCCTCTCCCCCCAACCCGGGGTCTTGCAGCGTAGGGGGAGGGGACTCAGATTCTGAGCTGGGGTCCTGCCTTCAGAGCGGGAGCTGCACACGGGACACCCCTGCCTGCCTCGGGGAGCCGCCCCCTCTGGGTCCCCATGTGTGCCTGCCTCCCCACACTCTGTCTCCCCCGCATCCCCAGGGCGACTCAGGGGGCCCGCTGGTCTGCAACAATGAGCTGCAGGGCATCACGTCCTGGGGCCACGTCCCATGCGGCAGCCCCAATAAGCCTGCCGTGTTCACCAAAGTGCTGTCCTACGTGGAGTGGATCCGGAACACCATAGCCAACAACCCCTGAGTGTCCGCCCCGCCCCCTGCCCCCCGCCCCCCGCCCCCAGTAAAGACGCAATGTGCATCCGAGGCAGGACCGGCTCCCGGATTTTTGGCCGCCCAGACGCCAGGCACCCGCACTTTCGGGATCCGCTCCACGCCCTGGAAGGGGTCGCACAGCCAGGGATGCCCGGGGTCTCCGCTCACGCTGCGCCCGACCCTGCCCTGGGAGGGAAGTGGCGGGCAACCACAGGGCGTGACGCCGAGAGGTTGGACAGCACCCACAGTTTATTGAGTCGGGGGAGGCCGGGGTGTTGTTGCAAGCCACGCCTTCCAGGGGAGGGGCCTGTCCTCCCCTAAATGCTGGGCGGGCAGCGTCCTCCCGGGGACAAGCGCAGGGCTCCGGGAGAAGACTTTCGAGGTGGGCGGCCCCCGATAGGGGTGGGGAGCAGCTCTGGGGTGGGGCCTGCGAGGGCCAGCACCTGGGGGCGGGGCCCCACGGAGTAGCCGCCCGGCGTGGGGCTCAGCTTCGGCAGGGACGGGGAGGAGGTGTCGGACTCTAGGGACCCAGTGGGCGCAGACAAAGCCGGGCAGGGCGGGTCCTGGCGGCCCACCTGTCCCCGAAGGAGCAGTTGTGAGGGGGTGGAGCCTCACGGGGAGGTCACATCTTGGGGGCGTGGCCCGGCGTCTGGTCAGCGTCCTGAGAAAGCTGGAGGGCCCGCCCTAGACGGCGCAGGAGGTGGGCGGGTCCGGGGAAGGCTCGGGGCCCCTGGCCGGCCTCCGGCGTTTGGAATCAAACCTGAGGACGCACTGCTGCAAGGCCCAGCGGCGGTAGCTCCCCTGCCGATGCCTAATGGAGGTGCCCTTGCTCCACATGCCCACTTGGTTCAAGTAGGACAGGGCTCCTGGGGGGGAGCCAGGTGGGCCTTCGGCTCCGAGCCCTGCCTGGCCCCGCGAGGTCCGCCACCGCCCGGCCCCGCCCCCTGCCCTGGCGGGACCCCGCCCCTTCCCCCCCTCCTGGAGGCCTCGCCCTCACCGGCCCACAGCATCAAGACGCTGGCGCACCAGCTCAGGTAGAAGGTCACCAGGTAGGATACCTGTGGCCTGGGGTGCAGCGACTGGCAGTTGACCACAAAGAGCGTCAGGCTAAGCACAATCAGGAGTCCTGCACTGGGGTGGGGCCAGAGACGGACAAGAGGCTGGACAGTGAGACACGGAGACGCCCCTGGCCACCCACACGCCCACAGCGGACACACAGAAGGGCACGTGGGGAGAGGAAAGGAGAGAAAGACCCCCACACCCCCACACACACCTGGAGCGGGAGAGGGTGCACCTGACACACACACACACACACACACACAGCCCGAGGCAGGGACCTGGCGGACCTGGGAGCCGGGGGGAGAGGCTGGGGCGGGCGAGGCACCCCCCCACCGCGCGCCGCCATTACCGATGCTGATGCTCAGCGAGCTGAAGACCAGGTCCACCTTGCTCAGGCGGCGGAAGGCTGGCCAGAAGGAGATGCCCATGGCCGGGAGCAGGACGAGGCACGTGGCCAGGGCCAGCATCATGAAGCCCTTGCTCATGTGGATGAGAACTGGGGGAGGGGAGCAAAGCGGTGCCAGTCGCCCCCAGGCACCCCTCAGGGTCCCCCTCCAGAGTCGGCCCCGCCCCGGAACCCACAGCAGACACCCTCACCGCCACGGACCACTCACGCGGCCAGTCACTCCTGTCTCACAGACACGGCCTTCAGAGAACCCTCGCCCCAGGGGCACCCGAGGGCCCCAGCCCGCCCCGCTCCCTCATCCCAGGGCACCCAGAGGGCCCCGACCCAGGCCCACTCCCTCACCCCAGGGGCACCCAGAGGACCCCCAACCCCACTCCCTCACCCCAGGGCACCCAGAGGACCCCAGCCCGGCCCCACTCCCTCACCCCAGGGCACCCAGAGGGCCCCCGGCCCCACTCCCTCACCCCAGGGCACCCAGAGGACCCCAGCCCAGCCCCACTCCCTCATCCCAGGGCACCCAGAGGGCCCCCGGCCCCACTCCCTCACCCCAGGGCACCCAGAGGACCCCAGCCCGGCCCCACTCCCTCATCCCAGGGGAACCCTGAGGACCCCGGCCCGGCCCCACTCCCTCACCCCAGGGCACCCAGAGGACCCCAGCCCAGCCCCACTCCCTCACCCCAGGGCACCCAGAGGGCCCCCGGCCCCACTCCCTCATCCCAGGGCACCCAGAGGACCCCGGCCCGGCCCCACTCCCTCATCCCAGGGGCACCCAGAGGACCCCAGCCCGACCCTGCTCCCTCATCCCAGGGCACCCAGAGGGCCCCGGCCTGGCCCACTCCCTCACCCCAGGGCACCCAGAGGGCCCCCGACCCCACTCCCTCATCCCAGGGGCACCCAGAGGGCCCCCGACCCCATTCCCTCACCCCAGGGCACCCAGAGGACCCCCAGGCCCACTCCCTCACCGCAGGGCACCCAGAGGACCCCCGGCCCAGCCCCGCTCCTGCTCACCGGTGACTTGGCCCTGGATGGCACACTTGTGTCTCCTGCAGTCCGTCCAGAAGCCCACGTAGCCCGTGTAGGAGCCCTGCAGGTAGGCCATGCGCCCATCCACCACGCTCAGCATCATCAGGGTTGCCAGGATGCTGAAGACAAGAGACCAGCCCCGCAGGATGAACTTGCGGTCCTCCTCCCAGGTAGAGACAAGGTCCGCTGGGGAAGAACAGACGTCTGGGGGCCTGGGTCTCTCCACCCCTCACTGCACCCTCGTCTCCTTCCCCACCCAAACCACAGCCACAGCCCCCTGCACACCTGTGCTCCTGTCCCATCCCCAGCCGTAACTCCACCCCCGGCACCACCCTCGACCCAGCCATCCTGTCTCCACCTGCAGCTGTGACCGCATTCCCACCACTCACCTTAATGCTAGACGCAAGCCCCCACCCCCACCCCATGACCCTTTCCTAACCCAAGCCTGCTTGCCTGGCCTATTACAATCCCATCCTCTGGTCTCCATCCCCCAAACCCCAGTTCCATCCTGGCCCCCAGCCTCATCCCCTTATCCCTGCTCACCCCTGTCCCCACATTCCCAGTCCAGGGCATGGGTCACTACAGCAGAGGCTCCCAAGTGTGTTCATGAGGGCAAAGCCCCTGGGGCCCAAAGAGAGGACCTGAGTGGTTCACACCACACCTGCAGGTGCCTGGGACCCTGTCCCCCTTCCCAGTGTCGTCTCACACCCTCCCCCTCTGACCTCCCACCCTCAGCCACACGCAAGACTCCACAGGGTCCCTCCCACGACCAAGGGCCCTCCTCCTCAGGACACTCCCCTCCCCCTTAGCCCAGCCTGCCCTGTCAACTCCAGGGTCACTTCCTCCACATCTCCTTGTCTGCGCCTGGCACCACCAGCACCAGCACCACCCCATCCCCTGCCAGCCTAGCTCAGCTAGCCCCCCACACTGCAGACTGCACACTTGTGGCCAGTTATCTAACTTTATTATTACTATTTTCCTATCAATCTGCCTCAACAAATCAACACGAGGGCAGGAAACAATCCGTTTGTCTTCCTACCTCATCTCCATTGCCCAGTACATTTGGTCAGCAAAAGTAGGAATGAATGAGTGAACGGGCGGGTGGGTGGGGCCATAAGCAATTCATTCATTCAGTGAGCACGCACTGAGCAGTCCTGCACAGGGGCCGTTGCGAGGGCTGGAATGAGAGCACCAGCCGTGCAGTCCCGAGAGCTACAGTAATCTTAATGTCCAACAGGAGGGGAGCTGTCGGAAGCACACGAGGGCCAAATGCCACGTGGCAGAGCCTGCTGGCACCTGCCTGGTGCAACAGAGTAGAGGCTGAACTTGCACCTGGGTCCGGCACGCCTGGAACGGAGCCTACATCTCCCACCTTCCCTTGCAGCTCCAGTGGCCCTAGGACGGAGTGTGGGCCATAGGGTGGTTCCTGCCCAGTGTGCGTGGAGGAGGGAGCCATGCAGGCCAGGGACAGTGTAGGAAAAGAGGGAGCCCAGACGGCAGCATCAAGGTTCATGTGTGAGAGAAATAATTTTTCAATCATTTGAATCACCAAACAAATCGCAACTAATCCTCAATGGAATACCTCACCTCCCTGATTCTAAAATGCACACTTTGCACATTTCAACACCTCTGCAGCTCGGGGATGCATCATATAATCTGTAGCATCTTTTTTAAATGTTTATTTTCACCTACTTGAGAGGCAGAGTAAGAGAGATGAGAAAGAGATCTTCCAGCTGCTGGTTCACCCCCAAATGCCCACAACAGCCAAGGTCAGGCCAAAACCAGGAGCCAGGAACTCCATCTACGCCTCCCATGTGGGTGGCAGACGCCCCAGTACCTGAGCCATCACCTGCCACCTCCCAGGTGCACTGGCAGGAAGCTGGATCAGAAGCAGAGTAGGAGCCTGCCCTGTGGTGTAGCAGGTGAAGCCACTGCCTGCATCTCATATGGGTGCCAGTTCAAGTTCCGGCTGCTCCACTTCTGCTCCAGCTCTCTGCTGTGGCCTGGGAAAGCAGTGGAGGATGGCCCAAGTCCTTGGACCCCTGCACCTGCGTGGGAGACCCAGAGGAAGCTCCTGGCTCCTGGCTTCCGATCAGCACAGCTCTTGCCATTGTAGCTAACTAGGGACTGAACCAGCGGATAGAAGACCTCTCTCTTTCTCTCTCTCTCTCTCTCTGCCTCTCCTTCTCTCTCTGTGTAACTCTGACTTTCAAACAAATAAATCTTTAAAAAAAAAAAAAAGAGCAGAGTAGCCAGGGCTCAGACAGGCGCTCTGATAATAGTATTAGGGTGTCCAGGCAGCAGCTTAACCCACTGTGCCACAGCACCAGACCCAATCAAGAGCATCTTAAAATCACTATGCCATGTTTTAAAGATCACAGCATTGATCAGGGTTGTGTCCTAGGGTCTATGGGATGCAACGCTACATGTTTGCTAAAAATGCAGTAACATGGATATTCACGTAAGTAAAGACCTAAAACCTATGCGTGCTTTTATTTGTAAAGATCGTGGCAAAAGCCAAAAGAAAGGATGGGGATCGTTATTTGAAAGGTCGTCACCCCTAATCCACAGGAGAGCTTGCACAGCCAACTTGGGGTTCCTGCACCCCTGCTAAATGCTCTTTGAGTTTTGTTTTTTTTTAATTTATTTGAAGGGGAGAAGGGAGGGAGGGAGAGAAAGAGAGATAGAGAGAATGATTTTCTATCTGCTGGTTCACTCTCCAAGATGGCTGAGCCAGACTGAGAGAGATAGAGAGAATGATTTTCTATCTGCTGGTTCACTCTCCAAGATGGCTGAGCCAGACTGAAGCCAGAAGCCAGGAATTCCTCCAGGGCTCCCACGTGGGTGGCAGGGATCCAGGCACGTGGGCCATCACTGCTGCCTCCCAGTGCCTTAGTAGGGAGCCGGGTCAGAAGCAGAGCAGCCAGGGCTCCAACCAGCACTCTGTAGGGATGCTGGTGTCACAAGCGGCCCCTAACCCACCGCACCACACCAGCCCTGCCCCCGGTGGCTGTGGCAGGGTCTTCCTCCCAACTCAAGCCTCAGCAAGAGTCTTGGAGCTCGGGGAGCAGGCTCGGGACCCTCGAGACCCCAGGGAAGGGTGAAGGGAGACAGAGACAGAGGAGGAAGAGAGGGGACAAGACATGAAACTGAGAAAGGAATAGAAGGATGAAATGGATTCAGAAAAGGACACAGGAACGGGTGGGGGCGGGGAGCAGGTGGGAAAAGGAAATCATAAATTCAGCTCTCAGACCCCCCAAAACAGAGTGCACCCCAGAGCTGCTGCTGACCCAGCCCTGAGCCCTGCCCCTCCCCCGACCCTGCCCTTACCCCCTGATTCCACCCTGGGTTTGCCCCGGCCCATCCCTGACCAGTGACCCCTTTCTCACCCAACCACCGGATCCTGACCCTGCCCAGATCCCACGCTGAGCCCTCCCTGACCCAGCCCCAGCCCCTGTGTCACTCACGCAGGGGCCTGGGGGAGTCTGAGGCCATGGCCAACATCCTGGAACCCCCTCCAACTGTCATGGAATCCCCCTGCTCCCAGGGGCGGGCCAGGCTGAATCCCTGAGCCCTGCCTGCGGCCACGGCACAGAAACCAAGACACCAACGCCGAGGAGCAGAACTGATCCAGAGAGAAGCTGACCAGCCTCCAGGTAGCCATGAGGTGGCCGAGGTGGGGGGCTGAGCCTATCTGAGGACTGGCCCCGCCCTGCACCTCCCCATGTCCCAGAAGCCTCAGCCTGACCCCCTGGATGCTCAGCCAGCAGCTCCCAACAGCACCCAGGCCGAGAGCCATGACTCTCCCCCGGTCATCTATATCCGCCGGCTCAATGCCCACGACCCCACGCCCATCATCCAGAGCCGTCGGGCCAGCATCTGGGGAACCTCCCCGATAGCAAACACCTCCCAAGTCAACAGCCAAGAGCTGTCCCCAGCTCTCAGAACCCGCCGGGTCAGCATCCAAGAGCCACTTCCCTCCGGGACCCCCCGCTGGGTCAGCACCCAGGAGCCTCTTCACCCTGGGAGCCCTCGCAGGGTCAGCATTCAGGAGCCGCTTCCCCCCGGGACCCCCCGCCGGGTCAGCATCCAGGAGCCGCCTCCCCCCGGGACCCCCCGCCGGGTCAGCATCCAGGAGCCGCCTCCCCCCGGGAGCCCCCGCCGGGTCAGCATCCAGGAGCCGCCTCCCCCCGGGAGCCCCCGCCGGGTCAGCATCCAGGAGCCGCCTCCCCCTGGGAGCCCCCGCCGGGTCAGCATCCAGGAGCCGCCTCCCTCCGGGACCCCCCGCCGGGTCAGCATCCGAGATGCCTCAGCTTTGCAAAGTCGCAGCTTCAGCTCGCAAACCTCTAGTGTGCTGGGCAGCATGGACTCCACCCTCCAAGGCAGTTCGGTCAACGTGCAGAACTACCTGACGGCCCAGAATAGGAAGCAGAGCCTGTCGTTGGCACGGTGCAGCATCGAGGTGCCCCCGTCCATCACCCACAGCCCCGAGGCCAGCATCAGCAGCATTGAGTCTGTCATCTGTGACTCCCTGGACAGCCTCGAGGAGGCCGTGCAGGCTCAGCTGGAGCATGGCACCCTCGAAGGCACCCACAGCTTCACCTCGGTCACCTCCATTGGCGACCTTTCTTCCCGGTGAGAGACAGGGAGCCGGGCTGTAGGCAGAGCTTGGACCACAGCAGCAGACAGGGGTCGGGGCCCGGAAGCCATTGCATCAGAAAGGAGAGGGGTGGCAGGGTTTGGGGCCTGTGGGGCAGGGCACAGGCAGAGACCTGGGTGGGGAGGGTGCGCGGAGGTGGCTGGGGTCGGAAGGCGGGACCAGGGCGGCTGGGTGGGCGGCGGGTCCCGGAGCCGCCGACACAGTGGACCGTCTGCGGCCGGCAGGTTCCAGAAGGGCAGCCACCAGTCCCTGCTGCCCATATGCTGGCGGCTGCTGCACGAGGCCAAGAAGATCACCCGCTACGTGAGCCTGGTCCTGACGCTGGCCGGCTTGCTGGTCATCAACCTCATCTCCCTGGGCCAGCCCTGGCTGCACTTCCAGGTGCCGTTGCGGCCCCCCGGGGATCCCGCCGGCCCCCAGACCATCCCCATCGACACCATCATCTTCGTCCGCTGCCCCGACATCTCCTGCCTGCACGAGTATGACCAGAATGCCTGTAAGGCTGACACCGGGCTCTGCGCTCCGGGACACATCTCCCGCGCCTCCTGTCCCTGTGCCTCCTGTCCCCGCGCCTCCTGTCCCTGCGCCTCCTGTCCCTGTGCCTCCTGTCCCCTTGTCTCCGGCCCCCGCGCCATCCCCACTGCCCTGGGAGGTCCTCATTGCCCACCTCACGCCCCACGGCATCAACATCCATTCCGGGGGTCCCAACACATCTCCCCTCGCCTCCTGTCCCTGTGCCTCCTGTCCCCGCGCCTCCTGTCCCCACGCAGTCCCTGCTGCCCTGGGAGGTCCCCGCTGCCCACCTCACGCCCCACAGCATCAACATCCATTCCGGGGGTCCCAACACATCCCCTCACCTCCTGTCCCTGCGCCTCCTGTCCCTGTGCCTCCTGTCCCCTTGCCTCCTGTCCCCACGCGGTCCCTGCTGCCCTGGGAGGTCCCCGCTGCCCACCTCACGCCCCATGGCATCAACATCCATTCCGGGGGTCCCAACACATCTCCCCTCGCCTCCTGTCCCTGCGCAGTCCTGGCTGCCCACCTCACACCTTGCGGCATCGACATCCACTCCGGGGATCCCAACCTCAATCTTCTTATAACGAGAATCAACAGCTGTTTGGGGGCCGTGGGGAGGGAGGGAGAGCACACCCCCAGGCTCGCGGGCGGCCCTCCCGCCATGCTCAGACCACAGGGCCCTGCCCCCTCCAGATCTGCTGGACCTCGCCTGGGCCTTCATCGTCTTCTCCAGCATCAGCAGCCTCTGCCTCTTCATCACTCTGGTCAGCACCATCTTCTTCACCACCTCCAACCTGCCTGTGCTCGACTTCTCCATGTTCGTCAGCAGCGTCCTGACAGGTGCGAGCCCACGCTGCCCACCTCGGGAACCAGGGCTGGCCAGGAGACCCCACGCCCCCACATTCCAGCCCCTTCCTCATCCCAACCCCACCTCGTCCCAGCGACTAATATCAGTCTCCAAGTCAGCCAGGGCTAAGCTCCCCCACCAGCCAGCCTCATCCTCAGCCGCGTCCCCTCCCTGACGCCCGGCCCATCTCTCAGCTGCTCCATCTTCTTGCCAGCCTCCAAGCCATCCGCATTACGGTCCCCAAGCCGTGCACAAATCTCAAGCCCTGACTTGACCTCATTCCTAGTCATGCTCAATGCTTGTTTCAAGTTCGGCCTATCTCTAACACTTGAACTTTAACCTCAAGCTTCATGCCAGCCCATCTCTGCCTTCTCAAACCTCGACAACCCCATAGAGAACCTCACTCTCAAGATCAACCCCCCATCCCCAGCTGCGTGCTTACCTATATCCAATACCCCCCACCCCTCAACATTGGCCTCAACCTCAGCCCCAGCCCTTCAACTTCAGCGTCTACTCAGAAGCCAACGCCACCCCAAGTCCTGTCTCCCCACCGCCAGCCGCTCTGAGTCTAGTCCAAGCTGCCTCGCCCCTCTGAGCCACAGTTCTGTCATCTGTAGGGTGGGGATAAAACTTCCTAGCACGTGGCGTTGTCACGAGGACCGAGTTGAAAAGCACCAGTTTTCCCAGGGAGCTGTTTAATTTGCACAAGTCCTGACCGGGATCATCTCTCCACCCCCAGTCAAACAACCCAGGATTCATACACTGAGTGGAGCAGCTCCGTTTTCCATGGGCACGCCAAACCATACTTTTAAACAGCTGGAGTGGCTAGCTTGGAGCTGGGGAATGCTGTGTTCCTGTCCCTTGGGACAACTCCTCCCAACCTCCAGTCGCAGAGCGTTTCTGGAGAGTGAGAGCTAAAGCCAGGAATCAAGAACGTTTGACTTCTCGATTCTTTGTAACTGGTGACTTCTCGATTCTTTGTAACTGGTATTTATCCTGTTTGTGTAGGAGCTCTTATTATCTAACTATAAGGTACAAAAGGTGAAAAAACACTGTTGGTTTTAAACCATCTAAAACAGAAGCCTGGAATTCAGGACTCGCTACAGGAACCGCGCCAGCCTCAGCACCTCCTCATGACGCCCCTACTGGATGTGGGTCCCACAGTTGTGCCCACTCTAGGCCCAGCGAGACAAACTGGCCGCCCTGGGCTGAGGGGCGGAGCTCTGGTGGCCCCAAAGTCCGTGGCGGTTTCCGATGCCACCCTCGCCTGGCTAAAGGTGGAGACTCATGCTTCCAGCGTGCTGCAGCCTCTTTCCCAACTCTGAGCAGGGGTGCAGGGGCCGGGAGGGTGAGGAGGGGGGACACCGAGGCTGACCTCGCACTCGCGTCCGCGCAGGGACCAGTATCATTCTGGGCGTCCTGTTCTACCTGCTGCAGGCCAGCCAGTTCCTGCAGGAAGGCATGACCTACAGGCTGGGCGTCAGCTTCTACCTGGCCTGGATGGGCGTCTTCTTCTTCCTGATGATCGGTCAGGCTGGGGTCTGGTGCTGGGGGGACAGAGCCTGGAGTGGGGCACTGGGGGGACAGAGCCTGGAGTGGGGCACTGGGGGGACAGAGCCTGGGGTGGGGGCACTGTGGGGACAGAGCCTGGGGTCTGGTGCTGGGGGGACAGAGCCTGGGGGGGGGCACTGGGAGGGCACTGGGGAGGACAGAGCCTGGGGTGGGGGCACTGGGGGACAGAGCCTGGGGTGGGGGCACTGGGGGGACCGAAACTGGGGTGGGGGTACTGGGGGACAGAGCCTGGGGTGGGTGGGGGCACTGGGAGGGACAGAGTCTGGGGTGGGGGCACTGGGGGGGACAGAGCCTGGGGTGGGGGCACTGGGGGGACCAAAACTGGGGTGGGGCACTGGGGGACAGAGCCTGGGGTGGGGGCACTGGGGGACAGAGCCTGGGGTGGGGCTGGGGGGACAGAGCCTGGGGTGGGGGCACTGGGGGACAGAGCTTGGGGTGGGGGCACTGGGGGGACCGAAACTGGGGTGGGGGTACTGGGGGACAGAGCCTGGGGTGGGGGCACTGGGGGGGACAGAGCCTGGGGTGGGGCACTGGGAGGGACAGAGCCTGGGGTGGGGGCACTGGGGGGACATAGCCTGGGGTGGGGCACTGGGGGGACATAGCCTGGGGTGGGGCACTGGGGGGGACAGAGCCTGGGGTGGGGGCACTGGGGGGACATAGCCTGGGGTGGGGCACTGGGGGGGACAGAGCCTGGGGTGGGGCACTGGGGGGGACAGAGCCTGGAGTGGGGCACTGGGGGGACAGAGTCTGGGGTGGGGCACTGGGGGACAGAGTCTGGGGTGGGGCACTGGGGGGACAGAGCCTGGGGTGGGGGCACTGTGGGGACAGAGCCTGGGGTGGGGCACTGGGGGACAGAGCCTGGGGTGGGGGCACTGGGGGGACCGAAACTGGGGTGGGGCACTGGGGGGACAGAGCCTAGGGTGGGGCACTGGGGGGACAGAGCCTGGGGTGGGGGCACTGGGGGACACAGAGCCTGGGGTGGGGCACTGGGGGACACAGAGCCTAGGGTGGGGGCACTGGGGGACAGAGCCTGGGGTCTGGGCGCTGTGGGGGACAGAGCCTGTGGTCTGGGTGCTGGGGGACAGAGCCTGGAGTGGGGGTGCTGGGGACAGGACTGGGCAGGGTGGGCCTGAGGCAGGAGACAGGGAGGGGATGCAGAAGGGGGAGGGGGAGATGGAGTTGAGCTTGGACTGCTGCCTTTGGGTCTGGGGTCTGGGGTAGGCCTGGGGACAGGACCCGGGTCTGGGCTGGTCTCAGGAACTGCCTCACCCACTTCTGCCCTCTTCCTCACCAGGTCTCCTGTCCTACTTGAATTACAAGAATTTCTGGTCCATTCTGGCACTGCAGGGCATCTGGATTTAAGACCAGGACCATGTTGGCTCTCAAGGCTCCTGGACAAGCACCTGCGGGTGTGGCTTCTTGCTCCTACCTCACCCCAGACACGGGTCCATTTTCAGTCCTCTCTGATACCCTCGGCCCAGATTAATAATCTGTATTTTTAAATAACCTCTGGCTTTGTTTATTTGTTTGTTTGTGCAGAACAGTCTTGTATTTAGTTCAGGGCCTTGGACACCCTCCGTGGAGCCGCCATCCTGCCCTGGGCCAGCCTCCAGCGAAGGGGAGGAACTCAGAGGTCAAGGTCAGCAAAGAGCTGGACCCCTGGTCTCTCTGCAGCATGCAGATGGCGCTCAATGTTTGCTGAATAGCTGGCTCCCCACCCCCAAGCCCTTGGGGATTTATCCTGTGCCTGTGCAATCCTCAAGGATTCCCATTCCTGAGCCACGTCCACGCCCCCGCACCCCTGCACCCCCGCCCCCGCCCACCCTCCCCCAGAGCCCCCAGCACAAGGCTGTTTTGTGCCTAATGGTGCGGGGCTACCTGCGGAAGGCGACAAGGGCTGAGCCCCGAGGACAAAGCTCAGAACAAAGACCTCGCCCCTCGCCCCCCAGCCCCGCCCCTGCCGGTCACGGATCGCTGTCCCCCGCGGCACAGGCGCGGGACCCACCTGGGCTCGGAAGCTTCCTTCTGTAAGCGTGCACGGGGCTCAGACTCGAGTCTGGGACGGGCAGGCGCTCTCTCTCCGCAGGAATTACAGGTCGTGTGCCCGGCGCCAAGGCCGCCGCAGGGACCACGCAGGTCCCCCAGGGGCTGCGCGTCCGCCGGGCACAGGTGCACGGGACGCCGCGGGCAGACCCGGCCTCCCTGGCTCTGGAGAGGGGGCGCAGGGCGCGGGGCCCCTGCCAGGAGGCGCCCCTCGGAGGCTGCAGGGCGGCCGGGGTGCCGGGTTCCGGGAAGGCCAGGGTCGCGCAGGAAGGCCGGGGCACTGGCGGCCAGCTCACGAGGGGGCCTGGGGGACCCCGGAGACACAGGGAGAACTTGGCTCTCTCGGGAGTGACACGGAGTCAGCGATGAGCTGCAAACCGAGAGGTTCCCGTCGGGGGTCTCCTCACCAGATGCAGACCACTTAAAATCCAGGGGAACCCCCCAAACACGCTGTGGGGAGGGGGCGGGGCGCACGCGGGGACCCTCAGGACCCTACTGTAATAGGATGGGGGCGGTGCCCGGGACAGAGCCTAATTAAATATTTCCAGGGGGCGGAGTTTGGGGCGGAGCGGCAGCGCACGTGGAGATGCCCCTGGAAAGTGTCATGGCGTCCGGTGCATGATGGGAAGTGAGGCTCCATGACGCGCGCGGGACGGGTGGGCGGGGCCTGCCGCCATGTTGGATGTTCAGGGAAGGGGCCGGGGGACGGGGCGGGGCTTGGGAGGGGTGGGCAGGGGACTGGGCGGGGCTTGGAAGGGTGGGAGGGGGGACTGGGCGGGGCTTGGGAGGGTGGGCGGGGTCCTGGCTGGCCTCAGCCCCGCCTCGGCTACCTCCCTGCCTACATCGTAAATAAAAGTGCGTTTTAGTCGCATAAAAGACTCCTTGGCCACTGTGAGTGAGTGAGATGATCCACCGGCGGGAGCTACTGGGGTGGGAAGCAGCTTCCCCCGTGAAGTACTTATTTGAGAGACCGAGAGTCCCACATGCCGGCTCACTCCCTGCACCATCTAACCCGGCGGGGCCCGCACGTCGAGTTCCTGCTCGGGGCCAGAAGCCCTGGCGCCCAAGCCCCTCTCTGCCCAGCTCCGGAGTCCGGCCCCGCCGCCCGGCCGCCACGCGGCCGCCTGCCCAGCAAGACCCTGTCAATCTCCTCCCCGGCCCCGCCCCGGGCTGCTTCGCGCCTCTCAGCGTCCGCCCTCCTCCGCGGCCTCCTTCTTGCCCCGCCCCCCCGGGGTCCTTTCTCGTCCCGCCTCGTCCTTGGTGCTGTCCTCAGATTTGCCTGACACTCCTGACAGAACGACCGTCCCGGATGTCCCTCAGATCCTTTTTATTTCGTCTACAGAGAGAATATCTCCTCATCTTAGCTGGGAGATTCTCCAAATAACAGGCTTTATTCCCGTCCCCAAGCACCAGGGCTGCGTTTCGTGCACAGGCGTCCGAACTGGACGCCACGGGCGGAACCCAAGATGGCGCCGGGGGGGCTTTGCGGACGGCCCGCGCTGTTAAATAGGAGCGCGTGGCCGTGGGGCGTCCCGGTCGTGTAAGGTGAGAGGCAGGGGCGGACGTGATGGGGGACTCCTCACTGGGGGCCGGCGGTGGCTGCGGCGCGAGCCTGGTCGGGTGGGGGGTGGGCTCCCTGCGGGGAAGGTGGCGGTGCTGCGAGCGTGCAGTTGGCCTCCAGCCGGGCCGCGCCATCTTGCCGTGAGCTGGGGGACCCGGAAGGGGTCTACCACCCAGGGGTTTTGTTCTTAGTTTATTTGAAAGGGTTAGCGGGAGAGCCACTGCTTGGAGCCCCCGAGGGCGGCTGCCGAGGCTCCCATGATGCCTAGCACTGGGCTCCGATCCCCGTGAGGACACAGTGCGCCCCGGGACCTTTGACACCCGGGGGTCTGAGGCGCCTCGGCTCTGAGGGTGTGCACCGGGCCCGTTTAGGTGCCGGGGGTTGGACCCCGGGATCGGCAGTGAGCTCCCGCCTCGCGGGTGGGGACAGCGGGGATGGTTATGTGGGAGCCAGAGAGCAGAGGCCGCCGGGAACGATTTTGGCTTTTTTAACTTTATTTTAAATATTTGTGATGGAGAGGAGAGGCAGAGAAACAGATGTTCGCTTCCCAGACGGCCACTACGGCTAGGGCCGGGCCGGGCCAAGGCCAGGAGCAACATCCGGGTCTCCCGGAGATGGCGGGGCCTCAGCACCTGGGCCGGCGTCCACTGCCTAACCGGGGTCCGGAGCGGGACCTCCGGGGACACCGACCCCGCACCGCTGGCCGGAAGCTGCTCCCCAGGGCCCCTCCCTCGCACAGCGGGGTCGCTGCCCACCTCTCAGGGTGGCCGGCACCGGCTGTGGCCATCGCTGAGCACGTGGTGGGCCCCGGGACCCTGGCTGCCCGCGCCCCACTGACCCCCCCCCCCGCATCTGCCACAGGGGTACCCGCAGACGCCAGCCGGGCCGCCCGTGCCGCCCCAGGTAAGCGGGGGCGGGGGCGGGCCGCGTGATGCCCAGCGCCGGGCTCTCACCGCTCTGCCTGGTGTTGGGAGCACTGTGCTGGTCTCCCTGTGCAGGCCTCTGTTGAGAGTCACCTTCAGCTGCGGTCCGGAAGGAGGACCACTAGAAAGTCCCTGTGTGCAGCTCACTGATGGCTGGCGCTGGCCGGCTGGCTTCAGTGCTCTGCTGACCCCACGAACTCTCGTGCCTCGATGCGCACGTCTGGTGGCCGGGAGACCCCGCGGTCACTCCCTTTGTCAGACTGCTGTTGGTTGAAGACTCCCGTGACCCGCTCCTTTGAGCTGTGTTGTAAGATGACCCCTGCTCGCCCTCACTGTCCATCCCTGCCTGGTGCTACATGAGCTGCCTCCTCCAGTAAAGTGAGACCTTGGTCTCCATGCAGGTCTGCCCTCCTCGTGCCCTAGCCGATTACCCCGCGGCCGGGGCGAGTGGCGCCCAGCGTGGGCCTCGAGGAACGGGAGCTGAGCTGAACGTCGCTGAAGAGCCGGCTGCTTGGTCGAGGTCGCCGCCTTGCCTCATAACGATTCCTCTGTGATACAGGCCTGAAGAAGGCGAGTGAAGACCTGCAGAGTGCCCACCGCGTCCTGCCCCGTCCGACACAGGCCAGAAAGGTGAGAAGAGCAAACACTCACTAAACAAGAATTGTTTGTAAGAGGGCGAAAGGCCTCCCTCAGGACGGGAGGAGCAAGGGTAAAGACACAGGATCTTGTAGATTTTTTTATATTCTTAGAAGACGTTTGTCCTTGGTTTCCGCAAGAAGGAACTCTAGATGATGAGAGATGGCAACGGGCAGGGGAACGTCCTGAAGACTTAGCACACCTTTGGTCCCGAGAGGGTTCCTGTATCTTACAAATAATATCCTCCAGGTTCGCCATCTTCGAACTGACGCCTCAAAGGTCGCAGAGGATGGCGGAACCTTTCTCAGGACACAATGTAAGGGGAGTCAGAGTTCCCTCAAAGCCCCCTGATCCATCCCCGTCCCTCTGTTTCCATTTCTGTGCCGCCGGAGGACACAGAGAGGGACATTAAAAAACCAGGATCCCTCTTCCCCGTTTTATCAGGGATGAAAGCAGGTGACCCTCGTGATGGTCCACCTCCTGAGGGTGAGGCACAGCTACATGACAAGGCAGCTAAATGCAGCCGTGCTTGGCCCTGCCTCCGCATTATGCAATCCCCCTCCCTTTTTTCCCCTGCGCTGGCCTCAGCCCCCACAGATGACTCTCGTCTCACCCGCCCGCCGAGCTATTTAGAGCTCACGAGAGAAGCTCAGGCCTTAGAAGCCTTGCTTCAGGCTAAGAGGGAAGAGGCAGGCTTGCTCAGACAGCTCCGGGAGCTCGATCAGAAACAGGAACCAGGTCTCAGGTGCGGCCTAAGAACCCCTCCAAAGAGCAAGGAAGTCCTGGGAACAGTGAGGATGACGACTTCGGGTGAGGAAGATGAGAATAACCCCTTGACTATCAAAAAGCAAGGTTACCGTCCGCTGGAGTTGGAGTGTGTAAAGAGTGCGGCCTCTCTGGGCCCCTGCCCACTCTACCCTGCCCCTTTTGGAATCCCCGAGTGAGGACTGGCTCACGACTGGGAAATGCTTGCCAAAGCCTCACTCAGCAGAGGCCAATACCTTTCGTGGAGGCCACCCCTCCCAGGGATCGGCTGTTCCCTCCATTTCTAAAATCCGACAGGGGGCGCAAGAACCGTTCAGTGATTTTGTGAGACGGCTCAGTGAAGCTGCGGAACGGTTCGTGGGGCCTGCGGAAACTGATAGTGAACTTATTAGATACCTGGCCTCTGAAAATGCCAGTTCCGCCTGAGGGCCGCATCGTGGCCGTAACAAGACCCTTACAGATTATACCAGGCTTTGTGCAGATGTTGACCCAACTTCCCACAATGCAGCATTGGCTGTCGGCGAGACCAAAAACAGGGGCGTGTTTTAACTGTAAACAGCCCAGTCATTTCCAAAAGGGGCGCTCGGCTCCTAAGATGGACGGCCGACCCCACCCCCTCTGCCCTCGCTGCAAGAGAGGAAAACACTGGCCCCGGAGTGCAGGTCAGAAACTGATGACCAGGGAAACCCATCCAGGGAAAGGGCCCCGAGGCAGCAATGGGATCAAACCCTGGGGCTGTCGGGTTTGTCCCCCACTCTCCAACCCTCCAGGTGTAGCCGCCCTCAGGCGGCAGGGCAACAACAGGAAGTGCCGAGTGGACCTCTGTGCCCTCCCACTCGGCGTTAGCCCCTGACTCGGAACTCAGGTCCTTTCCACTGGAGTTTGGCCCTTTACCCTCGAATGTCTGGCTTAATCTTAGGACGTGGGAGCTCCGCCATTCTAGGCCTCCATGTTTCCCCAGGCATTCATTGAAAGGAGCGGCCGTGAGCCACCATGAAAGTGGCCTTAATGAAATAGAAAAGCGGGGCTCCTGAGACAAACAGTTCCAGAAACAGTCATGGGAAATGGGGGAGTAAACTGGTTCACAGAGAAAGCAGTTAGATACTAAGAGATACGGGCAACAGAACATCCTGTTGTGTACATAAGCCCCCTCCCCTGCGCTTGCTCAAGCTTAACAAACCGCGAGGCACGTAGGGCAGGTAGCCACCCCTTTCTGCTCTTCAGTGACCCCCTCCCCTTGTCCAAGCTTAGACACGTAGGGCAGGTAGCCACCCTTTCTGCTCTTCAGTGACCCCCTCCCCTTGTCCAAGCTTAGACACGTGGGGCACGTAGCCCCCTGTTCCTCCTCCTCGACGACCTCCTCCCCTTGTAGTTGCCCAATAAACTCACGCCACCCTATGGTATGTTAATTTTGTGGTTTTGCCCTTTAAAAACTGTGTAAAATGATTGTTCGGGGCTCCTCTCTCGCTCCGCTGCTTGCAGCAGCCAGCAGAGGGCCCATTTGCACAAATGAAATAAAACTGCCTCCTGTTTTTTTGCATCGTCTGGTCTGGAGTCTGTGTTTCTGGGGTCGGCACAAAAGGACACTGCTGCTGGGGTCCTTCACATGATTATACCAGGGAAATTAAAATAGTGGCTATTGCCTCCCAGGGACCTATAACCATCCTCCTGGGACAGCGAACAGCCCAGTTAGTATTGCTACCTCTTTTTTTTTTTTTTTTTGACAGGCAGAGTGGACAGTGAGAGAGAGAGACAGAGAGAAAGGTCTTCCTTTGCCGTTGGTTCACCCTCCAATGGCCGCCGCGGACGGCGCACCTCGCTGATCCGATGGCAGGAGCCAGGTGCTTCTCCTGGTCTCCCATGGGGTGCAGCGCCCAAGCACCTGGGCCATCCTCCACTGCACTCCCTGGCCACAGCAGAGAGCTGGCCTGGAAGAGGGGCAACCGGGACAGAATCCGGCGCCCCGACCGGGACTAGAACCCGGTGTGCCGGCGCCGCTAGGCGGAGGATTAGCCTAGTGAGCCGCGGCGCCGGCCAGTATTGCTACCTCTTAATAATAGCCCCAGCCACAGAAACCAAAGAGGCTCTCAAAATTTTGGTTTTTCAGACGCCTATTGAGTACAACAAATCACAGAAAAAAGGCCTTTACTAAAACTTAAACTGGATGGAAACCCTTTGTGGGTCCTGTCGATACGGGAGCAGATGCTACTATTATTTCTAGTAAGGTTGGCCCCCAGCTTGGCCCCTTGATCCCTCCTTAACTCATTTAAAAGGAATAGGCCAAACTTCTAATCCTCTCCAAAGTTCTCAGGTAATTCCGTGGGAAGATGAAGAGAGAAACAAAGGCACGGTACAACCCTATGTGGTCGCTGGCCTGCCTGTTAATTTATGGGGCAGAGATATTCTTTCTCAGATGAGACTTATGTGCAGCTCAAATGAATTAATTACTCAACAGATGCTAAACCAAGGGAACCGCCCAGGCCAAGGACTAGGGAAAAACTCTCAAGGATGTGTGACTCCCGTTACCATTAAAGTCAAAACAGATTGCACCGGTATTGGCTAGGAAAATTTTCCTTAGCGGCCATTGACATGCCTGTACGCCATGCAGATAAAATCTCCTGGGTGAGAACAGAGCCTGTGTGGATCGATCAGTGGCCTCTGACATCTGAAAAACTGACCGCAGCCACAGCGTTAGTACAGGAACAGCTCACTGTCGGTCATACAGAACCAACCACTTCTCCTTGAAATACCCCAATTTTTGTTAAAAAGAAAAATCGGGAAAATGGAGACTCCTACAAGACCTCCGAGAAATTAATAAGGTCGTGATCCCTATGGGTGCCCTTCAACCTGGCCTTTCTACTCCAGTTGCTATTCCTAAGGGTTATTATAAAACAGGCATTGATCTAAAGGATTGTTTTTTCACTATTCCTCTTCACCCAGAAGATCGCCAATATTTTGCATCCAGCCTACCAGTAACAAATTTTAGAGGTCCTATGCCCAGATTCCAGTGGAAGGTCTTGCCTCAAGGGATGGCCAACAGCCCCACATTATGCCAAAAATCGGTGCCCAGATTACAGACCCGTTTAGATTAAAAGATCCCTCTATATACATAATCCATTACATGGACGATATTTTACTTGCTGGCCCAGATACTGACCACCTTCTTTGTTTTTCTCAACAACTTTCAAAAGCCTTAATGGATGCACACCTTCAAATAGCAGCGGATAAAACCCAGTTAAAAACTCCATATTTGTTTTCTCTGTCACTGGCGAGGTTACCTCTGACGTCTCCTGTTGTTCTGCCCAGTTGGTAGAATTGTTTGCTGTTTACAGGTTTTGCTCAGTTCCCCTCCTCCCCTTTTAACTTGTACACTGGTGGTGCCTATATTGCCCACTCCATACCATTGCCCGAGACGGTGCCTTATATTAGCCAACTGCCAATGCCTCACCTCTGTTTTCCTTACTACAACACTATTGAAGCTAGAAGTGCCCTTTTTTGTGGGTCACATTCGTGCTCACTCCCGTCTCCCTGGCCCTTTGGCCGAAGGCAATGAGATTATAGATGAAGCCACTCAGTGAACGTTTTTGGCGGAAATCAGTTCACTCGCTCAGGCTAAGGAAGCCCATTCTCTACACCACCTTAATGCCCAAACCCTTCGCCTTCTCTAAAATTACCCGAGAACAAGCGTGACAAATTGTCACAGTGTCAAAATTGTTACTCTACTGCCTGTGCCCCATTTGGGGGTCAGCCCACGAGGGTTGGTTCCAAGTGAGTTACGGCAGATGACGCTACTCAAGTTCCCACTTCGGCGGTACACATGCCTTCATGTCACCATCGACACCTTGAGCGGATTCCTTTTTGCCTCTGCTCACTCTGGTGAAGCCTCTAAAATGTTACTGCCCATGTGCTCAGCTGTATAGCAGTCATGGGAAGGCCTAGTCATTAAAACGGATAACGGCCCTGGAGATACTGGCAAAGATGTTCAGTACTTCTGTAAACAACTCCAGATTCAACACATCACTGGAATTCCGTATAACCCCCAAGGACAAGGCACAGTTGAGCAAGCCCATCAAACACTTAAAAACATGCTTCAAAAACTTGACGCAAACCTTTTGTCCTTCGGTAGGGGCACCAAAAAACGTTCTCCGCCATGCCCTATTTCTGTTGAATTCTCTAGCCCTGGACAGCTGGTAGGTCTGCAGCTGATCGTTTCTGGCATCCACAGTCCACTGACCGATGCGCCACGTACTGTGGAAGGATCCTCTCACCTCGCGATGGAAGGGTCCTGACCCCGTGCTAATAGGGGGGAGAGGGTCAGTCTGTGTATTTGACAACAAAGAAAATGCTGTCCGGTGGTTGCCTGAACGTTTGATTGGCCGATTGAAGATTTCCCCTGTCAAAACAAACACCTTCCTGACAATGCTCTTACACCCTAATGGGTCTTTGACCCCATAATTATCTTAACCAACAGACCCAGGAAAAGGCCCTGTTCCTGAGGTCACACTCTCTCTCCAGGTACCACGAGGGCTGCGCCGTTTAATCCACCGCAGAGAAGATGGAAGTCCTAATCTTCCTCTCCAGTCTGACCATTCGTGCTGCTCCCCTGAGACATGATGCTCTCCGGATGCCACTTGCAAACACTGCAGGATCAGGTGATATCTGCCTCTAGCAGGGTGTGCACATAGGAACTATCTTGGGGTCCTGTTTGATGCCCGTTTGTCATCCAGCCGAAGAGATTAAAAATCTTACCTTGTCGCCATTCCCGAGCAAGACTCTTTCTTACGCGGACGCGTATGGTTGGGGAACTCCATCTTATACATTACCGAGGCCATGAGTGAGTTAATGCCGCCTCGTGGAGCTGTCACAAAATGACACTGGTGCAGTGATAAATGATCCAGGAAATGCAAGAAATTAGGTAATGGGCTACATTGTAATAAGACTCAAGAGATGCATGGTTGCCTCAGCAGCCTGTTTCTTCCTTCTCCTGAGATGCTAGATTGTGAGAATGTTACACCTAGACAACGTAGGGAACCAATCCTGCAATGAAGTACATCTGTTGTCAAAAATAGAAGTAGACGCTCTGACCTTTTCATTGGTGGGATTCCTGGTCTAGCTGTAGGTGCTTGTAAAACTTGCGTGTGCCATGGTAAAAAATACTCCTCATTCTTCAGCTGCCCTATCCTTGCTAAACGAAGCACAAGTGTTACGGCAAGGTATTCTAGAGAATCGTGCAGCCATTATCTTCTCTTGTTACATCACAAAAATGCAATCAAGTTAAAAATCTGTGGTGTTTTAATCTTACTGATAACTCCCATAGTATTTCTATTGAAATCCAAAAACTCACAGATCTTGCTTCTCGCTTTACTCAAGACAAAGGGTCCGAAAGCTTATTCAATTGGCTATCATCTTGCCAAAATTCTCCTGTTTGCGGGGATTGTAATCTTCCTCGTGCGCCTCCTTACAGCCTGTCTTGTCGGCAGGTGTTGCGTGTGTTTTCTAACTAGGCCTTGCAAGTCCCTCAGAAGCTAAGACGGCGGGTAGTCAATGACGGGTAAGATGGGTTGCCGCACATATCAACCTAAGACAGGGATTCATCGGTGCCGATGGATTCTGAAGACGGGTAAGAATGTGCAGGCGGAACCCGCAACCTAAGACAGCCACCGCCATTTGCTTCATTATAGAATAAACAGCACCGCTCACAGACGCAGCGGTGTGGCACTGAGGACCTGTAACCTCATCTTCCTACATACAGAGAAGGGGGAGATGTTGGGAGCACTGTGCTGGTCTCCCTGTGCAGGCCTCTGTTGAGAGTCACCTTCAGCTGCGGTCCGGAAGGAGGACCACTAGAAAGTCCCTGTGTGCAGCTCACTGATGGCTGGCGCTGGCCGGCTGGCTTCAGTGCTCTGCTGACCCCACAAACTCTCGTGCCTCGATGCGCACGTCTGGTGGCCGGGAGACCCCGCGGTCACTCCCTTTGTCAGACTGCTGTTGGTTGAAGGCTCCCGTGACCCGCTCCTTTGAGCTGTGTTGTAAGATGACCCCTGCTCGCCCTCGCTGTCCTTCCTTGCCTGGTGCTACATGAGCTGCCTCCTCCAGTAAAGTGAGACCTTGGTCTCCATGCAGGTCTGCCCTCCTCGTGCCCTAGCCGATTACCCCGCGGGCCGGGGCACCTGGGGTGCAGGGTGGGGGCGTGGCCCTCTCGCTCGGAGCACGCTCCCGAGACCCCTGCAGCGTGTCCCGCCTTGAGCTGGGCAGGCGCCGCTGGCATCGCACAGTGCTGGCGGCCCCAAGGAGACCCGGACCATCGCTGATGGGGACCTGGTGCCGCGTGGGAGGACAAGCTGGCCATGCCCCGGCGCCCCCTGCAGGTGCCCGATCACTGTGATGACCACAGCCGGGGCCGGGTTCAAGGCCCCGTGGGGGTGTCCTTCCCCACGCCCAGTGGGCGGCCACCACGATCCGGGGCGCCTGGCCCTGCACCACCGACGGCCTGGCACAGGACTGCGTCTTAGTAAAGTCTGGTACCTGGAAAGGTTTCTGGGCTGTGTGTTTTAGCGTCTGCCACACGCAGTCCTGGCCATGTGTTATTCCCGGTCCACGGTTATTCTGGCCAGGCCTTTCGCCGCGGGTCCACAGGCTGGGAAGGGGCGGCCGGGCCTCCCCTGGCTCTGTCTGGTGGGCGCTGGGGTGCATCACAGCGTGGGCTCGGAGCCGCCCACCGCCAGCCCCTACATCCACACGAGCATGGGGTCCCCTCGCTCCCCTGTGGGCCCTAGCGACCCTACAGGCAGGAAGCCCTGACCCGGCCAGAGGTGCAGCAGCCCGGTTGGTGGCCGCCTGGCCCCAGGGGTGGGTGGGACGGTGGGCGGGGCATGCTGAGGGCTGGGGCCTGGCCAGCGGCCCTGATGCCTGGTGGGCCCCATGTGGCTGTTACCCAGCAGCCACTGCTCCCCAGGCCTGGTGGTTTTCCCTCGGCCTGTGCTGGGGGGGGGCTCCCCTCTCAGCTGGGGGCTGCAGGCCTTGGCTCACCTCCTGGTATGGCCGGCGCGGCAGCAGCCACGTACAGTGTCGCGTGCTTCTGCTGTGCCCCCTGCACACACACACCCCGCCCATGTCTGGGTTCAGGGGTCATGGAGCTGACCCCTGGCCCGGAGCCCCACGGCCTGGGGAACTCACGCAGAAAGGCAGGCTGCCTGGGGCCAACCACTGTGACCTGGGTGCTGCACGTGGAGAGGGGCGTGCGTGCACACGCGTGCACACCACGGCGTGTGTGCGCGCGGATGCACACGTGGAGGCCCTCAGGAGCCCCTTGCACAGCCATGCGCACACAGTGGGCTCCAGGCGGGGCGGCCGGCCCCCACCCCCACCCCCACCCCAGACACACAGTGAACCAGACTCCGCAGCAGCAGGGGAGCACACGTGTTAGGGTCCAGCGTCAGCTAGGGGGAGGGGGCGCCCCGGCTTCCCAGCTCACACGGGCCCTCCCCAGGCCCGCAGGCAGGCCGGTCTCCAGGCCAGCAAGCCCAGCCCCAGGCTGAGCGCTGCCAGCGCGGCCACAGCTCCGGCCAGCAGGGGCACCGTGGTGGCTGCGGGAGGAACACGGGGGGTGTGAGTCTGTGGGCCCGGGGCGCCCCGGCTCCCACCCCCAGCGCAGAAGGCCGTCACCTGGGGAGGTGGCAGGCTCATAGACGCCGTAGCAGGGGATCCCGCGCGCGGGGGGCCGGGCCGCGGCGGTCAGGTGGCGGAAGCGGCCCAGCGGGCAGGAGGCGGGACACCCGGGGAGGCTGAGGGACAGCGGGGCCCGGGCCGAGTCGTTGCGGTAGAAGAGCGAGATGGTGACGTTCCTGGAGGAAGAGACCGGGGGCCTCCTCACTTCTCGGCCGCTGAGCCCCACGGCCGCGGGAGGCGGCCCCACGCCCCGACGCCCGGCCTCACCCTCCGTCTTGGTCGGGGTCCTGCAGGCGCCTCCGGAACTCGAAGCCGAGGCAGGCGGCGTAGGGCGGGGTGTGGCCGTCGTAGAGGCCCAGAGCGCCCTGGAGGGCCAGCAGGGTGCTGTCGTGCTGCGGACAGGTGGAGGGCTAGGGCGCGGGGCCTCCCCGCCGCCAGCGATCACCCCGACCTCCCAGGCACGCAGGTTGGCCACACCCCCCAGAGTCGGCTTGGCCACACCTCCTCCCGCATCCCCAGGGATCACCCCCACCTCCCGAGTCTGTTTGACCACACCTCCTCCCGCATCCCCCCCGCGATCACCCCGACCTCCCAGGCACGCAGGTTGGCCACACCCCCAGAGTCGGCATGGCCACACCTCCTCCCGCATCGCCGTCCCCCCTCCCCCTGCCCCAGGGACTTACAGCCGAGTACATCACCATCTTGAGGGGCAGCCCCAGGCGCTGGGCCCGGGAGAAGTTGGCCAGGATGGCGTCCAGCAGGATCCCTGAGACGGCAGAAGCCGCGCGCTCAGAGCCGCGCCCCCTCCCCGCAGGAAGGCGCCCCCGCCCCCCTGCCCCGCACCTCACCCCCCGACAGCTGGGCCTTCTCTGCCGCCCGGGGTGGGCCCACGTGGGCGCCGATGTCCAGCGCGGAGATCTGGGCCAGCGTCCGCAGGACGTGTGGGGAGGCCCAGGACGGGAGCTGGAGGCCGTGGGCTCGCTGCGGAGAGGGGGCAGAGGCCGTCACCACTCTGCCCGGGGCCAGCCCAGCCCCCGGAGCTCACCACCCCCCGCGGGGCAGACGGGGAAACTGAGGCGCGGCCGGCGGGGGCTCTGCGCTCACCTGGCAGATGAGGGTGTCCAGAACCTTCCACGCCCTGCGGAGCGGCTCCCCGACCAGCGACAGCCCCGTGAAGTTCTCCAGGCGCACCAGGAAGTCCTGGAGCGGGGCGCCGGGTGAGCCTCCAGTCCCCCGTGCGCGCCCCGCGCCGCCCGCCCGCCCGCGGCCCCGCTCACCGTCCAGCCCTCCAGGGCCTCCCGGTAGTCCGGGGCTTCCGTGGACTCTCGCAGCAGCTCGTGGTACCGCGGACAGCTCCGCATGGGGAACCTTAGCAGCTGGGGGACACGGAGGCTCAGGCGGGCGCGCCTCGGGCCCTGGCCAACCCGCCCGGCCGCGCGCGGCCCCGTCCGGCCCCGCTGACCTTGTCCTCGCCCACGGGCACCGTGTGCACCGGGATGGGCCTCCAGTCGGCCTCGGCGCTCCCCGGGGCCGCCTCCGGGAACAGTCCGGCCAGGTTGGCCTGGGCGCTCTCCAAGGTGCGGTCGAAGTCGGTGCTTCGCACGTACACCTGCGCGGGGCGGGGCCGGCGGGGAGAGGGCGCGTGGGGGCCACGGCGGGGTCAGGGGCGAGGAGAGAGGGGTAACAGGTCAGACACTAGGAGCCGAAGCTCGGAACCTTCAGTGCCAGAGGTTGGGGTCAAAGGTCAGAGGCCAACAGGAGTGGAGGGGGCAGAGGTCAAGAGTCGGGGGGACACATTGGACTGTAAGGAGGAGGGGATCAGCTGAGTCCATGGGGGTCAGAAAAGATCAGAATTGGGAAAAGCCGGAGGTGAGAGGTCAAGAGGAGGGTGGATCAGAAAGTCGGAATTCACGGGGTTAGAGGTCAGAGGTCAAGATGTAACTCGGGAGGATGCGGTCAGAGGTCACAGGGTGCCGGGGGTGGATGGAGGTCGGAGGCCAGAGGTGGAAACCCAAAGACAGTGTTGGGGTTAGCGGGGTCAAGGGTGAGAGGTCAGGTCGCCTGGCCGTACCTCCTCCCGCCGGAACTCAGGGCTCAGGAAGGCCTGGTAGCGCCGCCTCAGGAAGCGTCCCAGCTCCAGCTGCTGCCGGACGCCCTCCTGGGGACAGAGGGGGGGCTCAGCCACCTCCCCCGCCCGCCCCGCCCCGCCCAGCCCTCACCCCACCCCGAGCGCTCACCCTGGTCAGCTGGCCCAGGCCGCGGGGCCACAAGGCGGACACCACGTCCTTGTGCGGGTCCGTGGGGTAGGAGGCCAGGGGGGCGCGGTCACCATGGCGGAACACCTGGGGATGGCTCGGGTCAGGGCCGGCCGGGGGGCAGGGGCAGGGCAGCGGCTGGTGGGGAGGGGGCTTACCACAGCCACGAACACCAGGGGTCCTTCCGGCAGGGTCTGGGGGGGCAGCAGCAGCAGCAGAGGCAGCAGCAGCAGGAGCGGTCCGGTGGGGTGGCCCCCGAACCCTGGCCCGGCCATTTCCACACAGCCAGACGCTGAGCTCAGCCCTGTCTGCACCGCGGCCCCACCCACTCATTACCCAGGGCCTCCCACCCCCAACGGGAGCAGGTCCCAGCGCGCCCTGGGCGCCAGCTCCCCAGGGCCTGCGCCGGCCATGGGTTAACCCTCCAGAGGTGCTGAGACCCTTAGCCCCTCCCCCTGCCCGCCAGGCGCAGATGGGGGAACAAGGCAAGGAGGGTCCAGTGACACCGCACCCCCACAGCTCCGCTCCCCACCCTCAGTCCCCAAACCTGGAGCCTCTTGGGGGGGATCCCAGCTGGAGCCAGTGGGGGCCCAGGGCCCCAACACGCAGGCGGGGGGCTGGTTTCCGGAGTCGGGGGTCTGTGCCCTCACAGCAGGGCGCCGGCATAGGTGGGACGTCTTTCCTTCCGGCCTCAGCTCGGGGGTCACCAAGTCCCCCAGGCCTTCCAGGGCAAAAGCCACCCTTTCTCTGGGACTCACCCGGCCGAGAACAGACTGAGCCAGACCCACGCAGTCGACCCGAGCGCGCCCTTAGGTCCTAATAACAGCTGCCATTATTGATTTATTTCCTGTTTTATTCAAAAGGAGGAGGATTTAGCTGCCAAGAATGTGTCTGCCTTGAATAACCAGGCCGGAAGGAGAGGGACGGGGGCCGAGGAGCGGCTGCTACCGCACACGTGCCTGGCGCAGGTACCGCACACGCGCCCAGCACAGGTACGGCACACACACAGCACAGGTACGGCACGCATGCCCAGCCCAGATACCACACACAGACCCCTGGGTCTGAGGGAGGAGGGGCTGGGGCTGGACCCCTGGGTCTGAGGGACGAGGGGCTGGGGCTGGACTCCTGGGTCTGAGGGACGAGGGCTGGGGCTGGACTCCTGGGTCTGAGGGAGGAAGGGCTGGGCTGGACCCCTGGGTCTGAGGGAGGAGGGGCTGGGGCTGGACCCCTGGGTCTGAGGGAGGAGGCGCTGGGGCTGGACCCCTGGGTCTGAGGGAGGAGGGGCTGGGGCTGGACCCCTGGGTCTGAGGGAGGAGGGGCTGGGGCTGGATCCCTGGGTCTGAGGGAGGAGGGGCTGGGGCTGGATCCCTGGGTCTGAGGGAGGAGGGGCTGGGGCTGGATCCCTGGGTCTGAGGGAGGAGGGGCTGGCCTGGACTCCTGGGTCTGAGGGAGGAGGGGCTGGACTCCTGGGTCTGAGGGAGGAGGGGCTGGGGCTGGATCTCTGCGTCTGAGGGAGGAGGAACTGGGGCTGGACCCCTGGGTCTGAGAGAGGAGGGGCTGGTGCTGGACCCCTGGGTCTGAAGGAGGAGGGGCTGGGGCTGGATCTCTGGGTCTGAGGGACGAGGGCTGGGGCTGGATCCCTGGGTCTGAGGGAGGAGGGCTGGGGCTGGACCCCTGGGTCTGAGGGAGGAGGGGCTGGGGCTGGACCCTTGGGTCTGAGGGAGGAGGGCTGGGGCTGAATCTCTGGGTCTGAGGGACGAGGGCTGGGGCTGGACCCCTGGGTCTGAGGGAGGAGGGCTGGGGCTGGACCCCTGGGTCTGAGGGAGGAGGGGCTGGGGCTGCACCCTTGGGTCTGAGGGAGGAGGGCTGGGGCTGGATCTCTGGGTCTGAGAGAGGAGGGGCTGGGGCTGGACTCCTGGGTCTGAGAGAGGAGAGGCTGGGCTGGACCCCTGGGTCTGAGAGAGGAGGGGCTGGTGCTGGACCCCTGGGTCTGAAGGAGGAGGGGCTGGGGCTGGACCCCTGGGTCTGAGGGAGGAGGAACTGGGGCTGGACCCCTGGGTCTGAGAGAGGAGGGGCTGGTGCTGGACCCCTGGGTCTGAAGGAGGAGGGGCTGGGGCTGGATCTCTGGGTCTGAGGGACGAGGGCTGGGGCTGGATCCCTGGGTCTGAGGGAGGAGGGCTGGGGCTGGACCCCTGGGTCTGAGGGAGGAGGGGCTGGGGCTGGACCCTTGGGTCTGAGGGAGGAGGGCTGGGGCTGAATCTCTGGGTCTGAGGGACGAGGGCTGGGGCTGGACCCCTGGGTCTGAGGGAGGAGGGCTGGGGCTGGACCCCTGGGTCTGAGGGAGGAGGGGCTGGGGCTGCACCCTTGGGTCTGAGGGAGGAGGGCTGGGGCTGGATCTCTGGGTCTGAGAGAGGAGGGGCTGGGGCTGGACTCCTGGGTCTGAGAGAGGAGAGGCTGGGCTGGACCCCTGGGTCTGAGGGAGGAGGGGCTGGGGCTGGACTCCTGGGTCTGAGAGAGGAGGGGCTGGTGCTGGACCCCTGGGTCTGAGAGAGGAGGGGCTGGGGCTGGACCCCTGGGTCTGAGGGAGGAGGAGCTGGGGCTGGACCCCTGGGTCTGAGGGAGGAGGGGCTGGGGCTGGACTCCTGGGTCTGAGAGAGGAGGGGCTGGTGCTGGACCCCTGGGTCTGAAGGAGGAGGGGCTGGGGCTGGATCTCTGGGTCTGAGGGAGGAGGGCTGGGACTGGACCCCTGGGTCTGAGGGAGGAGGGCTGGGGCTGGACCCCTGGGTCTGAGGGAGGAGGGGCTGGGGCTGGACCCCTGGGTCTGAGGGAGGAGGGCTGGGGCTGGATCTCTGGGTCTGAGGGAGGAGGGGCTGGGGCTGGACCCCTGGGTCTGAGGGAGGAGGGGCTGGGGCTGGACCCCTGGGTCTGAGGGAGGAGGAGCTGGGGCTGGACCCCTGGGTCTGAGGGAGGAGGGGCTGGGGCTGGACCTAAAGTTTCCACCATGACAGCAGGTGCCTGAGCTGGCCCTCCTGCTGCCGCCCTCTGGCACTGGGCAGGAGGTGAGCTCTGAGGAGGCCGAGTGTCACCTGCTGGGACCCTGCTGGAGCTGACCTGCCGGCGACCAGCCCCAGCCACCAGGAGGCCGACTCAGGGGGAGGCATCGCAGGGTGGGGCTCAGCTGCGCTGGTCCTGCAGCTTCTGAGTCCCTGGCCACCTGGGGGCAGCTGGTTCTCCAGGGCGGCGGGCGGGCAGGAGGCGGCGGGCACCCCACACCGCCTGGGTTCAGGTCCAGGCTCCATCCTCCAGTGCGCGCGCACCCCGGGAGGCGGCAGGTGGCTCGCTGGTTAGGCACCTGCCGCCCCGCCCCCGTGGGAGACCCGGATCGAGTTCCCAGCTCCTGGTTCTGGCCCGGCCCAGCCCTCGAGATGGATCCGCGGGATGGGAGCCCCCCTCCTCTAATAAAGCGAGAAATTAATGAAATAAAAGTTTAAAGAGGTGCTAGACAGCGCATTCGGCACCTCCAGAACAAGCCGGTGGCACCGCCTTCCAGGTCCTGGCCCCCCAAGCCCGGACGCCATGGTGACACCTCCCCCGCCACCCGCTCCTCTGGGCCCCGCCTCCAGCTCCCCTCCACCCAGAATGCCCCCGCCCGGTCGCCACGGCCACCATTCTGGTCTCCATTCCGCTGGCAGAGACCCCCAGGCAAAGGGAGAGCGAGGCCTCACCAGCACCCACTGAGCACTCATGGCCATGAACTTTCAGGAAGTGAGGAGGGGTCTCCCGGGGGCGAGGGGCGGGGCTGGGAGGGGCCGGGCCCTGACCTCTGACCCCGCCCCCAGAACGTGACCCTGGCCATGGCGGTGTTCACCATCCTGGCCTCCATCTACTTCTTCAACAAGGTGAGCGGCCGGTGGGGCGGGGCGGGGGCTGGGTCCCGCTCTCCACGCCTCCTCCCTCAGACCCAGCCCTCGGCCCCCTCTCCCCTCACTCAGGCTCAGCACTGAGACGCCCAGGCCAAGCCCCGCCTCTGCCGGACCAGGATGCTGGCCTCTGACACCCAATAAATGTGACTGAACCAGCACGTGTGGCTCCGCCCCCTCCTGCAGAGCTGTCCTGCGCCAGGCCCAGGTCTGAGGGCGGAGGATGGGCCTGGGCTCCCAGGTCTGAGGGAGGAGGGCTGGGGCTGGACCCCTGGGTCTGAGGGAAGAGGGCTGGGCTCCCAGGTCTGAGGGTGGAGGGCTGGGCCTGGACCCCTGGGTCTGAGGGAGGAGGGGCTGGGGCTGGACCCCTGGGTCTGAGGGAGGAGGCTGGGCCTGGAACCCTGGGTCTGAGGTGGAGGGCTGGGCCCTGGACTCTGGGGTCTGAGGGAGGAGGGGCTGGGCTGGACCCCTGGGTCTGAGGGAGGAGGGGCTGGGGCTGGACTCCTGGGTCTGAGGGAGGAGGGGCTGGGGCTGGACTCCTGGGTCTGAGGGAGGAGGCTGGGCCTGGAACCCTGGGTCTGAGGGAGGAGGGGCTGGGGCTGGACTCCTGGGTCTGAGGGAGGAGGGGCTGGGGCTGGACTCCTGGGTCTGAGGGAGGAGGGCTGGGCTGGACTCCTGGGTCCGAGGGTGGAGGGCTGGGGACCCAGACTTTCATGTTTGAAGCTGGGAGCCCAGCATCTTTTTGTTGGTTTTTTTAAGATTTATGTATCTGTTCGAGAGGCAGAGCTACAGAGAGAGACAGAGAGGTCTTCCATCCACTGGTTCACTCCCCAGATGGCCACAATGGCTGGAGCCGGGCCAGGCCTCAGCTAAGAGCCAGAAACTCCATCCGGGTCTCCCACGTGGGTGCAGGGGCCCAAGCACTTGGGCCATCTTCCACTGCTTTCCCAGGCCACAGCAGAGAGCTGGATCAGAAGCGGAGCAACCGGGACTCGAACCCATGCCCACATGGGATGCTGGCTGCGCCACAGCGCCGGGCCGAGCAGCTGGGTTTTGGGGACAAGTAGGAGTCTGTGGTAACACTCAGCAGAGAGACTTGAGCCTCCCCACCCTCCATCCCCCCCCCCCCCGGCTGCCACTCCAGACCGGCGGCGTCTGAGCCCTGGCGGCCTCCTCCATCAGATAGGGGTGAAACTTCATCCAGCCCCAGAAGCCCACAGCAAGAGCGGCCCGCAGTCGGTGGCGACAGTGGGTCCGGGGCTACAGTGGTCCCGTGGCCATCTCCAGGTCATCACAGCTTCCTCTTTGCAAACTTCCACTGCACCCCCCACACCACGGTCACTGCCCCTTCCTGTGCGAGTGTGCAGACCCCCAGAGAGCCAGGCCGTTAGCACCTCCCTTGCCCCATGCGCCCCACACCCCCGCCTTGGGTTGGCGTTCATCCATTTCCTCATCCGGTTAGTATGCGAAAAGGCGGTTTCGGAACCGGGGACCGTCCATGTTGGGTGTCCCAGGAGCGGCCCGGGAAATCCCAGTTCTGCACGGATCCCTCCCCGCGCGGGTTACAGTGGTGTAGGGGCTTCAAGCCCCAGAGGCCTCTAACCCTCAAACGTGTCCCGTATGGAGGTTGCAGTTCCAAGTATGACCACAAAGCGGCGGTGTTGGACCACTTTTCCCAGCCGCGGGGTCAGCCCCGCAAACCAACCTCGGTTTCCGCAAAACCGCAATTCAATAACCCGGGCCACAGGCGGCGGCTCGTGGCGGGAGATCCTGCTGCTTCCTCCTCGGCCGCTTGGGCCCTGTCCCCTCCTGGACCCTCCAGTCCTCTGACTGCCCTGCCCCTCCCTGCTCGCACACCCTCCCCCCAAAGCCCACGCCGGCTCCCCAGACCCCCAGGGCAGGAGTCCCAGGGTCTCCACCTTGTTCCCCCACTTCCCACGCCCCTCTGGCGTACCCGCGGCCCCTGCAGCACCTCAGCTGCACCTCCCCTGCCCCGAGCGCCCTTCCCCCCTCACCTGTCCCCGCAGGTGTCTCCCGCCCCGCCCCACCCCCCCTGGGCTCCTGCGCTGAGGTCCAGGGCCGGCCTCCCATCGGATGCCAGCTCCTCCTGGCATCACCACAGGGGCTGCAAGGGACAGAGACCTGCAGGGCTCAGACGTGCCCGAGAGAAGACCGCGGGGGCTGGTGGGGCAGCTGGTTCCCCGGGGGGCACAGCCATCCCGGGGCCAGTGCCCTGTGACATCGCCTTGGCCTGCCCGGTTGGCAAGCACCTTCCAGCTCCAGCGGCGGTGTCCACAGTACGGGCAGCGGCCGGGCTGTGTCCAGGACTTGGGGGATGGCGGGGAGGCAGGGAGGTAGAAAGGAGGCTTCGACCTGCGCCCACCGCCCCTCCGGCCCCTGCCCCGGCCCCTCCTCCCTCCTGGCCTCTGTCCGGCCCCGTGGGGCTCAGAGGATTTTTCTGTGAAGCAGGGGCCGAGAGGGAGAGAGAGAGAGAGAGAGAGAGAGAGAGAGAGAGAGAGAGAGAGAGAGAGAGACCCTGGAAGTTCATGCAGTTGAGGGAGAGGGACAAAGCCACCAGCAGGTGCACATCCGGTCCCGCCCAACAACCTCTAGGGGAGGGGGTCCCTGCCCCACCGCCACCCCAGTGTCCCACCTGCTGCCTGGAGACCTTTGTGTCTCACAGTGTTCCCTCCGGGCTCGCCCTGGACCCCTTCTGCCTGCCCACGTCCCAGAAGAAGAGGGACTGGCCACAGCTGACCCCTGCCCCACCCGCGCCCCAGTGCTGGCCACCTGGGTGCTCTCCCTACCGCCTGGGTGACAGCTGAGGCCCCCTGGAGCCGGGGGGTCTGGGGTTCTGGGGTCTGACCCCCTGCGGCCCCCAGCACAGCGCAGACCCCGACCCCTGTAAGCACAGGCGCTGGGCAGGGTGAAGCCGCCACTGGCCACGCCCCCCAGCACAGCGCCCTACACCCGCCGCACCTGCCTGCCGCCCGCGGCTGGCGGGGCTGGGGAGGTGCGGGCGAGGCGGCGCTGACTGCTGTTTCCCGACTCTTGGTGACAGTCTGTCTGTCTCCCGGGCGCGGCCGCCTGGGGCGCCGCCCCCTCCCCCGCCGCCTGCCGCAGAGGCAGCGATTAGGGGCGTCACCTGTCGCTGCGGGGACGCGGGCGTCGCGCTGTGGGGTCCTGGGGCGCGCGGGAGGCTGGGCGGGGCGGAGACGTGCACCTGCTGTGTCCTCCATCGGAGCTGGACACAGGGCATGGACAGGAGGTACGGGCTGCTGGACCCACAGGACAGGGAAGGGTCCGCTCTCGACCTGGACCACCAGCCCCTCCCCCATGCAAGTCCCTCTCCCCCCCCCCCCCCATGCCAGGGGACCAGCGCTGTGGCGCAGTGGGGAAGGCCAACGCCTGCAGTTCAACATCCTATGTGGGTGCGGGTTCGAGACCCGGCTGCTCACTTCCTATCAGCCCTCTGCTATGGCCTGGGAAAGCAGTAGAAGATGACCCAAGTCCTTGGGCCCCTGCACCCACGTGGGAGACCCGGAAGAAGCTCCTGGCTCCTGGCTTCGGATCAGCTCAGCTCCAGCCATTACGGCCATTTGGGGAGTGAACCAGCAGATGGAAGACCTCTCTCTCTGCTTCTCTGTAGCTCTGCCTTTCAAAAAATAAAAATAAAGGTCAAGCTTGTTTTTTTAAGATTTATTTATTTGATATTCATAGTTAGCAAAAGAGGGAGAGACAGAGACAGCTCTTTCATCTCCTGGGTCACTCCCCAAATACCCGAATCAGCCAGGGCTGGGTCGGGCTGAAGCTCAGTAGAGGTCGCCCATGTAGGTGGCAGGGCCCAAGCACCAGGGCCACCCTCTGCTGCGTTCCCAGGCCACTAGCAGGGAGCGGGACCGGAAGTGGAGCAGCCGGGACTCGAACCAGACGGAAGTGCTTCCCTGGGGCCGGGGAGAGAAGAGAATCGTGAGCTCACACAGGACTTTTTTCCTTTAAGAAAATGTCCTAAAATTGGCTGGGCGTGGATGGTCGCAGACCAAAACACCGGTGTGCAGAACAGAAATGGCTGAGCCGTGTCCCTCGTGAGACAACAGAGCTATGACGAGCACGCAGGTGCAGGGGCCCAAGGACCTGGGCCACCCTCCACTGCCTTCCCAGGCCACAGCAGAGAGCTGGCTCGGAGGTGGAGCAGCCGGGACTAGAACCCGGCGCCCACATGGGATGCAGGCCCTGCAGACAGCGGCTTCACCGGCTATCCCACAGCGCCGCCCCGTCATGCAGGCTTTGTTGTAGCAGTTTTGCTGTTGGGTTCTTGGGCTGTGCTGGTGTGTGCAGCTCTCTCGGGCCCTTCGAGGCTTCCTGCTTCTCATTTATTTTCCTCTTCTCGCAAAGCACTTGCCGGGACTCGCATCGGGTGCTCGGCGAAGGCGTGGGGAGTGAGGCCGGCGAGGCCACCCACCCTGCCCCACCCCAAGGCGCCCCCAGACGTCTGCGTCTGGAAGTGATGAAGGCCCACCCCCAGTTTGCACAGTGTTTTCATTTTTAAATCATAAATAAATATAAAAATCCTAATATTACTTTTTCACATGAATAAACTCATCATCCCGGGGCCAGTGCTGTGGCCTAGCAGGTAAAGCCGCCACCTGCAGTGCCGGCATCCCATATGGGCATAGGTTCAAGTCCCGGCTGCTCCTCTTCCAATCCAGCTCCCTACTATGGCCTGGGAAAGCAGTGGAAGATGGCCCAGGTCCTTGGGCCCCTGCACCCGCGTGGGAGACCTGGAGGAAGCTCCTGGCTCCTGGCTCCGGATCCTTGTGGCCATTTGGGGAGTGAACCAGCGGATGGAAGACCTCGCTGTCTCTCTACCTCTCTGTGACTCTACCTTTCAAATAAATAAATAAATCCTTAAAAAGAATCATCACTCCTTCTTTCCTGGCCTGTTAATAGGATGTGTTATACTGAAAGATCCATTTTTTATAAACATCTTGGGGGCCGGCGCTGTGGTGCGGCAGGTTAAGCCTCCGCTTGTCACGTCAGCATCCCACCTGGGCGCCAGTTCGAGTCCCGGCTGCTCCACCTCCCGTCCAGCTGCCTGCCGGTCGCCTGGGACAGCAGCTGCAGCCACGTGGGAGGCCGGGACGCCCTGGCTGGGCCGCGGCACAGATCCGGGGAGTGAGCCCACACACTAACATCTCACGTTTTAGTAGGTGGGCGTGGGCGCTGGCTCCCGCGGGCCACATCAGGCTAACATGGTTCAATCCCCGGCCTTGGCTCCAGCTTCCCAGCTCTGGAACTCGACGCCGCCGTGCACTAGCGACCGCCACGCACGTGGGAGACCCAGACGGAGCACCCAGGGCCCCGGACCCAGCCCCTGCCGTTGCAGGGGACCTCGGTCTATAACAAACACTTTAGGGGCCGGCGCCGCAGGCGGAGGATTAGCCTAGTGAGCCGCGGCGCCGGCACACCGGGTTCTAGTCCCGGTCGGGGCACCGGATTCTGTCCCGGTTGCCCCTCTTCCAGGCCAGCTCTCTGCTGTGGCCCGGGAGTGCAGTGGAGGATGGCCCAAGTGCTTGGGCCCTGCACCCCATGGGAGACCGGGAGATGCACCTGGCTCCTGGCCTCTGACGGTAGGGGTCATTTGGGGGCTGAACCAATGAAAGGAAGACTTTTCTCTCTGTCTCTGTCAAATAAAAAAAAATTAACTTTCCTTTAATAAAGAGTAACTATAACCTACCCAAGGGAAGTCACCTGTGTTTTGAAAAACTTGTGGGAAAGATGGAGAAATGTTAGGTCAGGAGGCTTCGGATTTTTCTACCCACGCGCGTGTGAACAGACTACATTTCCCAATGTACCTCGGGGCCAGGCCAGGGAGGAGGGGATGAGGGATCTCAGCTTTGATTGGACACTGCCAAAGGCGTGGTCCTCGGCCGCGCTGGGAAATGTAGGCAAACCTCACGGCGGGAGGAGGGGGCGGAGCCTGCCCGGCGACCGGCGTGGGACACCCAGTGCCTGCTGGGAAATGTAGTCCTGCCGCCTGGTCTCCTGGGACTTGTGGTCTTGCACACCAGTGTGGCCCACCCCGGGTATTTCTTGCTCCTCTGTCATCCATCTCAAGCTTCACGCCCGGCCCCCTTAACAAATCCACCCCAAGCAACTCCTGAGGTCCCCCGCGGTTCGTGCTTCTGGGCGGGCGACCATGCAAGAGCTCCAGGGAAAGACAGGAAGGGAACAGGCCTGGTGGGCTTCCTGGAAGAAGTGGCGGGTCAGCCTCGAATACAGGCGCGTACAGGCGCACTACTCCGAGGCAGGCACGGTCTCCACTTCCAACCGGGGCTGGTATGGCGGCCCCAGCCCCCGCAGGGAGCTAGGGGGCTGGCCAGGCAGCACCTGCAGTGATGCCCAGAGCCCCAGGTGGTGCCAGAGGTGGTGCCGCCCCGGCCTGGGCAGGCAGGGAGGGAAAGCTTCAGACAGGACAGAGCTCGGACCCCACGAGCCGGGGACGCAGGGGACACACCGTGCTGCCCAGCCGCTGGCCCCTGGCCTGGCCGGTTAGGGCTGGGGCAGGAACAGAGGCGGTGAGGTTTGGGGCAATTCTTCGAAGGGGCGCTCACCCCCAGAGAAGGGAGAGGAAGACAGAACCCAGTGCAGAAGGGGGGAAAGGTGAGGGCGAGGTGAGCTCCAGGGGTCGCAGACCCCTCTGCAGGGGCTGGGGTACCGAGGGGGTCACGGAGCCGCAGCAGGTGCCCCGCGCGCCCACGCCGGAGATGGGCTTAGAACCAGGAGGCGGTGGTGTAACCTGGCCCCTGCCCGCCCCCCCAAACTGAAGCTGAGAGAGGCAAGAGACTGGAGCGAGGTCCCCTGACGGACCCCCTTCTGACCCCAGGCCACAGCGGTCCTTTGGGGACCCCTTAGGCTGCTGGGGCCACGGCTGAGGGAGGGGGAGAGGCAGCCCCGTTAGGACAGACAGGGGTCCGGGTCACGCCGCTGACCGTCGGCGGCCCCTCCCTCCAGCCCTGCCGCCCAGTCCCCGCAGACTTGCTCAGGGCTGGCCTGGGAGAGAGGCCGAGCCTGAGGCTGGGGCGGGTCCTTAGGGTGTCAAGGCCCGCACGCCCTGCAGGCGACGGAGGGGAACAGCACAGCGAGAGCTGGGGCCCGGGGTCCCCGAGGCCGCGGGGCGGGGTCGGAGCGTGCTCCCCAACACGCCCGGGGTCCCCCAGGCCGCGGGGCGGGGGACGGCGCGTGCTCCCCAACACGCCCGGGGTCCCCGAGGCCGCGGGGCGGGGGTCGGCACACGCTCCCCAACACACCCGGGGTCCCCCAGGCCGGGGGGCGGTGCGCGCTCCCCAACACGCCCGGGGTCCCCCAGGCCGGGGGCGCGGGGTCGGCGCGTGCTCCCCAACACGCCCGGGGTCCCCCAGGCCGGGGAGCGGGGGGCGGCGCGCGCTCCCCAACACGCCCGGGGTCCCCCAGGCCGGGGGGCGGGGTCGGCGTGCGCTCCCCAACACGCCCGGGGTCCCCCAGGCCGGGGAGCGGGGGGCGGCGCGTGCTCCCCAACACGCCCGGGGTCCCCGAGGCCGCGGGGCGGCGCGCGCTCCCCAACACGCCCGGGGTCCCCCAGGCCGGGGGCGGCGCGCGCTCCCCAACACGCCCGGGGTCCCCCAGGCCGGGGGGCGGGGTCGGCGCGCGCTCCCCAACACGCCCGGGGTCCCCGAGGCCGCGGGGCGGAGGGCGGCGCGTGCTCCCCAACACGCGGAGCCCCCCGATCGCGGTGCCCCGGGACAGGGAGTCCTCCAGCGCCCGCCAGCAGGTGCCACACGGTTTTATTGGAGCCGGCCTCGCCTGGGACCCGCCAGACCCGGGCCGGGCGCCCCGCTAGAAGCGGAACTCGCAGACGTAGTAGAGCCGCCGCTCGCAGTCGTGGTCCCACCAGGAGCCGTCGTCCGAGGCCTGCGCCACGCAGTTCTCCAGCGCGCCGCCGTTGGGCTGGTCCGGGCTGAGCGGGTGCGGCGCGGGGCTGGCCCGGGAGCCGGGCTCCGGGCTGGGCGCGCGGTGCCAGGCGAAGAAGGACACGCGCTGGCCGTTCTCGAAGAGGTAGAGGCCCTCGGCGCGCCGGTCGTGCACGCCCAGCCACACCGGCCAGTTGTACGGGGCGAGCGCCGCGCGCAGGTAGCGGGTGAGCGCGTCCATCTGCTGCCGGTCGGCCGGCTGCGCCAGGGTTCCGCCCCGAGCCACGCAGCGCGCCTGCGCCGCCGCCTGGGCCTCGAAGTCGCGCGAGAGCAGGAAGCACTTGTGGCCCAGGCGCAGCCCCTTCAGGCAGCCTGTGGGCGGGGAAGGAGGCGGGGTCGGAGCGCTCGAGGGGGCGGGGAGAGGGCGGGGCCGAGGCTTCCGCGGGACGGGCTGGGCGCAGCCTGGGGCAACCAGGCCGGGAGGCTGGGCCCCCCCCGAGGGGCGTGGCCAGACGGCGGGGGCGGGGCTGTGGGGCGTGGCGCGGCCAGGCGGGCACCTCCCCTTCTGCCAGCACACCCGAATGCCCCCCCCCTCCGCCCGGGGACCCTTCCCCACTCGGGCACCCCGTGTCCCCACCTCCCGCCTGGCCAGGATCGCTGCACTTCCCCCGACACGAGCGGGCGGACCCACCTTCCAGGCGGCCGTGCTCGCGCTCGGCGCGACCCTGCGCCTGCTGCAGGGCGTGCACGGCCTCGTCGGTGTCGCCCGCCGCCTTCCGCAGCTGCCGCAGCCCCTGGGTCAGCTCGACCACGCGGGTGTCCAGCGCGTGCAGACGGACGTGCAGCTGGTGCAGGCCTGCGTCCAGGCCGGCCAGGCGGCCCACTGTGGATGGACAGGGCGCGCCGCTGGAGAGGGGCCTGGGGTGGGGGGCGGGGGACCGGGACCCCTGGGAGAGTGGAGGTCCGGCGGCCTGGGTTCTGGGGAGGCAAGGCCGGGGGCTGGGCGGTGGGCCACCGAGCTGGTTACTCACAGATGTAAGTGACCGTGTCCTCAGGGGTGGGCGAGGGGCTGGGGCTGGGGCTGGGGCTGGGGCTGGGGTCCGGAGCCAGTGTTGCCTCCTCTTCCTTGTCCTCCACCTGGTCGTCTTCAGGCCCCCAGACCCCTTCGCCTGCAGGGATTCCGGGGGGATCCTCGTCCCCCGTGGTAGCAGGCAACCCCAGAGCCTCTTGCAAATGCTGGGGCAGGGAGGAGAGCTCAGGGCCACCCCGTCCTCCCCAGCTGCCCCCTCCTCCCCCCTCCAGCCCCCAGTTCACTCTCTGAAGCCGAGTCCTTTCTAGGAACCCCCACCCCACCCCTGCAGACTCTCACCCGGACCCCAGCACTCCCCGCCCTTTTCCCAACCCTACGTCTCCCCCCACCTTCACCTTAAGCATCAGGGCCTCTCTCTGTCGCTCCTCCTCCTGGGCCCCACCCCAGCCTCCTTCCCACTCCCTCTCAGCTCCCCGAGCCCCCTGGCCAAGGGCCAAGAGCTGGGGGACCACCAGGGCCCCAAAGAGCCAGGCCGCCTGCATCGGGCTGGGCTCTCAGCACCCAAGGGCGCAGGGAAGCGGGGTGGGGGTGCCTCTGGGGACCACCGAGTGCCCCGGCCCCCGCCTCTGCAGCGTCTCCTGACCGGCTCCCGCGACTCCCAGACTCCCGGCTCTGTCTGTTGGTCTCCGCTCCTCTGTGTGTGTCTCTCCCCGCCCTCTTGGCTCCCACGAGGCCCTGCCTCTGTGGCCGGAAACCTCCAACGTTCCAAAGCCTGGATCCCGCCTCGGGTCTCCCCCCACGCCCTCCAGAGCTCGCTTCCGCCTGCTCTTTCCCTCTGCCTGGGAGCAGGAAGGGCCGTGGCCAGTTCTCCGAGGGACCTCAGGACCAGCCTCGGCCCAGGAACCCCTGGGCACCCACAGGGCAATGGGGGGACCCAGGGGCTGGGCCCTCTCTCCTTCCCCCTTCCCAGCCATTCCTGGGGTGGGGGGAGACCACAGGGTCTCCCTAGGTTGCTATTATCCTGTGGCCACCGGCGCCCACACCCCCTGATGCTCGCATTCCTGCACTGGTCTCAGACTGCGGGGATGGCCGGCCCCTGCCCTCCAAGCCCTCGGCGACGACCAGAGCGGGTGCGTGTGCGTTTCTGCGGGTGCACGTGACGGGCACGCGTGTGGCTGTGTGGGTGTCCCAGGAAGGTGGGGCTCTGCGGGTCGCTGGCCACACTTTGCTGGAGGCCTCTGCAGGCTGGGCCGTGCTGGGGACCCAGACGCTCAGAGCAAGCAGAGGGGCCGGCAGTGGGCCAGGGGGAGGGGCTGGGAGGCAGTGGGGGTGGGAGCCGCCGGGAGCTGGACAGGCGTCGGGCCCAGCCTGGACCACTGCAGCAGGCTCCTCCCTGCCCTCCCCCCTCGCGCCTGAGCCCCTCCTGCCGCAGCCGGAGCAATCCTTCCAAACCATAAATCAGATCCCATCACCCCCCACTCCCCGGCGCCCCCACCTTCCCATCAGAAGCAGGAGGGGAGCCAGACTGCTCCAGGCGGCGGGGGGGCTGGGCCCCCTCACGCCAGGACGCAGCTCCCCTCGTCCCCTCCCACCCACCCCGGCTCTCTGTGCTGGCTTCTCTGCCGTTCTCCACCTCAAAGCCTTGGCCCCCAGCCTTTTATTCCTTCTAGAAAGTTCTCCCCCACCCCTCCCCCCAATCACCTGGTTTAAGAGGATTTCATTCCACAAGTCTCTCTCTCTCTCTCTCTCTATATATATATATATATATATTTAATTTTTAAAGATTTATTTTATTTGAAAGGAAAAGTGACAGAGGGAAGGAGAGACAACGAGACTGTTCCATCCTCTCCCGAAATGGCCACAAAGGCCGGGCTGCCAGGAGCCGGGCTCTCCGTCCGGCTCTCCCACAGGGCTGGCAGGGGCCAAGCATTTGGCCAGTGTCATCTGCCCTCCCAGGCACCTTCGCAGGGAGCTGGGGTGGAGGCAGAGCCGCCGGGACTCCAGCCAGTGCCTCGCAGTGTGGAAGCCGGCCTCACTGGCTGCAGCTTCACCCACGGCCCTGACGAGGTACCGGATTCAAATGCCCCGTTTTATTTTTGCCATCGCCAAGACTGGCACCATCTTGTCCATTACCATCTTCCTGCCGCCAGCAAAGACAGGAAGTCTTTATTTTTTTCCCCCCAAGATTCGTAAATTTATTTGAAAGGCAAAGTTAGAGAGAGAGGGAGAGGTCTTCCATCCACTGGTTCACTCCCCAGATGGCTAGGGCAGGGCCAGGCCCAAGCCAGGAGCCTGGAGCTCCATCCAGGTCTCCCACGTGGGTGCAGGGGCCCAAGAATTTGGGCCACCTTCTCCTGCCTTTCCCAAGCAGTAGCAGGGAGCTGGATCGGAAGAGGAGCAGCGGGGACTTGAACTGGTGTCCATACGGGATGCCGGCGCCGCAGGCCGAGGTTTACCCTACTACACCACGGCCCTGGCCCAGGCAGGAACTCTTATGCACGGCTGTATCCCTAGGCCTAGATCAAGGCCTGGTTGGCACACAGTAGGTGCTGTGTGGCAGGGTAACAGCTTGGTCAAAGGCCCCTGGGCTTAGGTGCTGGCTGCAGCAGGGACAGAGGTGGTACAGGTAGGGGGAGGAGGCCGTGGCACTGTAGTGCCAGGCTCATGCCTCACAGCCTCACCCTGGCTGTCCGACGGGCCCGGGGCTCGTTAGGCGGGGGTCAAGGGGCCCGCTCTCCAAAGAAGGGGACCACACAGCCCACCACAGCTCACCAGCATGGTGGCAGGTAGCCGAGGCTTGGGGGCTGCCCCAGGAGTGGCGCGGGAGCCCAAAGCACCCAGCATTCCGTTTTCCAAGAAAGCCTGGACGCAGGAGGGCAGTGTGACCTTGGGCGGTGCAGGCGCTGCGGGGCGGGCCCGTGGGCCCCCCACCGAGGGGCCAGCCCTGGAGAGATGCCTCGCCTGGAGCAGAGCCTGGCCAGGAGCCGGGGGTGCAGAACCTCTTGCCGCTGTGCCGCTGCCGATGCAGGCAGCTGTTCCCGCCCGGAGCCCAGCTGCTCACCACCTGGCTTGCTGGGTGCGTCGAGATGGGGCCTTCCTAGCCCAGGCAGGCACTGAGGTGCCCCAGAGAGCCTGCAGCTGCAGGGGAACCCAGACCTGCGCCCTGCGGGAGCCTGTGCCCAGCTCGTGGCCCTGGAGGTGGCAGCCTGGGTCTCCACTGCCCGGGGGACCTGCCCTGTCTCGGGGGTGTGTCTCGGGCACAGGTGAGCTGTGGGCACACCGTCAGCCACAAGTACACGTGCATATCCCCTGTGGCCAGGGGTGCCCAACAGTGCGCACAGAGGACTTTGGGGCCAGCGTTCCTGTCCCCGGTCCTCAGCACCATCTCTTTGGAGCCAGGCGGCCCTGCACCAGTTCCATAGCCGCTCCGTGCCTCGGTTTCCCCTCTGGAAGACGGCAATGGGGAAGGTGGTTCAGAATGGGTGCGTGGGCCACAGCTCCAGCGGAGTGGGCGGTGACGGTCCCAGAGGGGGAGCCGCTGCGGGGGGGGGGGGGAGCTGTGGCCGCTCCCACCTGGGCACGGGGCCTGAGATGCCCGGAAGGCAAGCCTCCACCCACACCCACACCCCACCCCCGTTGTGAGATGTGAGCAGGCACACAGCCCTGCACACCTGTGTGTGTGTCTGTGGGGGGCTCCTGTGTGGCACAGGGCTGTGACATGCGTGTAGCTGGGTGTGTCTGTGGTCATGCGCCCCCAGGGACATCGCCTATGCGGCCCGGCGGCTGCAGGTGCTGTGCCAGCTGGTGCCCGCCCCTGTGCTTGGGGAGGGGGGAGAGAGAAAGAGTTTGGGGGGGACAGGACAGGAATCCATACCATAGCTCCCCCAATCCCCCCGGGGGTATCCTCTGGCAACAAATATTCATGGCGCCCTGCTGTGTATAGAGGGGGCTCACTCGGAGGGTGGGGGGCTCCCCTTAGGGGTGGAACCCCATGGTTGGGGCATAGGGACCAGCACGAGTGGACTCAAGGTTTGGCAGTGGTGAGGAGTGGTGGGGGAGGGCAGGGGGAGGGGCGGAGACGGCGGTGCGGGGGGGGGGGGGGATGGGCGAGGTTTGGGGGCGCGGGGAGGGGCGATGTCTCCTCCGCCGGCTCCCGGAGGGAGGGGAGAGGGCGGAGGGAGGGGAGGGAGGGAGGGAGAGAGGGAGGGAGAGAGTGAGACAGGGTGAGGGAGAGACAGCGAGAGCGAGAGAGCGAGAGAGCGAGCAGGGTGGCAGAGGAGGCGCGGAGCGGGCGGCGGCGGCGGCGGCGGCGGCCCGAGGAAGAGGAGGAGGAAGAGCAGGCGGAGACGCGGCGCCCGGAGCCGGCCGGACCGAGCCGGGGGCGGGCGAGGAGGGGCGCGGCGGCCGCGGCGGAAGGGGGGGCGCTCTGCGGATGGCCCGGCCCGGCCCGCGGGGGGGGTGAGGTCCTCGGCCCCCCCGCCCTCCCCCCCGGCCCCCGCCCGCCCCCTCCCCGGGCCCGCTCGCCCTCCGGGGCGGTGGGGCATGGCCTGAGGGTCCCCCGTCTCCGGGGGGGTGGGGGGTGGGGGGAGGGGGGAGGGGCCGCGGGCGCCGCCGACCGGGACTCAGCAGCCCCGCCAGGCAGGTAAGGGGGTCGGGGACCCGGGCGTTTGGGGGGGCTGCGGGGCCGGGGCCGCGGGAGGGGGCGGGGGCGCCCGGGATGTCCTTGGCCCGGCGCCGGGCTCGGGGCCTGGGTGTGCGGTGTGGGGGGGTGAGGGTGAGGAGGGGAGCGTTGCCCGGGGCGACGCCAAATTGGGTTACGCCCCAGTCCCCGGTGCCCCGTCCCAGATCGCAGTCTTGGGAGGGTGCGCTCTGCGCCCCCCGGCCCCCTCCACGCCGCCGGCGGGGTCGCCGGCCCGAACCCCCTGCCGGCTCGCGGGGCCCGAGGGCTCGGTCGCCGTCTCCGCCTCCTGGCGGTGCCCGGCCACTCCCCCGCCTCACCCACCCTGGCGTACCTGGGCCCTCCCCTGGGTCACTCGGGCTCCCACCCGGTCCACCAGGGGTCCGGGCCTAGGGCTCTCCGCCCCTTTCGACCCCCGCAGGCTCCCGCGGCTTCCCGGCTCCCGCATCCCCAGCGCGTCTCCCGTGCCTGCTCCGCCGGCCGGCGCGCCCCCTCGGCTCCCGCCCCCAGTCCCGCGCCCGGTGCCCCCGCCCCCTCCCGCGGTGCGGGGCTCTCCCCCCCCCCCCAGGCTCCCCGCCCCAGCCCGGGCTCCCCCTCCGCGCCTCTCCCCGCCTCCATTCATTGTCGCGGGCCCCGCGCTCGGCCACGCCAGCCGCCCCCCGGCCCCCGCAGCCGCTCAGGGCACCCTCTCTCCCCGGGCGCACCCCCCGCGCCGTCCTCAGCGCGTCTCGGTACCAGCTGCGTGCTAGCTATTCTTAGCCGCCGAGCGTTTGATTCATGCCGCCCCGGCGGAGCGCGCCCGCTCCCTCCCGCGGCCCGAGGGGGAGGGGCCGCGAGTGCGGGGGGGTCCTGGCTGCTGCGTCCGGGAGCGCGCGCAGGAGCGCGCAGGAGCGCGGGGCTCGGGCTGGGGGCGGCGGGTCAGCCAGGGGCGGCCGCGGGGGGGAGTGGCTGCGGGGTTGCACCTGGGGAAGCGGCGTGTGGGGCGGGGCGGGGAGGAGGCCGGGGTCTTGGCCAGGACAAGGTGGGTGGGGCTGCGCGGCCGGGGACCTGGAGGGGCGGGGGGCGCGGGGCTCCGGCCACGCGTGAGCTCGTGGCTGGAAGCTGGCTCGCCCACGGCGCTGCGAACTCTCCTCCCCCCACACACACATTTTGTCTTCCCCTCCCCACCCCCCCAGCCCGTCCCCACTCCCCCAAAGTCAGCAGTACCCTCCACTGCTTCCCATCGCCATGGTAACGGTGCAGGAGCCGGGCCTGGTGTGGGGGGGGAGGGACCAGACCAGGCATTCTGGTTTCCGGTGCTGGGGTGGGAGGGAGGGAGAACAGCCGGCAGGCAGACCACCCCCCTTCCTTGGCAGGGGCCAACCCTCATAAGCCACCTCAGGGGAGAACCTTGGATGGAGAGGACCCCCATCCCACACCCCAGGCCCTCCCCTCACTTCTTGGTCTCTGTCGCCCCAAGTTCTCTGCAGAGTGGGGCCAGGGTACCAAACCAGGCCAGGCCCCAGCCCCACCACACCGAGTCCTGAATCCTGCCTGCAGGTCACGGGTAGCCCCCCCACACCCACACAGGCCACCGGCACTGTCCCCTGGACAGCCTCGCACCAACTGCCCCCCCACACACACACGCGCGCATCCCCCCGGGGGGGGGTCCGAGGAAGTCCCCCAAGGCCACTCTGCTCCCCCCCTCCCCCTCCCCCATCACGCTTCCCGGAGGAGCGCGGCCCCCGGCACCGGGTGCACACGTGTGCAGCCATGCTCCACGGCGCCCCGTCTCGCCACACCTCCATCTCCTCTTTTACTACATCTCTGCCGCGGCCTGCCCGCCGCCCGGAGGAGGGGCCGGGCTTGGCCGGGCGGGCGGGATGCCGGGTCGGGTCCCGTCCACCTGTCTGTCCTCAGCTAATTTTAGCCTCGTTTTCTGTGGCCTGACAAAGTGGGCCAGTAGCTCCCGCGGTGATTCTTGGGTTTCTGGGACACGGCCACGCTGGGTCAGCCACAAAGTGGGGCGCAGCGGGGGGTGGGGGGCTGCGTGCAAGGCCAAGGGCAGGGAAGGAGACCGGCACTGGAAGCGTGGCAGCCCCGGTGTGTGCCTGTGGCACATGTGTGGGCAGTGGGGGCCGACCAGGTCTGAGACACCGCCCAGCCCTCCCGGCGCCCACCGCTGTAAGGGAGAGGAGGCTGCCCTTGACCGCTTGTCTCCGGGCTCCCCGCCTGACCGCCGCCCTCGCCCCCCACCCACAGCCGCCTGTGATGCTGCCGTCCCCCGTCGCCCCGTGGCCCCACGATGACCCACAGCCCCGCCACGAGCGAGGACGAGGGAGGCCACAGTGCCAGCGAGTGTGCCGACGGGGGCTCCGAATCCCACAGCTCCCCAGACGGGCCAGGGCGAGGCCCCCAGGGGACCCGGGCCCGGGGCAGCGGAACACCAGGTAGCCTGGCCTCAGCCCGAGGCCGCCAGGGTCGCTCCATGTCCGTCCCCGACGACGCCCACTTCAGCATGATGGTCTTCAGAATTGGCATCCCGGACCTGCACCAGACGGTAAGGGTGCCTCTGGGGTTGGGCATGTGCTCCGACTGCCCTCACTGCCCCAGCCCGGCCTCCCTGACCCCCTCGCTGGCCTCCTGACCCACAGAAATGCCTGCGCTTTAACCCGGACGCCACCATCTGGACAGCCAAGCAGCAGGTGCTGTGTGCACTGAGTGAAAGCCTACAGGACGTGCTCAACTACGGCCTGTTCCAGCCGGCCACCTCGGGCCGGGACGCCAACTTCCTGGAGGAGGAGCGGCTGCTGCGGGAGTACCCCCAGTCCTTCGAGAAGGGGGTGCCCTACCTGGAGGTGAGGCCCCGGCCCCGCGTGCGTCCCCACGGGGCTTGTCCCGATCTGAGTCAGAGACGCCCGGGTCCCCGCCGCCTCTGTCCAGCAGAGTGGCCTCGGATGAGTCCCTTCCGCGCCCCAAGCTCCTTCCCCGTCAGGTTGGGGGAGGGACCCCCCCAGTGCAGTCGCCTTTCTAGAACGTTCCTTGTGGAGTCCAGCTCCGGGCCACGGATGCCACAGTGACCCCGCACTCTACAAAAAGCCAAGTGTCCCCGCCCCCCCCGCCCCCACCTCCACCCCACCTCAGGGCCAACCCTGCACGGACCCCAGGGGCTCAGAGGCCGGTCAGGCCCTCCCCACTGCCCCCACGCCTCACTCCCCAGGCCCCTGATTCCAAGTCTCTGTCTCCCCCCTCCCCGACCCTGGCCTCAGTTCCGATACAAGACGCGAGTGTACAAACAGACCAATCTGGACGAGAAACAGCTGGCCAAGCTGCACACCAAGGTGAGACGCCCCTGTGGCCACCGCTCCCCGGCACCCCCGTCCTGTCCCCAGGCACCCCACTGCCCCTGGGCTGACCCTCTGCCAGGCACCCCACTGCCCCTGGGCTGACCCTCCACCAGGCACCCCACTGCCCCCGGGCTGACCCTCCGCCGGGCACCCCACTGCCCCTGGGCTGACCCTCCACCAGGTACCCCCCATTGCCCCTGGGCTGACCCTCCGCCAGGTACCCCACTGCCCCCGGGCTGACCCTCCACCAGGCACCCCACTGCCCCCGGGCTGACCCTCCACCAGGCACCCCACTGCCCCTGGGCTGACCCTCCGCCAGGCACCCCACTACCCCCGGGCTGACCCTCCACCAAGAACCCCACTGCCCCTGGGCTGACCCTCCACCAGGCACCCCACTGCCCATGGGCTGACCCTCTGCCAGGCACCCCACTGCCCCTGGGCTGACCCTCCACCAGGTACCCCCCATTGCCCCTGGGCTGACCCTCCGCCAGGTACCCCACTGCCCCCGGGCTGACCCTCCACCAGGCACCCCACTGCCCATGGGCTGACCCTCTGCCAGGCACCCCACTGCCCCTGGGCTGACCCTCCACCAGGTACCCCCCATTGCCCCTGGGCTGACCCTCCGCCAGGTACCCCACTGCCCCCGGGCTGACCCTCCACCAGGCACCCCACTGCCCATGGGCTGACCCTCTGCCAGGCACCCCACTGCCCCTGGGCTGACCCTCCACCAGGTACCCCCCATTGCCCCTGGGCTGACCCTCCGCCAGGTACCCCACTGCCCCCGGGCTGACCCTCCACCAGGCACCCCACTGCCCCCAGGCTGACCCCCTGGGCTGACCCTCCACCAGGCACCCCACTGCCCCCGGGCTGACCCTCCACCAGGCACCCCACTGCCCCTGGGCTGACCCTGTCCCCAGGCTGCCCCCACCGCTCCCACCCTTCTTCAGCTCTCCCGCTGTTCCCCTGAGCCCTCGCGCCCCACACTTACCTTGGGCCCCTGCTCCTGCCCAGTGGGCCTGGGGCTCCCGTAACTGTGTCCTGTAGCCCAGGCACCGTTCCCTGGGCAGTCCACCGTGGCCCAGCCCAAAGGCCCCAATCACCAGCTAATCCAAGGCTCACACCTCCCACCCCGGTCCATCCAACCTCCTCGCCCTCCAGGGCCTGGGGCCGTGTCTCCCCTAAGAGCCAGGACTCCCACCCTGTCCACCATGGGGGCCCCCAGCCGGGCACACGCAGCTCCTACGCGTCCGCCGCGTGGCAGGGCCCAGCTGAGTCATGCGGCGAGTGTGAAACGCACCCGGGGTGGGGGAGGGAACGTCGTGTCCAAAACGCAGGAAGGCAGAACCCCTCCCGGCTGGCGGCCCTGTGGGTGTCCTGTGGACGTGGGACGCGGTGCAGACGCGGGCGGCGCCTCCGGGCGTCCCCTCGCCCCTCGGCTGTGGAGGCGGCCCCGGCCGTGCTGTGTCCCTCGGGCCCCGACTTCTCTCTCTCTCTGTCCGCGGGCGTGGCTTAGACCGGCTTGAAGAAGTTCCTGGAGTATGTGCAGCTCGGGACATCAGACAAGGTGGCACGGTTGCTGGACAAGGGGTTGGACCCCAATTACCACGACTCGGACTCAGGAGGTAGTGGGGGGACGCGTGTCCTGGGGGCTGGGGCCTGGGTACTGGGGTGGGGGGGTGTCTGCTTCCAGGTCTGTTCCTCACCGATGTCGCTCTCCCAGTAGGAGGGTCACGGGGTCAGGGGTCGTGGCGGGGCTGGCTCTGGGACACGGAAGGGCCTGTGTGTGACCCACGTCTCCTGCCCCTCAGAGACGCCCCTGACCCTGGCCGCCCAGACAGAAGGCTCCGTAGAGGTGATTCGAACCCTGTGCCTGGGCGGGGCCCACATCGACTTCCGGGCTCGGGATGGCATGACGGCGCTGCACAAGGCCGCCTGCGCCCGGCACTGCCTCGCGCTCACGGTGAGGCTGCCAGACACCGCCCACCTCCACACCCTCCCTCCGTTTCCCTTTGTTCCTCTTCAAGCCTACGTCTTCCCTCTCACGTACCCCACGTGCCCCTCCCCGGGCCGCAGCCGGCACACAGGTGGAGCGGTGACTCCCGCCAGCTCAGCCTTCTCCGCCCCTCCACCCCAACACACCGCCCCTCCTCGCGGAAGGCACCCCAAATCCGCTTCCCCAAGCAGACGAACCCTGCGCACCCACAGAACACGTGCTCCCGAGTCAGCCCCCCGGCCTGATTTTAGAGGGTGCTCCATGTCCCCGCCCCCACCCAAGCCCAGACCCTTCGTCCCCCGGCCAGGGCAGCCCCTGGCTCCGTGGGGGCTGTCCAGACTCCAGCGAACTGAAACAGAGCGAAGTGGAAGGTTTGGTTCCTCAGGGCCACCGGGCACATTGGCAGCCCACGTGTGGCCGCCATATTGGGTGTGCCCCCCGGCCGGTTCCCAGTCCATCCGCGGGGAGCGATTGCCGGCTGGGGCGGCTGCAGGCTGCCCACTGTCCACGCAGATGCCTGGGGCTGCCCGCCGTCCGTGCCCGGAACCGTCCCTTTGGGGGGGGACCACTGCCCGCCTCCTGAGCCCCTGGCCCCCCACGAGGCTTAACTTAACCCAAGCCCACCTTTCTCTGGGCTCCTGCCTCCTCCATCCGAGCGGGTTCTCCTGAGCTGTCCACCCACCCAGTCGCTCCTCGCTCATCGGGGCTTCGAGGGCCCAGCCCAAGGTTGCACCGCGGAGCGTGGGGTGCCCGGGCCAGTGGGGTCCCCATCCCGCCAGTTCTCACCAGCTGCATTGGCACCATCCTTTCTCTCCGGGTGCCCCCTCACCTCTCCCCCCGCCCTGTCTCTAGGCACTCCTGGACCTCGGGGGCTCCCCCAACTACAAGGACCGCCGAGGGCTGACCCCTCTGTTCCACACGGCTATGGTCGGGGGTGACCCCCGCTGCTGTGAGCTGCTGCTATACAACAGGGCCCAGCTGGGCGTCGCCGACGAGAACGGCTGGCAGGAGATCCACCAGGTGCGGGCCGGGGCCTGGGGGCGATGGACGTTTGGGCTTGCAAAGCGACAGCCTGGGCCCCCTCCCCCCCCCAGCAGGGAGGATGCGAGGGGCTGCGTGCAGGCGGCGCCTGGGTCTGACGCGGCCGCCCCCACAGGCCTGCCAGCGAGGTCACTCGCAACACCTGGAGCACCTGCTGTTCTACGGGGCGGAGCCTGGAGCCCAGAACGCCTCCGGGAACACGGCCCTGCACATCTGCGCCCTGTACAACAAGGTCGGCCCCAGCAGCACCCCTGCCCTCCCAGCCCCCGCGCCCCTGCCCGCAGCTGCCGGCTCCGTGCTGGGCTCAGGCTCTCTGGGCCTCTCTGCCACCCCTGCCCCTCACGTCTGCACCCCTTCCCCCTCCCTTCCTCCCATCCGCCTGATCCTCACTGCGTCAGGCAGAGCTGGGCGCTGGGGACCAAGGTGTGCGCTCACAGCCCAGCCACTGGGGCCCAGAGCAGTGGGTCTGCTCAGGGTGCGGGCGCAGGGGATCCGGGTCCCTGTGGGAGCCCACTCCTGTGCGTGGGCTGAGCATGGGCACAGCTGGGAGGGCTTCCTGGAAGTGGTTGCCCCGGGTGTCATTGGCACAGCCGGCGTGAAAAGCCAGGGAGGACAGAGCGTCAGGAGCCTGGCAGGCGCAGGGGTCTCCACTCAGCGGGCGCCGTGCCCCCCGCCCCGGCCCGCGTCTCCATACTCTGCCCTTGACCGCTGCTTCAGGGACTCAGGGCCCGACGCCACGAGCGTGCCAGCCCTCTTCCTCCAGGAAGGCTTCCAGCACAGCCACCAGCCCCTTCTGCCTCGTGAGAACTTACAGTGCCGGAGGGGCTGGCAGGCGGCCACGCGCGCCTTGTGGCAGCAGCGCGGCGGCGCCAAGGGAGCACGCGGTGTTTGTCACACCGCCCAGTGCCGGCTTGCCCCCCCCCACAGCGCGCTGCTGCTGCTGCACCCCGGGAGGAAGCCCCAGACCCCCCCCAAAAAAAGCCAGGGCGCCCCAGACAGGCCCCACGCCTCCCCGGGGCCCCGAACGCCGCCTCCAAGCGGGAGTGATGGCAGCCGGTTGACGGCCGTGACAGATCCCAGGCAGGGGCCGGGCAGCGGGCAGAATCCAAGCCACTCGTCTGAACCGGGGGGAGGTAGAGGCACAGGCACCCCGAGGGGCCCCGCCAGCGAGTCACCCCCTCCTTGAGCCCCTACTGTCTCAGCTGTGAAATGGGACAAGAGTTAGAGCCCGCGTTCTGCACGTCCAGGAAGAGAGAGAGAGACAGAGAGAGAGAGAGAGAGAGAGGTCCTCCATCCACTGGTTCACTCCCCAGAGGGCCGCAATGGCCAGGGCTGGGCCAGGCTAAAGTCAGGTGTCTGGGGCTCCATCGGGGTCTCCACGTGGGTGCAGGGGCCCAAGCCCTCGGGCCATCTTCCAGGCTTTCCCAGGTCACAAGGAGCTGGAGTGGGACCCCCTGCCCTGCCTTCCCTCCCAGGCACAAAGCTTCCCAAAGGCCAAGGCAGGATCTGACCCGTGTTCCCCCCTCTGCACCCCGCTGGCCTCCTGGTCGGCCGGCCTTGCCCCTGCTGGAGAAAACCAGGCCCACGTCCTGGCTGTGAGCACCCCGGGGTGGGGGCTGAGTCGGATAAATCGCTCTGTCCCGATGCCCCGGCGCACAGTAGGTCTGGATGCGTCTGGTGAATGAATGAGTGAGTGAATGAATGATGGGCCAGCTCCCGTGGGCCTCCTCCCCGTGCCTGGCTCGGGAGACACGGAGCAGGTGTTCGCTGGGTTCGGCAGCTTGGATGACTCAGTGAGAGAACAGGCACGTGACTGCAGCGAACAAGTGCGGCCGGGCTCAGTTCCACTTCTTCATCCTCTCTGTGCACCTACTGTGCGCGCAGCACCCGGTGCTTTGGGATGTGAGAGGAACCAGCCCCCAGGGAGGCGTGGGGGCGTGGGGGGCGGAGTTCCCAGTCTGGCAAAGAGACAGACGTGTAAGCAAACAATTGCGATACCACGAGACAGGTGTGAGGACGGGCGCCCGGGGGGCGGGGGAGGCTGCTCACGGAGACGGGAGCCCCCTGTTTAATGACAGCAGGGCGCAGGGCTCTGCCCCATGTCCCCTGAAGTGGGGAAGAACGGGGTGGGGGGTGCATGTGAGACTATGCAAAGCCACACACGGCAGCAGTTAGCCGTGTGGTTGGGCGACAGACAGCAGGTGCGCATGGAGGCAGGCACGCACGCCCGGAACGCGGACTGGGGGCTGGGGGACTCTGGGGCGTCCAGCCACGGGGAGCCCGGGTTCATGTCCCTGCTGCGTGGCTTTGGCTGTGGGATTGGCCCGTTCTGCACCTGTCCCCCTGGACAGGATGGTGCCGGCATCCCTGCTGGGTGGGACCAAGATGGTGCTTCGGCGAATGCTGATGCAGTGAGGCTTGGAGGGAGCTGGGGTGGGGTGAGCTGGGGACCGGGTGGGCTGTGGCCAGGATGGACCAAGAGGAGGGGGGAGATGATAAAGAGAAGAGCTGCATAGGAAGTGGGGCTTCAGAGACACCGCGAGAGGAAGCAAATGCCTAATTAGTGGCTTAGAAGAATTCTTAGAAGTGAAAATACAGCCAGAGATTTTTAGACGGGGTGGCAAAGGTGTCTCTGAAGACGTGGCATCCGAGCAAACCCCCAAGGGAAGGGAGAACACAGGCTGTGCAGAGGCATGGTGGGGGAGAGGCGTGTGGGTGGCAGGGGCAGCATGTGCAAAGGGCCTGGGGCAGGAGGAAGGAGGAGGCCACTGTGGCTGGAGCCGGGGAGCAAGGCAGGGTGGCAGAGGTGAGGGTTGGGACGGGCAGGGGGCAGGCCTCCTGGGCCTCAGCTCTGATGGTGGAGGTGGCCGCCCCGCCCTGTTCATGTGCAGAGCGTGAGGCAGGCCTGTTCCTAACGTGGACACCAAGAGTCCCGACCTGAGCAGTCGGGGCCCTTTGGGATCCAGAGGTCATCGGCACCTCAGGAGCTGCCGGGCAGCCGGTCTCGCTCTCTCCTGTGGAGCACTGAGTGCCCCGCCCGCGGCGCAGCCGCTCTGGCCCAGGGCCCAGGCTGGGGGCTCTCCCCGGGGGCGGGGTGTGGGGGACCCCCAACATAGTCTGGAGCGGCTCTTGGTTGTTGGTCTGGGGAGGGGTGCGGTGGTGCCCTCTAGTGGTCGAATGCGGGAATGCAGCGCAGTACTTTTAACTAAGAGGACCGCCCAGGCCAGGGAGAGGGGAGTGGGGACACCTCGGATTCCTTGGCCCTGAGCCACAGAACGCAGCCAGCGCCACTGTCCTAAATGTCCTCCCACGTCCTGGTGGCCAGGTTCAGGAAGAAAAGTCGGGTGACGTGTGTCTTAGTGGCTTCTTTTATTGAGCCCAGGGCACCCAAAGTCTTTCGCTCTTCCCCGTGGGTGTGCTATGGAAGTCGCTGGAGACATCTCGGCCTTTCCCCACGGAGACCTTGGGGCCGTGTGTGCGTGTGTGTGTGTGTGTGTGTGTCACAGGCTCTGGGGCCGTCCCCGGTTTGCAGGTGTGGCTCGGGTGACGCCCGGCGGTCTCAGCACAGTGCCGGGGTCCGTTCACGCCAACCTTGCCTTCTCCCCCTTCGTCCCCGGCCCCTAGGAGACCTGTGCCCGGATCCTGCTCTACCGGGGAGCCAACAAGGACGTGAAGAACAACAGTGGGCAGACCCCCTTCCAGGTCTGGGGCTGGGGGCTGAGGACAGAGGGACGCTGAGGCTCCCGGGGCGGGGGCGGGGTCAGCACCACAGGGAGGGTGGGGGCCTCTCCGCGGGGGCCTGGGCCACCCCAGCTCCCTGTCCCCCACTTTCCAGGTGGCCGTAATTGCTGGGAACTTTGAGCTGGGGGAGCTGATCCGAAACCATCGAGAACAGGACGTGGGTGAGCGAGCAGGAGCCGGGACTCGGGGGGCAGCCGGGGTGGGGGTGGGGGGCGTATGGCATGATGGGGAAAGGGTGGTCCAGGGGAGCTGGGCGGGAGCGACCATGGGCCCCATCTCATCTCCGCCTTTCTCCTTCTTGCCCCACCCCGCCTCACCCTCTCTTGCCCCCGTGCCCCCTCCCACCCCATCGGCCCCGCCCCCTGCCCCCCCCAGTGCCCTTCCAGGAGTCCCCCAAGTACGCAGCCCGCCGGCGGGGCCCCCCGGGCGCGGGGCTGACGGTGCCCCCGGCCCTGCTGCGGGCCAACAGCGACACCAGCATGGCCCTGCCCGACTGGATGGTGTTCTCTGCCCCGGGGGCCTCGGCCTCCGGCGCCCCCGCCCCCGCCGCGGGGCCCCAGGCCCAGGCGCAGCCCCCCTCGGCCCCCAGCAACAAGCTCAGCAGCGGGACCCTCCGCAGTGCCAGCAGCCCCAGGGGCGCCCGGGCCCGCTCCCCGTCCCGGGGGAGGCACCCCGAGGATGTGAAGAGGCAGCCTCGCGGGCGGCCCAGGTAGGGGCGGCCTTGGCCCTGGTCCCCCCAGCCCAGCCCACCTGAGTCCCCGCCCCGGGCGATCAGCCCAGCCCCCCCCCACGGAGTCCCCACCCGGGCGACCCCCCCAAGCCCCCCCCCACGGAGTCCCCGCCCCGGGCGACGCGAGGGCGTGGCCAGCGCCTCTGTCAACTCCATCCCCTCAGAGCCTGCGCTGTGACAGCGGCCCCGGGTGTGGGGGCCCCAGGGGGGCTCCAGTCCTGGAGGATGGGCAGAGTGACAAGGCGGGGTGGCTGGGAGGCGGGGATGGGCAGGGGCGGGGTGGGGGGCAGCTGGGCATGGCGGGAGCTGGCGCTGGCCTGGGAGGAGGTCTGAGGGGCGTCAGGCTCAGGAGGTGGGGTGAGTCCTTGCTCAGCTCCAGGAAGCTGAATCAGGACTGGGGGAGGGGCAGAGCAGGAAGCCAGGAGGCAGGGGAGCCCCCCCGGTGCCCTCTTCCCTGGACAACACCCGGGCAGGGACCCCACTACCCTCCCCCACCCCACTCATTCCCGGCCGCCCTCCACTGACCCCCTGGCCTCTCCCGCCCTCTGTGTACACAGCTCCAGCGGGACGCCTCGGGACGGGCCCGCCGGGGGCACCGGGGGCTCCGGGGGGCCCGGGGGCTCCCTGGGCAGCCGTGGGAGGCGGAGGAAGCTGTACTCGGCCGTGCCCGGCCGCTCCTTTATGGCCGTGAAGTCGTACCAGGCCCAAGGCGAGGGCGAGATCTCCCTGAGCAAGGGCGAGAAGATCAAAGGTAACCCCTGGCCCTGGGCTGGGCTGGGCTGGGCTGGGCCCTGGGCTGGGCTGGGGCTGGGCTGGGGCCAGGGCTGGGGCTGGACTGGGCTGGGCTGGACTGGGCTGGGCTGGGCTGGATGGGAGGAGGAAGTGGACCCCTGCTGCCTCCGACAGACGGACAGACGGACAGACGGACGGACAGATGAGCAGGAAGTGTGGCTGGGATGACCCAGTCAGCAGGCCATGTTGAGGCAAAAGTCGTGGGGCCCTGGCCTTGTGCTGGGCTCGGCCGGTGCGTTTTACCCACGTGGGCTCAGAGACCCCGATGGGCCTCCCCGGGAGGGGGTGTCCCGGGCCCCTCCAAACCTCCCTGGTGTTTCCTGGGTCCCACCTGAGCAATGGGCGCGCGCCTCCCTCCGGGGCTCCGAGTGGGAAGCCAGGCCAAGGCCAGGGCGCCCTGCATGGGGGCTGCTGTCACTGGGTTTTGCCTTCGGTCTGTGCGGACCTATCAGTCAGTTCAAGGCCCCGGGGGAAGGGGGAGGGGCCTGGGGTCGTCCTGGCCGGACTCTAGGCTGCCCAGCTGAGAGCCAGGCTGTCTGGACTCACATCCGGGCACCGCCACCCCCTAGCGTGCTGACCCCAGGCTCTGTGACGTGGGCCCCTCCGTTCACATAAACCGTGTGGCTCTGCATGTCTGAGGGCCCGGGGCCAGCCTCCCAGGAGGGCCTGGGCGGGTGTCCGTCTTGTGGTCACTCTATGTGCCCAGGGCCCGGCTCAGTGACCCAGCACTCTGCGCCCTGAGCCCCATGCTGCCCCCTGTGGAGGGGGCACGCGGCCGGCTTCCCTGTCCCCCTTGTTAGAACGGGCCTGCCCCGCCCCGCCCCTGTCTCCAGGGGCTGCAGGGCCACCCTCTTCTCCCTCCCGCTCTCCACACCTCTCCACGCCCAAGCTCTCAGCAGCTCCGGCTGCTCCCAGTGCTGGGAAAACCCTCGCTCTCAGGGCCCAGGGCCCTTCAGGGCTCAGTCCAGGGGGCAGGGACAACACCAGCGACTCGCTCCCTCAACGCCCGGCTGACCTCTCTGCAAAGCCCGTATGCCTCTCCCGGGAGTCTGACTCAGTCTCCCTCCCGCGGCCGCTGGGCTGGGAGCTCCGTGCGGGCAGAGCCGTGCCCGGCGGCGCCGAGTCCCATGGGCGCTGCAGCAGTGTCTGTTCACTGAATGAGCGATTGATCGCAAGGCTGCCCAGAAGCAGCCCAGGAACCCAGGCCTTGACCTTGACCTGCGTTGCTGTGTGGCCCCCCCCTCCCCGCCCGATCCTCTCTCAAGGGAGGCAGCTGGTTTTGAGAAAAGCATCCGATGGCCCCGGACGCTCCTCGCGCAGCCTCAGCCGTCTTGGGGCAGGGGACTGTTCTGTGTTAGTGCCTCAGCGGCTTCATCTGTAAAATGGGCAGACAGTGGCTGGCTGCCTCCCCGGATGGGGGCGTGAGGACTGAGTGAGCGTGGAGAGTGCGTGACAGGGACGGACGCGGCAGGCCCCGGGGTGGGTGGCGAGGGGTCTGGAAGCAGCCTGGGCCGAGACCCTACCCCCCACCCCGGGCAGGCAGCCCGGGGCTGGACTAGTGGCTTCCACAGTGAAGTGCCCAGCCCTGTGGCTGTGAGCAAATGTCCTCAGTTTCCCCATCTGTAGAATGGGAGGTAATGAAAGGGCCCCACCCACCTGCAGGCTCTGGCCCAGGACGGGGCTGGACAAGCATCAGGGGTCCTTGTCACCCACCCGTGTGCTTACACAGCAGGCTCCGAGCAGGCCGTGGGCAGTGGCGGGCAGGCAGGGAGGAGACGCGTCTCCAATCTCTCCAGCTTCCAGCCACAGAGGCAGAGGGACCCAGGACTCTGGGAGGTGGCCGGGCAGGGGTACGGAGCTGCTCCCTGGTTTCGGGAAAGCGGCCTGACAGCTGTGGACCCGTTGTGAGCGCGCCCCGACCCTGGGAGGACCACGTCACGGGACCCATGACTGGGTTCCCCGCCAGCCTCTTGCCCGCCTAGAGATGCCCCCGGAGTGGTGCTGGGAACCGCGGGAGGCACAGAGGTTTCTCCACCCCTGCCCCTCCCCCCACCCAGTGCTCAGCATCGGGGAAGGAGGCTTCTGGGAAGGCCAGGTCAAAGGTCGCGTCGGCTGGTTCCCCTCGGACTGCCTGGAGGAGGTGGCAAACCGCTCCCAGGAGGGAAAGCAAGGTAATGAATGAGGAGCCCTCGCTGACCCCAGCGCACCCTGGGGGTCTCCTGAGGGGGGCGGGTGCTGGGAGAGGGGTGGGGCCGCGGCAGCCGCCCGGCGCTGGACTAGTGGCTTCCAAAGTGAAGGCTCAAGGTCATCCCTGTCCCCTCGCAGAAAGCCGCAGTGACAAAGCCAAGCGACTCTTCCGGCACTACACCGTGGGCTCCTACGACAGCTTCGATGCCCCAAGGTAAATGTCCGAACCACCCCGGAGCCCCCCCCCCAGCCCCCGCCCCTCAGCCCAGCCTCCTTCCAGACCCTGCACTCGGTTGAGTTTCCTTCCACACCTGCTCCGGGTCTCTTTGCTCATCCGCTCCTGAAAAGCGGGGTCCCGGGGTCGGGGTCGGGGGCGAGGCAGAGGTGGCCTCAGACAATGCAGCCCAGCCACCTCAGATCTTCCCCGGCAGCCATTACACCGCCCAGAGTGGGGAGGGGACGCCCGTGTGGCCGGCCCAGGGCCTCTTCCTCCACAGGGCCGTCCCTGTGCAGTGCTGTGTACCCCATGCCTCGGCCGAGGGGCGTGGGGAGGCCCCGGGGAGGGGGAGGGGCGGGGAGGGTGCACTGACACCTCTCCCCTCCCTGGCTGCTGGCTCACTTGCTTCCAAAGCCTGCTGGATGAGATTGGCCCAGGGAGGTGAGAGGGGCGGGGCAGGGAGGGGCCGGGGTCAGGATGGGCAGGACGGGGTGCCTGTGGGGTGTATGAACGTGCGTGCGTGTGTGTGTGCACGTGCGTGTGGGGGCTGAGGTTTCCCGGTGTGAGACCGTGTGTCTCTGCAGGCGTGCATGGCAGGTGTCTGTGTGTGCATGTGTGGCCGGGAGGCCCCTTCATGGAGACCCCTGGAAACCCGCCCCCTCTGTAAGTGCGGGTGCGTCAGTGGCTGTGCTGCCTGTGCGGCCGGCTCTGCACCGTGTGCTGCCAGAAACGTCCGTGTGTCCACTCACACAGACGGACAGGTGGGTCTCTGCGCTCACCCGTCCCTGCCTGGGCTTCAGCACAGAAGTGAGTGTGTGTGCGTGTGCGTGTGTGCACCTGTCTGATCTGAATTCAGGACCACGGACGTTTGGGGAGGGAAGGGCAGAGGAGGGGAGGGCTCCAGGGCTTGGGCCTCTGGGACAGGGCTGTGGGGGAGGGAAGGCCTTAATGTGGTGTCTGATAGATGACGCCCCCCCACACACCCCCAACCCGGGGAAGGGACTTCTTGTTCATAGCATCCTTACATTAAATGTGTCCAAACCTGTGTGTCTGTGTCCTGGCCAGTGGGGATGGGTCAGAGGGGCGGTGGGGGGGGAGCGAGGGCAGGGGGGTTCCACCCTGCGCCCCGAGGGTCTGAGGCGCCTGGCCGAGTCACCTGGCGCGTCTCCGGCTCTGGGCTCAGGTGAGTAGCGGGGGCCTCCCATCCCCTGTCCACGTCTCGCTGGGGCTCTGCTTGGCCGAGGTTTGGGGGTTGCTTGCTGGGACCGCGGGGTGGGGTGCTTCCTCTGCTCTCAGCTTCTCCCTGGCTTGCTGCACCCCAAAGCTCCCGCCCCCTCCCTTCACCTCCGAGCCTGCTGCCTCCCCAACCCTGGCAGAACCCAGTTGCTGCCCCCCAGCACCCCCTGCGCGTGGGGCCCTCCCTCCTCCGGCCGGCTGGGGGGTCCAGGCTCCCTGGTGGGCTGTGCTGTGTCTGCCGCTGCTGCGCCTGGCTTCTTGGGGGGAGGGGTTTGTCACTGCTCGTGGCCCAGTCCGCCTCTCTCCCGAGCCTCCTCTCCCGGCCCTTCCGGGCCGTGTCGGGGTGCGTGGTGTGTCGTCTGCAGCCGGGATGGGGGTGGGGGCTGTGCGGGCCCTCCCGGGGCCTCTCTCACCCGTGGCGGCCCCGCTCGGCATGCAGGCTCGGTGCGCGCGTCCCTGCACGCGGGTTGCGAGGTATCCTGTGTGATGTTGTGCGTCCCTCTCCCCGCTCTCCCTCGCTCTGCACCTGCGCGGGAGGGCTTGGGAGGGGGGAGGAGGGTTAAGGGGGGGGCAGACCGGAAGTGCCTCCCCCTTCTCCCCCCGCGCCTCGCCCCTCCCCCTTCTCCCGCCAAGGGGGCCCCCGCGTTCCCCTCCCGGCCCCCTCCCCCCTGCCCGGCCCCCTCCGCCGCCCGGCGCAGGACGCCAAGGGGTTAAGCCTCCAGCCCGCCTCCGGAGCTGTCCGCGGTGCTGAAGCCGGCGCCGTCCGCGGTCCTCGCGCTCCCGCCGCGGCCCGACCCCGCGCCCCGCGCCCCCGCGCCCCCCCCCGGCATGTGAGCCCCCGGCCCTGCCCTCCCTCCCGCGGGGGGGGTGCGCGCCCCCTCCCCTCCCCCTCCCGGCGCGGGTCAGCATGAGGCGGGGCCTGGGGGCCCGGACACGGGGGTTCGGCCGAGCGGGGACGGGGACGCGGCGGCGGCGGCGGCGGCGGGGGCGGCCGGCACCGGGACCCGGGCCGGGGCCGGGGCCGCGGCGGCGATGGCTTTGTCTGCGGTCGGCGGCAGCGGCGGCGGCGGGGGTCTCGGGGGCGGCCCCGGTGGGGGCTCCCTGCCGCAGCCGCCCCCCGCGCTCTCCTCCAGCTGGCCGGCTCTGGGGCCCCGGCGGCGCAGTGTCTGGTACATATACAGGTAACGCAGCGCGCGCGGCCGGCCAGGCCGCCGGGCGACCCTCCCCCGCCGCCGCCGCCCCCCAGGCTCCTCCCCCTCCCCCAGGCCGCCCCCTCCCCTCCCCTCCCCTTGGCCAGGCCGAAAACCCTTTTCGGACCCCTCCCTCAAGCCTTCTCTCCATCTCGCTTGCCCGGGCCCCTCTCTCCGAGCGTCCCCCCCACCCCAGCTCTGGGAATCGTTCCTCCACCCCCTCCCGGGCCCTCCTAGGCCCCCACGGCTCTCCCGCCCAGGCCTCCCTCTCTGGTCAGGCCCTCTCAGAAGCCCCCTTGCCCTGAACGCCCCCACTCTGGGGAGCCCTCTCCTGGGGAGCCACAGTGGGCTCCCTCAGGCCCCTGCACCCCAGGCCCACGGCCTTCTGATACCCACATCCCGGCACCTCCTCGCAGAGTTGCGAGTTCCCCCATTCATGCCCCTCTCCCATTCACAGCCATCCTCCATCACACACGCAGCCCGCCCCCCCCCCCCCGCCTCCCCTCTCCTCCTTTTTCCGCTGCGTGTCGCGACTGTGCATGTGTTGATGTGCGTGTGTGACTGTCTACAGCCGTGAGAGAGAGAGAGAGACAGAGAGAGAGAGAGAGACAGAGGGGGTAGGCTCCCGGCCCACCCCCCAGCTGGGTCCATCTGCCTGTCGCTGTTGGAAGGCGTCTGTCTCTGTGTGTGACTTGGAGCGATGGTGGGGCCGTGTGTGGTGGACTCTGTGTGTGTGTGTGTGTGTGCGTGTGTGGTGGATCCGTGTGTGTGTGTGTGTGTGTGTGTGAAAGAGAGATGGAGTGGGTCTGTCCCAGGCACTGCGGCTGTGTTTCCCAACACCCACCCTCCCATGCCTGGCCTGCCCCCTCCCCCACAGGCCTCCCTCCATCAATGCCTCTGTGCCGAGGGCCCCTGGGCCCCTCTCCCTGCCCCCATGTGCATAGTGAGGGGCCTTGGGCCACTGGCTCTGCCTTCTGCCGGTGTGGGGCCCATGTGCCCCGCTTGCCTGAGCCCCTGCACCGGAGCTGCCTCTGGGGAGGGGGCTGGCTTCCCGCGGCGGGGTGGGGGCGGCTCTGCAGGCTGAGGAGAGGCCCTTAGAGACGGGCACATAGGGAGGGCTGAGAGGACACTGCGAACGGCAGCGGGCGCTGGGCTGTGGGCTCCGGGGTGTGAGAGGGGCCTTCAGGTGGGGGTGGGGGAGTGGATGCCGCCGGCCGCTGCAGTCTCCGTGCGCGCGTGGGATCTGGGGAACAAGAGCCCGCGCTGAGCTCCGGAGGCAGCCCAGGGTCGCCGGGGGATGGCCTGGGGGAGGGCATTGTGTGAGCTCCTGCAGGGCAGCTAGTCTCACCACTGGGCATGAATGGGGTGCCGCGTGGGCAGCAGCGAATGTCGGGGGGGCCAGCATGGAACCTGGGAGAATGGGGGACCCTGGAGGGCAGGGGAGGGCGCACAGGAGGAGTGGGGCGGGGGGGGGTGCAGGGAGTGTGAGGAGGTTTGGGGGCAGGGACTTGGGCAGCCTAGAGTGAGTGCAGGGGTGAGGATGCTGGGATGTAAATGAGGTGCAGCTGCAAGTAAAGGCAGCAGGGGTGTGTGGTGTGGGGTGAGCTGGGCATGCAGAAGTAGGAAGAGGGATGACTGGATGGCCCAGGAGGAAGCCAGGGGCGGCTTGCATGGGGAGGACGGGGTAGGGGCCAGGCAGGAGTGGGTAGAGGAGGATGTGGGAGGGGCACAGTGGGGACAAGGGGGATGGGCCCCTGCAGAACCGTGAGGGCTGGTGGGGGCAGGTCAGGGTGAGGAGGCGGGGTGGGGGAGCACAGCACAGGGCTGCAGGCGGCTGTGGGGGCAGAAAAGCAGCCTGGGAGTCCATGGGGAAGCCCCATGCCGAGCTGGGACTTAAGGGAAAGTCGGGGATTGGCGAGGAGGCTGCACAGGCTGGGAGGGGCGTTCTGGGGTGCTCTGGGGCTGTTTGGACGTGGCCGGGGTGCACGGGCCGCTTTCTGAGGGGCTCGGACACCCCTCTCAGCTGGTGTGGTCCGGGGCAGGTCCTTTGTGCCTCAGTTGCTGCACCTGGAAAATGGGAACAGCGACGGGCAGCCCCTGGGAGGGCTGTTGTATGTGAAGGGCTTGGAGAAGCGCCTGGCACGTGGCGGCCCGACGACTGGCGCAAGCCCGGGAAAAACTCAGCTGCTGGAGGGGCCCTTGGGCAGCCGGGTGTGTGCTCCGGGCAGCCAGGTGCTGCCGAGCGGGAGCTCGCCCGCGTGTTTCCCTGGGCATCGTGGAAGAAGGTTCTCCCTGTGTGACCTTGGGCATGTTCGGTGACCTCTCTGTGCCCGCTTGCTCACCTGCCAAGTGGAAAAGTCCCTCGTGCCTTGCACAGAGGCCGGGTGCCGGGGAGGGGGCCGTGCAAAGGGCTCCAGATCCTGCAGGTGCACCGCACCTGCTGGCTCCAGGCAGAGCGTGAACACACAGGGTGGGGTGGGGGCTCTGCCGGCCAGATAGGGGGTGGGGTAGGTGGGGGAGGCTTGAGCGGGGCTGACACACTGCAGGGAGGCAGGGGAACCGGGTTGGGGCAGGGGAGGACGGTCAGCGCTTGAAGGCCTTGCATGAGGGGAAGAGATGGCAGCCAGTGAGGAATGAAGGGGAGGTGAAGGGCACTGTTGGCTGGCGTGGGGGAGGGGCTGGAGACCTGGAAGGGACGGGAGTAGCAAGGGCGTGCGGGTTGGGGGAAGTCCTCAGGTTCACGGGCTGGACAGAGGCGGGGATGAGCATGTCCAACGCAGGCAGCTCTGACCCCAGAACCGATTGCCGTTGAGCCTGTGCGCTCCTTGGCTGTGCCTTCGTGCCCCCCACCCTGCCTTGCCCTCTCCTCTCTCCAACTCCTTCCCTTCCTTCTCCATCCGGCTCATCTCCCTTGGGGGAGGAAGACATGGCGGGCATGGTGCGGCTGGGTCTCCTGGCCCACCACGATGGACTCCAAGCCAGGGCTTGTGTGTCTGTGCACACGGGTGCCGCTGAGCCCCCCGGGGAGCTGGGGGACCTGTCAGGACCCTGTCACCTGTGCGGGTTTGCCACAGGAGTGCGTACAGGGAGAGGGTGCTTGCGGGGAGGGGGAGGTTCCCAGATCCAGCGGGAGCACGCCAGGGTGTCGCTGGTGTGTGCCGGTGTGATGTGTTCAGGGGGTGTGCTTTGAGAAGATACTGAGATCAGAGTGGGGGGAGTTATTATTGGCGCATACTGGGATGTGTGGGGGAGTTACTGAATATACTGGAGTATTCTCAGAGGGCTGTGTTGCCGTCTGTGGGGGTGGGTAATTGGGGAGCACGCATGGCTATTATTGGAGTGTGAGGGCCACGTGGGCTTGGCTGGGGTGTTCAGGGGGCACGGGGGCAGTGCCACAGCTCCAAGCGTTCACCTGAGGTGCTCGGGGCACAGCACGGCGTGCATCCGGTGGTGCCTGGGTGTTCTCGGCTGCTGTGAGGGAAGCGCCAGCATGTTGGGGGGTTCCACTTGTCCACCAGGGTGCTGGACCCTCCGGGCAGGGAGCAGATGTGTATTCGTGCGTTGCACAGAGCTTGCCGTCAGCGCTTGGCACTGCTGGGCAGGACACACATTGGAGAGGTGCTGGGGGGATTTCTAGTGGTGATAGGGATGTACCGGCCAGTGCAGAGGCTGCTGGCCACACGTGGCCACCGGGCACTGGGGAAAGAGGGTGGCCACGGTGACTGAGGAACTGGGAGCTTCATTTTGGTGAAGTTTCGTGAAAGTAGCGCATGCAGCCGCCAGAGCGAGCAGTGCGGAGTCAGCAGTGTTGCAGTAGGGCCGGTGGCGGGGGGGGGGGGGTCCCTGTGATCCATGAGCTGGTGGGGGACGGAGCCTTGAAGGACGTGTGTCCTCTTGGCTCCGTATCTGGAGCTGAGGATGGGAACGGACTTGGGCTGAGTGCATGCTGTGTGTCAGGCACCATGCCACGTGTGTGTGACCCCCACTGCACCGCCCGGCGACCTCACCGGGGGGTGCAGGTGCGTGACCACCCCCGCTCCCCCGTGAAACTAAGGCACAGAAGCCCAAAACCGAGCTCAAGGTCACAGGCAGGAAGTGCCTGGCAGGGATGGAAGCCAGGCCGTCTGGCAATCCGGAGGCTTCCGCCCCCCCCCCACCCCGGGCGCCTACTTGCTGAATGGAGGGGTGGTGGATGCATGGATGGATGAATGAGGCCAGAGTGAGTGGGAGGGTGTGCTCCTGGCTCCTGGCGGGGCTGCCGCGGGCTCTGGCACACGCCGCGAGTGGGCCCCGCCCAGGCAGGGGCTGGGGCCAGAGGGCCGCGGGTGGGGCCCCGGCTCCTGTCTCCTGATCCCTTCTCCGCCCCCTCCCGTCCTCCCTGCCAGTGATTACATCATTAAGGAGAAGACCGTGTTGTTGCAGAAGAAGGACAGCGAGGGGTTTGGGTTCGTGCTCCGGGGGGCCAAGGGTGAGTGGCCAGCCGGGGTGGGGGTGAGAGACGGGCCCTGTGGCGGGGAGGGAGGCCAGGGGAAGGGACCCCAGTCCGCCTTGCGGTCCGCCCCCGGGGTGCTGGTCCCTCCGTGACTTGGGTCTGAGCCCCGTCCCCTGCTCGGCCTCTCCGCCCCCTCCCCTCCGACCCCGCCGGCTCCTCCCCGTCTGCAGCGCAGACCCCGATCGAGGAGTTCACCCCCACCCCGGCCTTCCCGGCGCTGCAGTACCTCGAGTCGGTGGACGAGGGTGGTGTGGCATGGCGCGCAGGACTGCGGATGGGAGACTTCCTCATCGAGGTGAGGCCCCGCCCCTGCTCCCCAGGACCCCAAACCGGAGCCCCTCAGGAGGAGGCCAGCTCCAGGGTCCCCTCTGCCCCTCAGCAATGCCGTCTAAAGGCCTTTCCAAAACCTCTCGAGAGAGTGGCACAGAGATGCTCTGAACATGCACACGCGTGTGCACTTATGCACACATGTACAGTGCATGCACACACACACAACACATGGACACATACATATGCACACACACTGGCATACAGCACTCACAGTGCACATATCCACATACATACACACATTCACATGCACGCACTCACATGTTCACACACCTACACACATGCACACAACACATGCATATGTCGACACACACATGCATATGTCCACCCGCATGCACACACATGCTTATGTCCACATGCACACACACGCACACACATGCACACAGGCC